TCCTCTGTCCCCTACCCCCTTTTCGGTCCCCCGCTCGCGAGCCTTCCATCGATATCGCTTTTCCTCTTTCACCGACGAGAAACCTTCGGGGCCTCCTCCTTCCTCCGACTACGCTGTCTCTCCCTCTCACGTCTAACCAGCCGCCTATCCTCGTCGGTTTTCTTCTCGCTCGCTCTACCTACGCCACCCTTTATCGCGATATCTTTCCTCTTTTTCCGACTCGACGTGCATTCGATACCCCCTCTCGCTCGCGCGACGCTCCCTTTCTCTGTCTACTTTTTTCTGGACCCAGCGTCCCTCTCCGTTTTCGCTTCTTCTCTTCGTTCACCGTGGCATTCGCGACCTCTCCTCCAACGAGTCCCACTGGGCCCCCTCGCTCCTCCGCGAGTCGACGAGCCCCGCGCAGCGCCCTCGTTCGCCCGTCTCCGTCCCCGCAGCCGTTATCCTCCCACCTTCGGACTCTATCCTCGCGCATCCCGGCGCGTCGTCTCGCGCTGAGATATTCTCCCTTTTGCCCTCGAGGAACGAGCAGCAATGCGGAGGCTCAGGTATGCAAGATGGCCGCCGCCGCCGCCGCCGCCGTGGAGCGCTCTCGCGACGACGAGGACCGCTCACGGGCGTACGGGAGAGAAAGAGAGACCGTTGGGCCCGTGAAAGGGAGAAGGACGTTCGACGGTGGACGGAGATGGCAAGCGTTTAGAACGACCCGAACGAGGATGAAACTACTGAGATGAATAATGCGTGGGGGGAGGAGGGGAAGTATCGGGCAGAAAAGGGGGGGCGGGAGGAGAGGCAGGATGACAGGGGTGTGGGGCGAAAAAGAGAGGAGCCAGAGGCGGAGGAACGAAGAGAGGTCCAGAAGACCACGATACACCGTAGATATATATCCGCGTGTAGGCCCTATAGCCACTTTTATAACTAATCCGTTACCACGATCGAACGCTTCGAACTTTCCCGTCGTCTCTCTTCCCGTTAGGTATACTCGATTCTCGTAGGAAACTCGATTCTGGAATCGATTTCGAATTAAAGTAATTGGAATGGCGTATCCGAAGAATTCTACGAAATCGACCGAACAAAGTTCTTTTTTATTAACTACCGATTAATGTCTCGCGTCTAAAAACATCCATGGCTGTTCGTGGTTCCCTCGAGCGTAAACTTATCGTGCAATTTAAACTGTGCTGGCTGACGGGTGAATAATAGAGACACGAGTTATATGGTATTAGCCTTTATTAGGGGAGACGCTCTTGTAGCCCGCGTGGCTGGCCTGTATGACTTCTCTTACTACTCTTACAGAACCGACCATTCGTTCGCTCAAGCGAACCTTCGGAAACTAATTCCCAGGAAACGCACTGTTCCGACTCTCTTGTCTACGCGATGTTTACGCGTAGCCTAAAAAGTCGATTTTCTGGAACAATAGACCTCGGAATCGAACACCCTCACTTTCCCTGGGTCTCTCGCTCGAGGCTCGCCGTGTAGGTACACGCGCGACTAGATTCTCTTTGGTGTTTTCCGTTAATCTAGTTTACTGGGTACCGGCACTGCGTGGGTATCGGCGATATATCAGCCCGTCCTGGTAAGTGCAGGCTGCTAGAAAAGTCCCTCGGCGCGGTAAGCTTATCTTGGAAACAAGTCGTCGATACTTTGATCGCGGTTCATCGAGCCACGCGTTTCGTAGGCGAACAACCCCGACTGCGGAGCAACGGAGTTAAATAGTAAAATTACAGAGCAGCGCGCGTGAAATTGAACTTGCGTCGATAATTTGTTTACTGAGCGGTGTACGCGTGTCGCTTTCTCGTCAAAATCTGCCGGCTCCCTCGATCCCAATTCCCCCGAGAGATCGAAGGATTGTAGCCGAGGAATGGGGACAACCGATCCGAGCGAAAGATAAGAAATTACGCTTAGGATCGACGTTTCCTAATCGCTCTTTCGATCCTCGTAAGAAGGTCCAGTGATTCTTTCGACATGCTGTCATCTTGTTATTTTATTTTTGGTGAAGTCTATTGCCATCGACGACACCTTTTTACGGGCCCTTCCGTGGAAGTGGACAGTGTGTTACTTCGACAGCGTCGCTTCCCGGTTGGGCAAGGGTTAATTCGAAGTATTTGTCGCGAGTGAGGGTGCGGCAGGATACGCCGCTGGTACACGCGTGATTAATATCCGACGTTCAGCGGTACAGGTACGCGCGAGCACGTGCCATTTGTTGGTCCACGATATTAGAAAGGTTGCGAATTCGAAAGACGACGGAGAGATTCTGACATTTATCCGAACGGATACCAAACCTGAAATATAATTTATGTTTTACTGGTAATACGGTAACAAACGGAAAACCATTGCGGGATTAACGCGTACACGATCGCCTCGACTGCAGGAGTGAGTAAATCGTAGCGAACAGTGCGAACGGGAGTGTGACTGCGGAAAATAAGTAGTAGTAGCCGTGGAAAAGTCAGCCAAGACCGCGAGTAGTAGTCGAAACTTCTGACTTTGGAGCTCACGCGACTCCTGAGCGATCAACGCGTGAATGGAGAACAATTGCGTGTTCGTTTCGCCACTGAAACAGGTGTACGACGTCCCGAGGTTCTTATCGTAATGGTATCCTAACAATTACGTTTCATTCTCGGAGCGCGCCATTATGCTCGACAGACGTTACGCTTCTTTCCTCGGGAACGTGATCGTATAGGACGAATCACCCGATCGACGTAACCATTGTCCGTAAAGCGAGCTTCGTAAATCTTATCTGGCTCGGTATCGTGATTCGTCGTAAACGCGGTACCAAGGTTCGACCGGAAATCTGATCGTTTTCCGCGTAGGTAAAACGAAACGATCGCCAACGCTTTTATCCTTTATCGTTCGCGTGGAGAACGAGAAGGATCGTCGAGGAACTTCCTAACGACTGATTTCGCGAGTCGCGCCCGTGATAAATTCGTTGCGCGATCGTTCCTCACGCGAAACGGCCCTTCGCGCCCACTTGTTCTAACTTTATTTCGCTCTGCTCCCATATACGGGCCAGCGTCGGCCGTGAAACAGTAAAATTCTATCGGGTTGCAGGGCGCTACGTGGGCGTTACATGCAACAGCTTCATTGTTTCATCAAACAATAACTGTAACACGTTCGGTCCGTTTTATCTTCGAGTGTCGCGCGTACACGGACGACGTATCGGTACCGCATCGGTACCCGCTTCCGAATCGCCTTCCAAACGAAAACGCTCGGCGATATTTAAAATAAACGGCTAAACTTTAAATCCACATCGGGTTCACTTTTTGCTCTCGTGTCAATTATCTGGGAAAGAATTATTCATCGGAAATACTTTTTGATAAACTGAACATTTTATTAAATACACCTGATTAGTACAAAATTATATAACGCTGAACTTGTGATTACTTCCTAGGCGCTCCGTACGCATCAGGCATTCTCTCTATGGTGTACCTGTGCTGAGCGACGTACATTATAGGCACACCGGGAATTTTTCGTATCCTCCGTTTTAGGTCTTTGTCGTTCGTTGCCACTATGTAGCATTTATGCTGAAATATCGTAATATCGTTTAGTATACCGATTAGTATCTAAACGATTTCTTTTTCCAAAGACTATACTTACTTGAGTCACCCTATTAACGATACAATCGTCAGCGTAAGTACCTTTGTGCAAGCAGTTTAACCTTTCGAACCTGGGATCCTTTATAATCTTTAACGCTATTTTATATTTCTGACCAAGTTTCTCCATTTCACCCATGACACAATCCGTTATATATGGTATGCATTTCGCGTAAAGACATTCCATCATATTTTCTATAACATCTAATTTGTTTTTTATTGAAAAATTGATGAAATTTGTGTCTACTATGATATGGTAAGGTGGACCCAACTGAGTATTGTACTGGAAGAACAACGCGGAGGACTGTTGGGGCCTATAACGATATACGATAAAGCAACATGAAATTTTATAACGATATACTAGAAGATTCCCAACGATACTTACACTTCCCTTACTTTGAGTTGAGTTTGATCTTCTTTTTTTGCCTTTCTTGGAGCTGCACGTTTCTCAGGTTTTCTAAAAAGAGCCAATTAACATTTTCAAAAAGTCTACACTTAATGCAATTTTTTACTCATCCATAGAATAAGACAGATAGCTTAGAAGTTTACTTACATTCTCGAGTCGCTTGCGCTTATCATCTTTTTCATTTGCGCAAATTTCTGCATCACAACTTTTCGCGTCTTTTTATTTCTCCCCTGTATAATAAAAATCACTTTACATCACGTTATACAAATATTACAAACATAACCTAAAAGATAACTCATGCAATTTAAAAAATGCAATATTTTATCTCGCGACGAGACATAACGAACGATGATCTAACAATATATTTACCATTGTCTTTTCGTGTATAACGTCCTGTTACTTCTATAAACAAAAAATTGGTAGTCTCAACAAAGGCTCATCTGTCAGTGAGTAAAACATCGTAGACCACGTGGGAATTTTGTTCAGTGTTACCAACAGCATTTTTTCTAATTCTTCTTACGCCTGGAAAAACTGAAAAAATTATTGCGAATTATCTAACGTAACTATCATCTTACTCGACAATTTTTACTGCGTAAAATTACACTTTCAAACATAACACACCATGTTTCTTTGTTCAAAAATCATGTTCTATGCGCCATTTTTCTTATTGGTCAAACCATAGCAAGCCAGAGCGTCTACTTTGTGGGATCCGCCATCTTCTTCCGATTTATCGGATGGAAGAAAGTTGTTCTACGTCGTAAACGTTAGATTTTATATTTCACGAAAGTGACTGATCGAATACAAGCAGAAACTATACCAACAAGTAGCTATCGTTAATTCTTTATCGTCGCGACTAGTTTGAGAAGTGGAGAACAGAATTGGACAAGGTGTCCAGAAAGTTAATCGTTTACTAACCTACAAAAATTTGGCAATGGTAGTTGCGTGTTTCTTGTGATTGAATATTGCCCGTTTTAAAGAAAATGTCGAGAAAAGCGCATAAGTCCGCATGGGTTGGTCGTGGTGGAAGACAACCGGATGACAAACACTATTATGGTAAATTTTATATGACGTTGCATTGTGTACTTATTATGACCTACATATTCGTTGGCGATTCACGTTGACACGTTTGCTTATTCTTCCTAAAATTTCGTGTTGCACACAGGTCACGATGTTCGTGTACAGAGAAACCACGATGGCTTGTATCACGGAAGTAGGCCTAAGGTTACATTCAAGCAAACTTCTTCGAGACCATTACGAAGAAGCTTACGGATGGCATGTTTGGACGACGACGTTCAAATGGCATCAAGTTCCAATAACAATAGCGGAGATTTTATCATCAGTAGAAGGGAGTGGGGCGGTCAACGTGGAAGAGTCAGTCCACTGCCTATGAGAGCATTTAGAGGAGGAAAGATTCCTTCTAAAATTAGGCAAATTATCACTGGAGAAGCTACTTGTTATAAAATTGTTGTAAGAATATAAGAATTCGGTTTTAGCTATCAGTTGGGTTCTATGCGTATCGTAACATTCTTCTTAATTACAGATACCACAAGGGCATAAATTCGAAAAGGATTACATAATAAATAACCTTCTTAGCTATATCGCGCCAACTACTTTTATTCCAATAATGGTAAATACAAACTTCTATTGTTTTTTTGTAATTAAAATGTTAATATAACTTCTAACTTTGTGTTTGCCTACAGTATAGGATAGGTGGTAACGAATCCAGTTTCTATATAGACGATCAAAGAGTAGCATTAGATCTAAGTAGGTCTAATCACAAAATTACAACCATGTATGGGTTTAAGTTACATGTGAATGTCATGCAACCTGGATATCCATACTGTGAAATAGACAACAAACTGAAAGAAAGACTAAAACAAGCCATGGCTAAAAGATATGTAAACGAGACAAATGCATTGGATTTGTCCAAATTCCATCTAGACCCTGGTTGGTAAACTGTAAAATTTTAAATGTAACTCTTTCAGTTTCTTACAGATATTAACCAAATATAATTTTCCATTGCAGATCTCGTCGCTGACTATTTCTATACACTGTCCCGACCTTTAATGCTAAAAACAGTATTGGACATCGTGTCAGATTGCATACCGAATTTGGAGGCGCTAAATTTAGACGCAAATAAATTGCAAATGCTTACAAAGCTAAATATTTTGAGTAAAAAGTTCCCGAAATTAAAGATACTTTACATCGGTGATAATAAGGTATCTAATACTAAATAAAATAATTCGGTTTTATAAATCCCGCAATGGTTTAAGTTTCGATACATAACTCGTATCTTTCAGATAAAAGACATTTACCAGCTAGACAGTCTCAAAGAATTACAACTGGAGGAGCTGAAGCTGACAGGAAATCCCGTTTGCAACAAGTATGAATTCCGACAAAATGACTACATTAGGTAATGTATTGTTTCAATATTATCTTTCTTCTCTTAATAGAAGAATTCTCCAGATGGATAAAGACTCCTGAAGCTGCTATTACACCGATAATGTATACAGTGTTCGAATAACATGTTGAGTTTTTGAATAGAATATGGACGGTTTAACAGTACTCGCTCGTATTTGAAATAATTTATTTTTGATTTGACCTCTAGTATTCGTAAAATTTGATAGCGAAATTGATCGTTATAAAATTGTAGAACAATGTTCCCTGGAAATTCTGAATGACATGTGTATTTTCTTTGTTGTACTCTTCAATAATAAGGCAAATGTTTCTGTTATTACGATTAACTTGGAGCTTCCGGGCTTCTGGCTTTTCTTTCCTGACCATAGCGACGTGAGGAAACGATTTCCAAAACTCTTACGGCTGGTAAGTGACTACAGCGTCATCGATAACTGATACGTAAATTAATCGCGTGTAACAATTTTTCATGGCTGAAAAGGATGGTACGGATCTTCCAAAACCTATCATATTCGACGTAGCGGATGATGGAAACAAAATGCCACCCCCTCAGAGGATGTTCGTGACAAATGCAAAAATACAAGGAGTTGCTAGTCAATTTCTGCAACAATATTTTCTCATATTCGATAGTGAAAATCGTCAACCATTGTTAGATGCGTATGACGAACACGCGTGCTTTAGCATGACTATATCTTACTCTCAAAACGCAAACAAGTAAGTTTCATGTTTGTTTTAATATTTATTTTAATGCAACATCTTTCATTAATAAACTAACCATTGCAGATTGAATGGATACTACTCGGAAAACAGAAATTTGTACAGAATAAACGAATCGAACAAGAGGCAAAAGTTACTAAAACAGGGACGATTGCCTGTAGTTTCGTTTATTTCCGAAATGCCACGAACTTCTCACTATCTTAATACGTTTACAATGGATATCAGCCTAGTAACAGTAAGATCTTCATTCTTTTGACAACTGGAAGAGTTATCAAACTTCTCGATAATTTATACAATTATGTTACTTCGATGTTTTAGGATGGAATGATGTTGATTACGGTCACGGGATTGTTCAAAGAACTCGGTAAAAAAGAGCAACCTGTTCGATTCTTTAATCGAACGTTTATAATAGTACCAGAAGGAGGTGGTTACTGTATTCGAAACGAGCAACTACATCTCAATAATCCGACGGACTCGCAACTAAAGAATCTAAACACCCAATTGGAGACACAATTGTTGACGCCACCAGCGCCCTCGCAAGCACCTTCGACCAGCAACGTCGTAGCAAAGCCAGCGGTACCAGTGCAATTACCCGAAGAGGTCAAGCAACAAATGACATTGACGCTTAGCCAACAGACGAACATGAATCTCGAATGGAGTCTGAAATGTTTGGAGGAAGTGCAATGGAATTATGACAACGCGCTCTCGGCGTTTCAAGAGTTCTTCAAACTGGGACAAATACCACCGGAAGCATTTAACAAATAAAAGTACAATGTGCCGAGGAAAGTAAGATTCAACAAAGTTTCATTCTTCTTATCGTTATTTTTATTGTTGCATGTTCTACGATACACGGTGCTCTTATATCACGATCTGAACGAAGACGTGAATGAATTGGATGTCCGTGAAGGTACGTGACTTTTTTTTTCATGTGGTAAAATTAAGTCGAATCGGTGTTTGGTTACTCGAGGTTTGTCACCAGCAACGCGTGTCTCCAAAAAGCAAAAAGAAGTTTGTTAGTATATTAAGTAAGAAAGAAGCGTTTAACGTTTAGTGCACGAAACGAGCTTCCTTTTGCTTTGATCGAATGAAATAATCGAATGTTACAAAACATCGATGAGTTTCGAGAGCTTGAAATTGCTATATGCCCTTAATAAAAATAGTTTGCTCGTGACAAAAACTTTCATCGCGACTTTGTTGCGCGAAGTGCAAAAGTACAAATTGCTCTTCGTTCAGATCATGATGTAAACTCAAATCAGGTTACACGTTAGTGGTAATTTTTAAAAAATTGAAGGTTAAGTGCGTTGTTTTTTCATTTCCTTTTTTGTGTACGCCGAAAAAATTTGGCTCGTTACAGTGTGTCATTATTCGATACAATATCTTTTAATATTGGATAGGTACAAGCGTACCCATACTTCACAGTCAAACATGAAATGATTACAATACTTAAGATACAACTAATACTTAGTTACTGCCGGTTCATTTACCCCCCCCCCCCCCTCACACACACACATACACACACACACATGCATAGTGATGTTTATTATTTTACCATGATTCAAGAGTTTCGATCAACAATTATCATTGAGTAATCGTTAGAACGGTATGATTGTGTCGCGCATTTGATGAACGTAAATTCCAATTGTGATACCTCTAGCAAAATAAGCATCATTATGTACTCAGTTCAAACTAGTTTACATTAAATTTTATAAGATTAGAAGGTGATAAGAATCATATAATCGTGAGGTCGTATTTTGCTCGAATCGTATTACGCTATGATCGTAATTATTATAAATATATTGCATAGGCTGTTGAGTGTTTCAATGGGTGTGCGAAATGTTCGTCGTGTTACGAAATTCCTTTCCAGCCGTATCGATTCGGTATTCAGATAATAACGGAAAAAAATAAATTGGTTTGTATATAGATTACGAAAAGAAACAATTCAGCTGGCTTCTAATATATATATATATATACACCCGTTGGAACATTGCGTTAGCTTTCCACGTTGAGCGATTATCGCGAACTGTATACACTGAATCTACTGCTATCATTCGTCATCGTTAACATAATTTTTGTCCAAGTATGTTACATCTGCGTACGTCTAAAAATCGCGTGTACAGTGTGTGGATATAAATTATTTATCGGCGTTCGAGAATCATTTAGTAAACGCGTATTAAACAAAACGAATCATTTTTGGCCATGGGTATACCAGAAGAGAAACAGTTAGCCCTCGATCACGCAAAGCGGTACAACGCTTAAAGCGATCGGTTAGCTTGTCACAGATGTTCATTGTGACACGAAGAGCAACGGACAACGGAAACGGCTGAGCAGTCCTGACGAATTAAATCCAGGACTCTCGCCAACAACAAGAGGAACAATAATAAATAAATAAAAACAGATGTGCGCTGGAGACGAACTACACAAGTTTGTGATCTCTCTCTCTCTCTCTTTCTCTTTCTCTCTTTCTTTCTCTCCCGTCGTAGCTGGTCGCAACGCTGACCAGTATGCTACGACGAATACGATACATCTAACTCTACCCCAGACGTCGATACGAAGAACGAAACTCAACGATTAGCATCGCACAAAATGAAATTTGACGCTCGAGCTATGCGCATCAGTTACACTCCGAGTCCATGGGCTGATTTGTCGCGATGCTTGTGTCAGTTGTACAGAAGCAACAAACGCGACGTCAGACGTGTGTCTTCCAGCAAAGACACGTAATTACAACGAACGTAACTGATCTAAAATATGTGGAAAAACGGGACTGTAGAAAATGGAAGAAAGTCCTCGACGATTACGACGCAATTTATTCGATAATTGTTCGCTATTATACGCACGATAGGCATTTCGATCGGATGAAAACGAGAATGAGATTGAGATATCGAAATCGAGAGAATAGTTTATGCTCACACTCTGTACAGATTATATAGAATTCCGACGACAAAGGTATTTCTTGTCGGTACCGTTCGACTTTTTGTAGGAAACGCTCGTCGCGTTGTATTTCCAGCATATCATCGAATTATTATTTTTTTTTTTTTTTTTTTTTCGTCAAGTTACCGTGTAAACGATATCGATCGATGGAAAACAATTTTTTACTATATATATATTCCGCGTAAATAGCGTACTGTACTGTACTGTAAAACGGCCAATCGTGAATGTTTCGTATATTTTAGTTTTTTGTTGTGAGAAAAAAAAAAAATGTGAACACGTTGAGATGCGTTTTCGTGATGTTTTCCATTATTTCGTCGGTTCGAACGTTCGAGTATAATAGATATATGTAAATGCACAGACGACACATGATTAACGAGAATAAATATTTGTATACGTAAGTTTGAGTTTTTCGTAGGGATCATCGAGTGAAATGTAAATAAAAAATAGAACTTTATTAAATACGACGGAGTTTTCTTACAGACGTTGAAACTGATAGACGGCTACGTTGAAATATTTCTAAACCTTCCGTAAATATCATTTATCTTCGGATTTACTTGTAGCCGTGTCCTCCTTCGGTTCCTCCTCGGTGTTCTGTAAATAATTTCTAAGATGAATTCTCGTCTTTTAAATAACGCGATCAAATATTTACCTTGTTATTCGATAAATCTTCTTTGTTTTTCCTTTTGAAAAAGCCCATCTGATCGGAAAATAATATTAATAATATCTGAAACATCTTGCGACGAAATTACCGAAGTAAAAAAAAAAAAGAAAGAAAGAAAGAAACATTACCATGGTCAAAATCGCGACGAAAACAAGCAACAGTAAAAGACCTATCGAAACGGAAACGATAATGATCCATAGCGATAGTTTTTCCGTTTTCGAACTGTTGTAGAACATCGTCACAATTTCTATCGTAGATCTGAAATAGACTTATCGTATAAAAAAATATTTTAATGCGTGCAAATGCTTCGAAAAAAGATAAAAATTTACCGAGTTCCATTAATAGGTAGTCTCGCGCCAGGTTTTATTATTTCCACGGTGGCTTCGGTACCAAACTTTAGAACGACTTCGCTGTTGTCAGAAATATCTTAACGTATTTAAAAAAAAATAAAAAAACATACAATAAATGTTGGTTACAAGACGCAGTAAACAAATCTGCCACGCAGACAAATTACCTTTAAGTCTTTCGACGTTTAAGAAAAGCTTGACCGATAGCTTTCCAATGTCGTCTAATGTTTTTAACGCGTTCAAATCGCACACGACGATCGTGCAGTTCACGTCAGAAGTCGAGCAATTCATATATAGAACATCAGTCGTCAGACTTTCATTCGAAGTCCGCGAGACTCGAATATTCTCTGCGTCGTACAATTCGGAACTTGATTCGTCTACATCTCTTTTATATGCCGCGTGATCTGCACTCTGTTGCTCTTTTTGTACTTCGACCAATTGATTATCTACTAAAATGTTCTTTGAGAAGCACTCGAAACGTTCTCCCGATACATAAAGCTGAAAATGTACTTTTCCAAGTTGCCAGAAGCTGCAAGTTTTTAAACCGACATAATTATTTCTTACCTGAGGTTTATATATATGCACCAAAGATTCCGAACTGTTAATAACTGTTGGTATCTTAACGACAAGTCGAGCATCCTCTATAGGCGTAGCTCCAAGTTTGTACACTTGATAAGTATGTTGAAAGCTGACGTTCGAAGCGTTATTGTTTGTAGTAGACAGATGATACGTTTCTTCGTATGCTTTACTGGAAAAAAAAAAAGGGGAATTTCTCGAAAACAGATACGCTGTAGTATTCGACAAGGAGGATTGTGTAAAAAATACGGACCCATTTAGAGATAAAGAAACTTCGCTCGCTAGATTGAGCGTCTTGCGTAAATTCACTGTTCCTTGATTTGTACTACGAGTTTTAATCGTTACGTTGAAATATAATTCATGGCCGTGCAACGAGCCGTTAATTAAATGCTTCATATCCAAGTCGAGCGTGATATTTTTCTGTAACAATACGTGCATTAGTACTTAGATGTCAATGAAACAAAAAGTCGCAGCAAAGTACCTCTTCTCCTTTCCAAAGAGGGTTTCCTGCTTCGCAAAATACCATTAGATTCTCTTTAGACGTGTCTTCTTGGCAAGAGGATAAAATTGAATGTAATATTACTCCCTCGGGAAACGCGAACTCGAGCGTGGTGAGATACGAGGGTTCTCCGTGATTCTTTACATTGACTTCTAAGCTTACATCGGTTGAACCGATGATCCACACGTCGTTGTCGCTATATAAAATTTGTTGTGATCAACGAAACGAAAAGGATTGCAAAAAGTTCTCCAATTCTTACCGCACGCCATGAAATCTCGCAGTGGCGGACACGTTGGAGTTGCAGACTGTATCTGGTCCGCAACCGATGTTGAAAGGCAGTAAAATTTGAGTAACGTTCAACTTGTTATCGCTTCTTTCTACTGCGCAAAATTTGCAGAAACTACCGGATGATGCATTACTGTACACGAAATGGTGCCTTGCGAAAATAGTAATCGGCTCGATAAAGTCTCGTACACTTTTCTGTAAAGCGTATCGGGTCGAATCGGTATACCTAAGTAAAAAATTGATGCAACTATCGATACAAGGGTCAATCGTTACCGAAATGTTGACTCGTGTTTCTAAACAGACGACCGATGTTAAGTTACAGGATGTCAACTCTAGAAATGTCTCCTTGGTCCGCTGGAACTGTTCGTCTACGGTGACTGTGATTTTACATTTTGTAACTGCAGGTGAATTCGATTGTATTATATTTCAAATAAATACCACTGACATCGCGTAAACATTTGTACTAGTTACCTAGGGCGCTTTGCATATTGTACCCATCGTACCGTGGACATATTCGAATTACGAATTGCTTGGCGTCCCTTTCCAAAACGTTTGGTATAACGCGAATTGAAAGCTCCGTTTTTATTACTGGCTTACTGCGAAGTATTACAGCGTAGCCCGATTTATACGCGCCTACTGGAATGTCTAAATACCTGAAACGATAATGTGATTATGATGACTTGTACGTTCATCGCATTAAATGGACTCCACCAACCCGTTTCCATCGATGTCGATCGGCTTGGATGTCGAAAACCCAAATCTCTCTATAGGTAAACCGTTTAATCGAAATAGACTCGTTCCTTGAATCCGTACTGACGCTTGCAATTTGTTGTATTTCAGGTCGGGACCACCGTTGTATATATAAATCACTCCAGATTCTTCCCAAGGTGCGCCCACGATGATATCTGCCGAGTGTTTAAACAAACGTAACGGATCCGCGAGACCAGAAGCACGATTAACAATTACCATCGAATCCATCGGAATCTAGATCACCGCTAGCTATCGCGTATCCAAAGCGTCCATCTTTTGCGGCTCCTTGTAAGACTATAGCCGCTTCAAATTGTCCCTTTTTCAAAAGCATGGAACACGTTAACGTTAACAACTCGATCATTTACGTTGTCTAAAGCATTTCTTACCTTTAAAGTGCCGAGATATACGCAAACTTTGCCGTTGTCTTGCCCCCAATAGGGTGCTCCAACCAGAAGATCGTCCAAGCCATCGTTGTTTAAATCTCCCACGGCCAAGCTTGCTCCAAAGTACTCACCCGTATCGGTACCGTGTAGCTTCGCGACAATTGATGAATTCATTGCTGGATTAAGTATTGCTACCTGAAAAAGACATTTCATCACTTTCAAGATTTCAATATTCATCTAATTTTAATTACCTGGCCCACGTATTGCCAACCCGGGGCGCCACTGACATAAAGGACTTGATTTCTGTCGAAGAAGCAACCAGATTCAACGCTATGACCTAGAGGACAGTATTGCACGATGCTTTGATTTATCGGAAGAAAGGAAATCCGTCGACGTAATGGACTCACCGAACTGGGACAACTCGTCGTTTAATGGCAACTCTATGCTGATTCTTTTCTTTGCGCGCACTATGTCGACAGTGCCGCAAAGCTCGTGCATGGGATTCCCAATGATTCGACTTACTTCATTCTCTCCCTTGTCTTCGTTCGGCTATATTTCATTGCAAATTAGTTGTGTAACATCGAAGCGTGTATTCTCACAGAGTGTAACTTGCATACCTTCGTCGAGGCGTAATGAATGGAAAAACCACGCATCGGATTGTACCAGAATTTTGAGTTGAAATCTAAGCGTTTTAAAAAAGAAAAATATTAGTTCCTGCAAGGAAGTCCTAAAGAAGGTAAATCCGCGACTTGGCAAACTAATTAGGAGCAGATGCTATTCTCTCTCTAACAAAGTATACTTTTGTTTCAGGCTACGCGAATCCTGTTAACGCTAATACTCCCGATCACGCAACTGTGAAAGTCAAGATCTTCGTTCTCCATCGACAGGCCATCCGAGGTAATATTTCCACTGTAACACATTCCCTGCATGGTGTCGGAATAGGTCTTCTCGAAAGCATTGTAAATGTGCAGGATCGTCCGCGGCGCGCATACCTGTAATTAATTATTCGCGTTCGATAACGCTAATAACTAGATACAGCGAGAACGGAAACATTGTACTACTTACCGTTAAAAATCCATTCGATCTATCCATGGCCATAGCACTCCCAAACCAACCGTGTTGTTTTTTTATATAAACGTTCATCTTTAGTTGCTCTACGTAGACTTCTTCGTTGACGATTTCTTTCGGTTTAATCTTCTCGCATCCATCAGCACCAATTTCACAGCGATACACGATACCATGTTCGGGGACCGTGATATAGTTGCTTCGCGGTGCCCCAACTATCAACCTTTCGCAATCGCAGTTATACGAAATGAAATATTATTTAAAAATGAATGTAATTAAAACGATTAATCAGTGGGAAACCATGTACGTTACCAGGATGCATTTTTGCTCGATTCGCGGTACAAATACACCGTGTAACCGAAGTAAGTACTGTTGGTCGAATACGCGTCTCCGTGGAAATAAATAAGTGGAAAGTCTGTGTCTATATTGTATCCGTACACCGCCGCAACGAACAATAGAAATATCTCTTTAACGTCCATTCTATCAACGTTTACTGCGGTTCTTAAACTCGGTACCTCCCGTTGTAAAGAATTTCAATATCGCAAATTTTTATTCAACGCACAGGAAGTCGTACGATAAGGCACGCGTCAGGAAATGTATCATCGCGAAATTATTTAATGATAGCTATCGCGTTATAGACATACAACAGACAAACAAATTTAACATTTTATTTATTCTCTTATATACAGATGTAAAAAGACTACATTTAAAGAATTCCATGCTCCCGCAAAAGATCTTCGAGTTCCACCAGTAAATGCAATTCTTTTCGCCGATTTCTTGAATGCAACTGCGGACACTGGAATGCAGGAAAGATGACATATTATTATCATGACTAATTAATATTAATGAGAAATTATTAATGATACTATTTCTATTGGAACATCTGCTGTATCATCTTTCTAGACTTTCTGTAATTCTTGTATAGATCATTCAGCGAATGTTTCAAAACAGAATTCGTTTTACCCCAGCTTGACTTCGCAGTTTCATAGCATTCGGAATCTCGCGAACGATCCTCTTCTTTCTATTCTCGAAAGTAGGATGCGTCATTAAAAGCGGTATTTGGTATTTCATTGCTTCCATAATGTCGGTATTCTTTTCTATTTGATCGAACATGGTTAGAACTTCTCTTACGTCTATGCAACTCTGAAAACGTAAAAAGTGGCTTCGCAATTGAAACATAAAGATCGTAAAAATGTACGAAAAGGGATCGCATACTTTTGCAGCTATTTGAAATCCAATTTTATCCGCTTCAATTTCTAAGCGTCTACGGTAAGGGTAGAAAAATAAAATGTTGTGAAGTAAACCAGATCCTAGACATATCGACAATGCTCTCCAGCTAGAAAAACACGACCAAATGAAAAACAATGGTATACTGATTACGATGTTCTTCATGATTTCATAAGAGAACGTTTCAACCTGAAAACAAATACACAATGAATCCTCGAATTGCAATCGTATTCTTCTTGGAAAATAACTATTTACCGTATGTAGGAGCATAACGTGCGACATTTCATGCGCTAACATAAATGCTAATTGGTCGTTGTTATTTACCACGTTGAAGATACCAGAAAAAACAAATACGTGACCGCTCTATAACGTTTAAGAGAGAATATTATTTTTGCTCGTGATAGCATTTCGGTAGAAAAGAAATTTACATACGGGTAGAACCATCGCATTCGCGACTGGAAAATCGATTATATGGATAGACCATTTTGTATTTTTAAATATCTCTTTATTAGCATGTGCTAAATTCTTTACTATCATGGATAGTCTCCAATACATGGGGTGGTATGTCGATACGAACTTATCTTTGTATACCGTCGATAGCTGCATGAATTTACAACTATATAAAATAGTATTTTATTACGTATCTACGATTTCTTTCATCTGAATACGCACCATCATAAAAATATAATTTCCGATTGCGACTTGGTCTGCTTCGTCAAACATTATAAAACGTAGACGTTTCTCAATTGGATCTCTCTCCAAATGCGTCAAATAGTAAATCAATAAAATCGAAGACACAACAACCAAAGAACCTGAAAGCAGAAGATCAATTACTCTTTTCATCATTTCAAACATCAGCGACTCATAAATTATCTACCAAAAAATGTATTTCTTCTTTCCCAGTACCATCTTTTATACTCCTCCTGTTTGCTTGGAGTTTTTTTCAACCACAAACGTCTCATATAATATCCGGTACAAATCGAGCCGAGTTTCAAAGATGTGCACACCATCATCATGACAAAAGGCGATATATACAGAGTCTTTGTAGTATGAAAATTCGATGTTTGAAGTTTTGAACCATGCCATTTTCGTTCAAACTTTTTGCATTGAAGACAGTATCTTTCGGGTGGGGTAATAAATGACATACGCTCCGTGGCACACATTATAGTTCTAATGGTTGCAAATTGAAGACGTTTGACGTGCAGAATCCGTACTTTATACATGTTCATATATTTCGTGTATACAATTAATTATCATACATCGGATCAATGTTTATTGTATCGACGCAACTTCCAAAATACGTGAGATAACATCGACTATAAATGTTTCGCAGTAATTTCATAAAATCCTTTACGAATGCTTCATTGTTCGATAACGGGGCAGATTTAACTATTAAACCGATTAAACGCATTTAAGATTATCAAATAAAATTTTGTTTGACGTTCTATTCGTCTTACATCATATGTTCGTGAAATAGTAATTCTGGCAGGAGCACGTGAGGAAAAGACAAAACATATGTGATGTAGCAAATGAAAAAAGGAAAATCGTCAAACGTTTTTCGCAAAGATATTAGAAAGTTTATTGATACGTATGTATATTATATCAGTTGTTGATATGTGTGAAAGCTTTCATGCATAGCGACGTATAAAATCGTACAGCCTAGTATCTACATGTTATTTACATACATTGAAGAAGATGTGGTGCAAGAAGAAGAATATTTAAGGATAGAAAGAATCGTCTTGGGAGTGATGATTTTTATTGGTTATAAAATCATTTCGATTGTGATTTATTTACAAATTTACGTCCATGAAATGTGACTACCTGACTACCTTTCGTCTTTTGTGTTTCATGGACACGCGAATGGTATCGCCATCTCGCGGTCAAAAAAACGAATTAATTTTAGAACCACGATCCCAAGTTTGTAGTGAAAGTAGTTCTCACTACTGCCACTAGACGGCGAATTTGTTTAGTATCAGTGGCGCCATCGATGGAAAAACGCCCAAGTTTATAATGAAGCTAGTTTCAATTATTTCTATAAGATGGCGCCACCGATATTTTGTTAGCAATCAATCTTTATTTTTTATAAACTAATAACAATCCTCTGCTCTATAACGCTACAATATATCATTTCAATGTATTATTTAAACCTTCATCTTAATATTTGTTTATTTATTAAATTTTGCGCCATCTCGCAGTAACAGTGGGAACTATTTTCACTACAAACTTGGGTATTTTCCCACCGATGACGCCATTCTACTAAATCCCGCTCACAGAGTTAGCTCACGGGTTAGCGAGCAATAACCTTTCTGAATTCACCCAAAGAAAGGTACTGTTATAGGTGGCAGTCATGTATAGCATCCTCGAATTGGCCAGTTGTCGGCTTTCTATACCAATTCAAAAAATTTGTGACAGTAAAGTGTGTTGTCGACGCCCAGTTACTCGTGAGTGTTTCGGTTAAATTTCATATTTTACATTCCTCGATGCAATACGCCTTTTACCGCGTTAAGTGGTGACAAATGCGATTGGATATATCTGGCCCTATATTCGGACGATATCGCTTCAGAGGAAAAATCGATATATTTGACGAAATATCTAAAATGGCGATCTGAAAAAACAATTATTTCATAGCAGACCTATGTGTGTAATCGACCTGGCTACCATTGAAATTTTTCAAACTGGTTTTTCGTTTCTTATGCGAAACGATCGTTTTTTTGTGAACATTGGGGAAACGCAAAGAGGTTCTCGATTAACGCTTAGCATTTATGTCTCTTTACTTGGGGAGCACACGACAAAATGTTACGGGACGTAATTGGACGTGACTGAATGTAATGAGACGTAACAAGACTTGACGGAACTCGGTAAGACTAGACAAGACTAAACGCGATGGAACGGAACGAGACGAAATTTCACGTGTCGCTGACAAGTAACCTCGTGTAAGAAAGCTTCCCGCGTATCGCATTAAGGACCGCTTGTTGTAACGTACTACTCATTTCTTTGCGCAGGAAGATTAAAAGCTGAACAAGAACAATGCAGACAATTAAGTGCGTTGTGGTAGGCGATGGTGCAGTAGGTAAAACTTGTCTGTTGATATCGTATACCACCAATAAATTTCCATCCGAATATGTCCCAACAGTATTCGACAATTACGCAGTAACTGTTATGATTGGCGGGGAACCATATACATTAGGATTATTTGATACAGCTGGTAATTGTCGTTTCAATCAAATTTATTTAGTCAAAAGTGTAATAAAATTATATCGCTCTGTTTACATCCATGTGCTTCTTTGCAGGTCAGGAGGATTACGATCGTTTACGACCTTTAAGTTATCCTCAAACCGACGTGTTTCTGGTTTGCTTCTCTGTCGTATCGCCCTCGTCATTTGAAAATGTTAAAGAGAAGGTACGTCTCTAGAATTTGACTCTCGACCCATCTTCTTACAGCAAAATGTAAAATTAGAAATCTTTTATCAGTGGGTTCCAGAAATAACTCATCACTGTCAAAAGACTCCGTTTTTATTGGTCGGTACTCAGATAGATTTGCGAGATGACGCCGCGACTATAGAGAAACTTGCAAAAAATAAACAAAAACCTATATCGGCGGAACAAGGAGAAAAGCTCGCCAAAGAGCTAAAAGCTGTAAAATATGTCGAGTGCAGTGCTCTTACACAGGTATCGTGTTTATATTATCGAACGTTTTCCGATCAACCGATTCGTTACCGTTTTTTCCGCATTTTAGAAAGGCTTGAAAAATGTGTTCGACGAAGCGATCCTAGCCGCTTTAGAGCCTCCCGAGCCAGTCAGAAGAAGACGGTGTATCGTCTTGTAGAGCACAACCGACATCCTTTCTAAAACCTATTAGCGCTATTCAGCCGAAGACTGTGAGTTCCATTGTACGGTGCATGCAAGAACATTTTCGACGATCGGTAACCCCGATATCCGAGTAATCGGTACGATTCATCTTTCGTTTTTAACGCATTCGATCCGTGCTCGACATAAACGAAAAATTCACACAAAAAGATGAAAACAGACATTTTATACGTAACGGAGACGCATATAAATGTATACGAATATGCGTCTCCCTTTGCCAAACCTTTCGTTGAAGAAATATAAATCAACGATCGGTTTCGAACGAACGGCAGCGAGCATCGATACTTTTGACGATCGCACGAAAGAAATGGCATAATCACCGAGACCTACGAACATCCATAAGAGTTTCGTAACTAAATATTTGCAAAACATTCAACTATTTAATGTATAAGACGTTTTTATTGATAAATTGGTAGTGTGAATTTTTTAATAAATCAGTTTTAAAAAATGATTCGTACCTATGAATACATTTTTTACGATTTCTACGTACGTTTAACTTTGTACTTTCGCGAGAACACGACGCGACGGTAATGTCGCATACTAACTTTAATCCTTTTCGTACGTAGGTTTCCCGAATAAGAACATGTGTTTTTGCGGATACTTGTAAAAAAAAAATCAACACGATGGTGTGGTTAAAGCTTTATTTACATTCGCTTTTTTTCACGGTGATATCGTTGAATAATTACGTAAACTATAGTACATGTAAAACTTGTTCTTAAATTTGGCCGTTTATTACCATGAATGTTTGGTACCTAACTTTGGATTGAAATTGATCGCATTCGAATATCGTTGTACGATATCGAATGTTACCTTACCTTCTACTCTAACACGTTGATACTTCACTTTTATATTTAAGTCGCTACAGTACCGATTGCGATACACTGTCGTTACACATGTATCTGGATAATGCACACGCCCAAATCGACTCGTCGTTCACTCGTCTAATACTCTTTTTCGTGAAACGAACGTGTACTCTACGCTTTCGCTTCTCGCGAAAGACGAAGCGGCATACGCGACTCGCGTACACTATCCGTACGTTTCAAATATAGAGAGGGCAAACTAATATCAACTACTTCGCACGAGAAATGATCGTGTCTCGCATTTAGTCTCGCATTTGAACACTTGTATTGTTTTCGTAATACAAAAAATACGGAATACTGTTTAACTGTGTCACCTATCGTTCCAATTGTCTCTTCGTTTCTTTTATCGCCTTTTTCGTTGTACTGCCGTTTACAACGATAGGTTCCTCGAACATTAGTCTTTCTCTCGTAAGCATAAGACGGAAAAAAGAGGAGCGATTAGAGGAAACGGAAGAGGCGACGGCAGGATGTCATTGCGCAAACGTAAATCACGAAAATTCAAGAAAATACGGGCCCCCCATTTTTTTTTCTTTTTTCTTTTCTTTTTTTACCGACCCTTTAACGAAACAATCGAAAATAATTTGCTTCGTACGAAACGTTGCGATAATCGAAATAAAATGTCTCTGGTTCGCGATACATTGCACCTCTTCTTTTTCGCCATGATATTCCTAATTACTGTATCAATTCCACCGCAATTATGTAATTCAACTTGAATTGTAAATAATCGTCGTCAGCTATACTTACACGCATACATAAACGTCTTGAACGTACTTTGGTTTATACTTGTGGTTATTAGCATACGTATTCTTACCGTGACTAGAATCGATGACAACGGCACGTTGTCGGTGTGACACGCGACGAAACAGTTTGCTTTGCGGCGTAACGCGGGCCCTGAGTTTACAATTTTGTACATCGCACGCGATTCCGTTTAATTTTAAGATGCGCGCAATGGGCGTTTCGTCACGAATATCGTAATTCCTCGCTTTAAGACGAAGAATAAAACACAGATTCAATTTCATCCGTTCAACCTGAAGACTCTGTCTTATTCTCAGACAGGATAACAATGCAGTTCGTTCACATCTTGCTGAAAGAAAATCAAATCGCGCGTTTGTATCAGATTCTTGCGCCTTGCAACCGGGAAAAAAAGCTCAGTCTTAAAAGCGAGGAGCTACCATATCGCGCAACTGATCGTCTTTTTACTATCGCCGTTATCGCGAGAGTCTGTGTCGTCTAACACAATCAGTTCAGGGGTTACGAAAGGTGGGTCCGTAGTGGCAGACATAAGACAAAATTATAATACAGTTAATCGTACCATTGTACAGGGTGATTCAGCAGATATTACAATCTCGATTTACGTTTCAGATAGAGCTGAACGCAGATTAACAATTCCACGTCAATTCGAGCGGAATCGATGTCTGCCAAGTACAGACCCTTCCCTTGTTAAAGATCTTCCCCCGCTTCGCCTCCGTACATACAGGAATGCCGGCTGATATCTCATTATGTATTCGTCGCGTCCCATCAAACACAATACCGCACGTAGAGGGGAACAAAGTCACGCGAGGGTCTGCGCAGACGTGGATAGGAAGTTTAGCGTGGAATTGTGTTTACCCGAGCGGAATGAACGGCCATGCTTCGATAGACGAACACGTGTGCGCCGTAGACGTAAACACCCGCTTCGGGGAATACTTTGGTACACGAAACGTACGAGAACGCGTTATCGCGTCTCGCGTATTTAAACGTTCATCGCGTAATATACCGAATTCGGGGCGTGAGGTGGCAAGGACACCGCGGCGGGATTGCGCGCGTAAGGATTAGTCGCGAGTAGAATTCCTGGCTGCGGGACGTCGTGAGAGGAAGCGCTGGCTGCTCCTTCAGGAACGCCACGCTCGATGACCGCGTAGGGCCCGAGAACTTGTTGCTGCAGCTTCGACGGCGAGCAAGGGATCTGCAACGAGGACGACGACGAACAGGAGGACGAAGACGAAGAGGAGAAGGAACAAGTGGAGGAAGATGAGGAGGAGGAAGAGGACGAGGACAAGGTCGCGGCGGAGGTGCAAGGCGTGGAAACGGATTGAACAGTTCCACGCGTAGATTCGGAAACATGATTTGGAAGCGCGTGCGGGGACGTCTGCTGAGGCGCGACCGTGACGGTGGGCAGGGAGGAGAAAGACGAAGACATGGGCGACGCGTACGATGACGAGGTTGGCAACGACGGGGAGTAGGTGGTGGCGCACGAGGCGATCGAGGTAGAGGAGGAAGAAGACAGAAACGTTTGAGCCGATTGCAATTCGGACGAAGGTGTGACGACGGTGCGTCCAAGATGCACCTGGTAAAATCTGTAAGAGTTCTCTGCGGTCGGTGGCCCGCTGCCAGCGTACGTTGCGCATCTCGAGGGTGCGATCACGGTGTAAGAGGACGACGACGAGGGTGGAGCCGCGGCGATCGTCGACGGCAACCGATAGAACGTGGGTTGATGGTGGTGTCGATGATGTTGGTGCTGATGATGGTGGACTTGTAACGAGTGACCTGCGGTTTGGGGCACGGGCGAGAAGGCTACGTCCGAGATTCGAATGTCTTCAGGTTGTTGATGATGGTGGAGATGAAGATGCAAGGTTTGTTGAGCTGGTTGTAACGCTATGGGATTGGGGGGCGATATCGCGGCGAGGCGCGAGTCGAAGGGGGGAGAGGTGCCCAGGGGCACCGAGTGACCGATCGAACCGGTAGGAACAGGCGAGGCGAGATTGCTTTGCGTCAGATTCGAAATCGGCGACAACGAACGGTTCCCCAGGTGATAGTATCTCAGTTGTTGTTGCTGTTGCGACGTAGGCAGTGGTTGCGGCTGCGTTTGCGGCCGATGATCGTTCTTATTCGAGCACGAGTACGGGTAACGTTCGATGTGACTCGCGTAGCTGGGGGATGGATGCGACGGCAGAATGCGCTGGATATTCTGATAAGTCGGATCGGAGAGACTGTTGCACGGGACGAAGTACATGGTACGATAACACTTGCCGTTACTGGGTAACGGAGCGTTAACGGCGGGCATCGCGTTGCAGCGATAATTGGAGAGCGTCGTCACGACGGCCTCTCTGCGTCGGGTGTTCGCTGGAAGAGCAGTCGTCCCGTAGTCTCTGCCGGCACCGTCGATATCTTCGGCGCCAGCTGCGACGCCGCGCTGGCCACGCGCGTTACCACCGTTCAGCTGCTCTTGGAAATATTGCTGACCGTTTCTTTGCTCTTGATAAAAGCGGTACGTGCCGTCGTTCGCCGGTATTTGCACATGCTGTCGCGAGAACGTCTCGTCCGTGCACGGCACGTGCTCCAACGAGCTTTGAGTGGCGACGTTTGTGTTCTCCACGATGGTCTGATAAATATCGTCGATCTGCTTCTGCATGGTGTTTATTCTGTTGATCGTGTTCGCGTCTCGTTCGTTGGGAACCAGGCTACCGACGATGGAATGCGAGACGGAGTCGTCGATCGTTTCGTCGTACATCATACTGACGCAATTATTTTCTTGGTAGGTCGGCAACGGAGATTGGAAGTTTGATCCAGGCGCAGCAGTCTCGTCGTTTTCCAGAACCATTCGATGAAACGTTTCGTCGGAAGCGCTATTGGAGAGTCGCTGTTTGATACCTGTTACCGATGGTCTGCGATTGAATCCGTAATCGTTCAGCTCGTCGTCCTCGTCGTCGTTGTCGTCGTTGCCACCGTTTCGATCGTCTTTGTTCGCTCTATTGTTATCGTATCGGTGGACAGCGTTGCATTGTACTTCGCCGCGGTTCTTATTCTCATTGTTCACGCGATTGCTATTGACGTCGTCGCGATGAGCGACACCGAATTGCTGCCTACCGTCGTCGCCGTCGCTTTTCCCGTCGACGACTCTGTCCAGTCTGTTATCTGCAACGTAGCTACTTGTATTATTCATCTTTGGCAAGTAGTGATCGTCTACCTCGTTGTAACGACGCTTTATTCGCTCGGTTCTGAACTTGTCCTGTTCGACGAACGCCAGCAACTCGTCAGACATGTTGTCACCTATGTCTGGTCTATTGACGACCATCGGCGTACCTTTGGTAACATCAGGCGCGCCTACGTAGCTTTGATCTTCGTCGCGCAACGCTGCCTCTATATCCTCCAAACTGTAAGGCGACATCGCGTTGTAATTCGCGGCTGAATCGCGATTCTCGCCAGCCATCATCCTCGAATCGTGACGATAGTAGTCTTCCTGAGTATCCGTACTATTTACAGTCACGCAGGACAACGGAGCCAAGCTCGCCAAGAACTGTCTACGCGCGTCCGAGTTGTTCGCTTTTACTACAGAGTTTCTCGATTGTTGGCACTCTTTGACGTTATTGCTCTTCCCATTGTTCCCCAGACCGAGGTCTGGCATGTTGGAACTTTTCTTGTGCACGAACAGATCCGTCAGCTTTCTATAGGTCGATTGATTGTGCGAGTGATCCGCGCCACCACCGCCCAAAGAGTTTTGCTTGTGATAATTCGAGGCCGCGATCGTCGTGGTTACCGCGAACGACGTTGCTGCTGTCGGTGGTATCGCGGTCGTTCCAGACGGTACACCGTATCCCGTAGCCGTAGGTGTCGCCGACGTCGGAGTCTCGGCGACTTGGACGGTTTGGGGAACGGATTTCGCAGCTACTTCCTGTTCCGACGTCGAGGCACGCGATAAATCGCTGTCGACGCTGGCGATCGCCACCGAATCGGTAACGTCCGTAGAATTGGAACACGCGTCACCCTCCTCCTGATCCACGCAGGTCAGCTGACGTATTCTTTCCTCCAAAGACAAGTTCTTCAAGGGTGGATTCTTTTTCCTGGAGGTCGAGCGATACTTATCCAGGAGACTCCTGCGTAACGTGTTTCTCTCGATCGTTCTTCTGAACAGATTCGAGTCTTCGTCGAAGGAATCGGCGCTTTGGCTCTCCGACATCTTCGATCTCTTCACGGTGTCGAATAAACGCAGACTCTCGGTGGACACGTGGTGGCTCGGGCACTGTTGCGAATCGTCGATGGAGTTCGTCGAAGAGATCATCTTGCCAGGCGGCGCTGGAGGCGGCGAAACGAATTTTGGATTCGGGAACAGTTGTCTAACGGCGGAATTTGGTTTCAGGCTGTTGCTGGCCAGGGAAGAGTTGCCCAGCTTGAAGACAAGAGAGAGTTCCTTCGCGTCCGACGCTGTCTCGCTTTGTGCCAACCTGGTCTCGATGGAGTCCTCCTCCGCGCCACTTGCCAGCTTTCTAGATAACGTTCGCTGCGCATCGCGGTCATCCGCGGCGCAGAGACGTCGAGCTTCCTCGTTTCGCGACATACATTCCACGGAATCCGCGACGTCGTTGATCGTGCTTTGGAAAGCCGCGATCCTTTCGGAAACAGTCTTCCTGTCGCTCCTCCTTTCGTTCGACGAATCGATATCCTCCCGTCGAACGACCCGTTCCTCTTCTTCGCTGATCTCGCGAACAATACGCCGCTCCGTGACCGTCGTCATGGTTATCGTCTCCACGAGATATCGGTGGCGTGCTTCTGCAAACAAACATTTTTTCCTTGTTCAAACAAACTATAATTCTATAGTTCTTATATACATATATAGTTCTTATTTGATAGATTTGATTATTCAGATATATAGAAAAAGAGGAGATGTATACGTACCGGTGGACGTCGTTCGTTGCAACTGGTCGCTTGATTTCTTTGCCTTATCGTCGTCGATCTCCGTCACCTCCTGATCGTACGACGAGTCCCCTTCGGTCTTTGTATCTGTGAAATCGTACATATTATTTTAACGGTGTCGTCGAAGAGAATATAGTTATTTACGTATCGTAAAGGGTTTTTCCAAAGCCTTTACAACAACGATTCCCATTCTACAATCGTTGATTTCGTTTAGAACACCGCGTACGTAAACCTCACGTGCGCGTGAGAGGTATATTAAAGAGACGCAAGAAGCGTATTCCACGAGATGGTGATCAGTTTTTGCCAGGAATGCACGCATTCGTCCTTGCCGCGTACCGTGAAAGCACCGGAGTCACGCTACGTTGTACACGCTTCCGATGAGTGTAGGCGCGTAGCGTTATCGTTTTAACGTCCACGGAGACGAGACATGCCGATCGATGTTTACGGGTTACGTAGCCATCGACGTACCTGCGTGCTTCTTCGTTACGAAACGAGAATAATAACCGCGTCCGTTGTTACAGTATATCGTTCGTGCGCGAAGAGAGGAGCCCAACGTCGGTCGTCCAACTCGAAAACACGTGTCGTGGGAAAAAGTACGCGAACTCGTTCGAAAGAATCCATTATTAACCGCCGCGCGTCCCATAGAAACGGGGAGTCTATGGGAACGCGCGATAGCTCTCCCGTGTTGGCACGACTCGCGGTGGAATAGATTTTTTCCCTTGCGAAGCGCAAGTGACGGATCGCGTAGTTGACGCTTGAAATCAAATTTAACGTATTGTTATGGAAGAATATAGCGTTTATACAGGGTGTCCCGGCATTGATGGTACAACCGAGAAGGAGGTGACACGAAAAAACAAATCGAAAGTAAGGAATAGAATTTTTTCATTTGAGATTTCATTTTCGAGAAAATCGATTTTAAATATTAATCATCGATGTTTTTTGTTTAATGGAATGATATATTTTCGTTAACGTAATGTTTCGTAGATGACAAAATAACGAATTCATCCATGTACTACGATATGACCTACGAATGACCTTCAATCCAGAAAAATGGAATAAACAAAATTCAACGCGTAAGATTCATTTGCTTCATGATGGACAATTACGATTAGGTAAACGGTCTTTGTGCAACCGCACTGCTTCTCTTAAACGCTGTCGAATTTCTCCATAAATGAGAATCATATCAATTTTATCTTCTTCCGGTTAACGCGTCGTGAAACGTATAGATAGATAGATTGGAAATCTTAGAGAACATTAGAATTAGAAATCAGAGAGCAGGAACGTCTTCGGACTGATCAGCAGTTGTAAACACGAATGTGTACAAACACATAGATAAAGATACGAATGAATTCATTATTTCGTCAGCTACAACATTACGTTGACGAAAATATATCATTCCGTTTAAAAAGAACGTCGATGACTTTGAAATTTTATAAAAAAAAAAAAAAAGACCTTGAAAATTTTGTCCCTTAGACCGTTACATGTGGCCTTTCAAATAGTGTAACGTTATCCTAAGAAGTGTTTTTGTACAACGAAATGTAACGGAGATATTTAGGTGTTCTGTTTCCTTCGGACTCGCTCTGTATATAAACTAAATTAAATGAAATGAAATTATCGATATCTGCCGATAGTGGTGCTCGTGCGTAATTGCTGGAGAAGTAAAAAATAATCGTAGGAAGAAACGCAACGATCAACGAGTGACAATTGTGTGGGAACGAACGTTCCAACGTGCTGCATGAACGGTTGGCAAACAGCGCGACTCACCCGCTGTTCGTTGACCGCGAAAGTAGCCTAACTAATAGATACTTGGCTACGTCGAAGAGCTTACCGTTGGAGTAAACATCTTTGTACCCCTCTGGCGGGCTGAGAGTTTCGTGTTGATGTTCCTGGCGCGGTAGCGGCGAGGATGTTTGATCCAAAGTTGCGGGTAGCCGCGGTGGTGGCGGTGGCGGTGGCGGCGGTGGAGGTGGTGGCGGTGGCGGCGGCGGTGACGAATGTAGCGACGTCGTTGTAGAATGTACAGACGTGCTCGTTTCCCGCGAGTTAGGTTCGATCGTTCGCTTTCGATTTCCATTCTCTCCGTCGGCTCTCTCGCGTCTCTTTTTCGCCCTCGTCTCCGCTTTCGCCAATCTCTCTTCGTTCTCCGCTTCCAATCGACGCTCGTTCGCCTCTACCCTTCGTTCCTCTTCCTCGGCATCCTCCTCCTCCTCCTCCTCCTCCTCTTCCTCCACCTCCTCGTCTTCGTCGTCGTCCACCTCTACCTCGTATTCGTCCTCCTCGTCCTCCACGTGCAACTCCACGCAATCGAAACGCTCGCTGCCGCAACCCTGCTCCCTCACCGTGTTCCCGTGCATAATCTCCTCGTCTCTCTCCGCATCGTGGTATCGACCATTATCCGAAACGCCGAACCGTAGGTTGAACTCCGCTCTGCACTCTTTGCAATTCCCCAGTTGCATCAGTTCGTGCTCCTGGCAGCAACAGTCGCAGTCCTCTTCGTAATCCGTGCAGCATTCCTCTTTTATCAATATTATGTAATCAGCCGCGAAGAACTCGTTTAGTTTCTCGTTGATCACCACTCGATTCTTCTGCGACCTGGCCTTAGATTGGCCGGGCTTTTTCAACAGGGACTTGAGAATCTTCGCAGGCTGCTCCGCCGGAAGTTTGCTTCCGTGCTCCTTCATTATCGGGGCTTCTTCGCTCTATCCTTTTCTCGCTGCTGGTGTTTCTCCCCTTCCGACTCCTTTCTCCCCTGGCGTTAGCCGTTTATTCCGTCCTTCTCCTCCTGTCGTTACCGTACCGTCTCGTCGGACGGTCCGCTCGTGCCGAGCGATTTCATTTTCAATGGAAAAAGAAAAGAAAAGAAAAGAAAAAGAAAGAAACCAACAAGCCACCGGCGAGGTGCACGCGCGCCGTCAATCGATTACCTCCGATCGATCGGACGATCGCGTTAAGTGATCGTGTCCTGTAACTGGCACACCATATTTCGCGACGTTCCCTCGAAACTCTACGCGCGTAAAACTCGCATACTCGACGGTGAATCTATCTATCGCGAGAATTAACATCGACGGAAACTATCGGTGCATTCGAGACGGAAAGATCGATACGCTCCTTTCGACGTAGACGGCGAAAAGGGAAACTTCGGATAACCCATCTCGCGCGAATCGATACGTATCCTTTTAGCGGCCGTTATCCGTCAGGAACGTCAATAATCGCACGAATAAAAAAAAAGTCGACGTTGCGACGCGTCGATCCCGCTGGGAAGAAGCAATCAAATGTTGCACGCACAGGTAGCATTCACGGGTTTTTTCACACCGAGAACATCGTTAAGAAACGAGGATCGAAGAGATATCGTCGACGCTATCACTGTCACCAACACCGGTACCGACGTTCTTTACCGTCGTCGACCGTACCACCGTCGCCACCGCCGCCGTTCTCCTCGCGTATCGTTAACGTTCCGCCGTTGCTTTCGTCACGGCCATTGTTTTCTTTTTCTAAAGAGTCACAAAACAGTTCGTTCCCGGTGCGCAAGCGAATGCTCGTTTCTAGTAACACTCTCTACCGTTTATCGATCTCGGACGGCGAACGTGGGCGCACTTCTAAATGACACGACGCGCCGTCATGGTTCTCGCCGTGATACGTACTTTCACCGTAAATACGCACGTATGTTCCTACGCTCGCCGACATATGTACAACTCTTGACACTCGTGAATGTTAATCGAACGTTGTCACTGTTGCGTATAAGCGACAGGAAAGCGAAACGGTAGGTTTCGCGTTCGATGGTCGAATCCAAAAGCGGAAACGATGTACGACCACGACGGGGTTGGCAGTGATGAAACGTGAAATTTGACGTGTACGTACGGGTTCGGTGGTCAGCAGACCGGCAACGATCGTGCCATTCGGGGCGCGTAAACTGCGACCACTGCGACTACCGCTGCGATGCAATAGTACCGAGTCCGTGTATGCACGGCTTTCAATTCGAAACGAACATCGAACGAACTAGCTGTCATCGGACCGTTTCAGCCTCGAGAGGACTCCATCGTACAACCGTGCACCGAAATTCAACGAAACGTTCTCCATTTACCGTCAGTCGAGTATTTATCGATATAGGAAGGGAACTACATACCTTACCCAGTTATCTACGTGTGGCGCCACGGACAGGATTCCTCCTTTACCGACCGCGACTGTCAGCTTAAAAAAGAAGCGTGTCGCCGACAAAAGAAGAAGGTACAGGAAGTTCACTCTTTGTATTTCCTGTAGACGGATCGCGTGCGTTACGCGTCTATTGTGTATAACAAAACGATATTTTATTATTGTGTATTTTATTATTGTGTATAATACACAATAGGCGCGTAACGCACGCGATCCGCCTACAGGAAATACAAGGAGTGAACTTCCTGAAACCCTCTTCTTTTTTAAACTGACAGTCGCGGTCGATAAAAGAGGAATTCTGTCCGTGGCGCCACATACGTTTAACCCTTTGCGCCATCTCGTTGCAAAATGCTCAAACAAGTATCGCGTATATTTATAAAGATATTTCTGTCGGTATATTACCCTCCGCGTTATAATCGTCTTCATAATTTGTTTATTATTTGGATTACAGAATGCATAGTATTGTATAAATGTTTAGTGTTAAAGTCAAACATCCGCTCTAAACAATTAAATAACTAACAAATTAGGAAAGCAATTATAACGTAGAGTGTAATATACCTACAGAAATATCTCTATAAATGTAACGCGATACCTGTTTGCGCATTTTGCTACGAGATGGCGCCAAGTGTAAAGGGTTAATATGTATATACACACACAAATCCATACATCCGGTTTCCCCATTTAAATAAACAACATAATATATGTATAAAAAGAAATTTATTTAAACTCTTTCAACGTGTTCTTATACATCGACAACATTCTATTTACAATCTTAAATACATTTGACACCCTTAAAGTTTGCCGTTATACATTTGAAAGTATCGCTGGAGGCTGGAAGATAGCGAGAATTGGTTTTTGCTATAAAGAGGATTGCAAGAAATGAAATCAAATTGCTTAATATAACTTCATGTTACGCGAAGTAAAAATATTTTGGTGTTATTTTTATTTCATTCTTTGCTTAGAATAGAAATCGGACTCCCACTTGTTTCTGTATAGCACGTACAAATGCATTGCAGCTCTTGCATCTTCTACTGAACTATGTTCTCCAATTTGTATCTCTCTACCCAGCAATTCGAGTGCAAGTTTCTTTAAGCTTGGTGTATTTCCTTTGGATAACTGTCGAAAAATTTTGAACCTCGAAGTGTCTCGTAAATGTTTCCTCGGATGAGAGAGATACAATACATCCAAATCATGCTTCAATGCATGACCAACTAAAATACGTCCCCTTAATATCTCTGCTACTTCTTTCTGAACTATGTCGAATTGTTCTCCAGTTTGGAGATTTTGTGGACGGATACCGCTGACTTCAGTTCTATAATCCTGTACTGGTTCCCTCGGTTTGACGTACTTGTCGTAAACACAGAAACCATGTCGATTCACGATAGACACTCTAGCTATCATACTTTCGGTACCGTCACCTATACCAACCATTTCACAGTCCATTGCCACCTGTCGCGTCAACTTCTGTTTACTTTCATCGTTAATTTCTTCCTCGCCAATCAGTGGTATGGAACTAGAGTTCGCAGTAAGCATATGATGTTTTCTTCTGGATTTCTGCTGATGTGAAACTGATTTCCTTTTAATATTTTCTGGACTAATGATATCCTGTTCTAACGATGGCGAATTAAAAACTAGATTCTTAAAAATCTCCCAATTACAACCTGAGGCATTTCTTTCAGTGTGTGGAACGACGTGATTGTAATTCTTTTTATCCTTTTCGTCCATGGTCCTGTTCGTAGCAAATTTTTTAGAGCGACGTTCTTTTTCCATCGCCTTAGGTTTTCTAAAAGTTACAACAAAAAAAGATTATTCGTTACAAAAATAATACGAAAAATACTTTGGATGTTACCTATCCTAACCTCTTCATTTAACACGTGTACGTATACAAACACGTATCTTTCAACTATTCGTGTAATTTTTATCCAATAGTTATTAAATATAAACTATCTACTTTCGAACGTACACAAAAGTCCACCCAGGTTAATTGAAATTATTAATGTAATTTGTTAGATAATGTGTCAATACAACATGGCGGCGCAAATTCAAAACAGACGGTTGTACGATTCAAAAACGGGATGCTATTGTTTGTCTTTCTCGAATGTACACGTGAATCTATAGTCGCAACTAATAATCGAAACTCCTTTTTCTTTCATTTACAATAATATTCAAAGGCATTGAGAATGGGCAAAAATGCTTCGAAGAGAAATTAAAGTATGAAACGTTCGACATTATTTTTTTTATATTTATCAAGTGGGGGTTATGTTCCTTCCAATAAAACTGTACCGATAAATCGTTGAACCTAGCGTCTCTTTCGTACGAAATATCAATGCTGCAAATGTTCTCACCTTATGAATAATCCTATAACAACAAAACACGCGGTGAAAATTAAAGTAGCTAATGCCAGCATGCTGGAGTAAATGGAAAATTATTCCAGAGTTTACATCTGCCAGGTTTGTGTGTACCTGTAAATCGTTTTTCTCAAAGACTGCGTAGTTTGACGGTTATTTATTACGGAATATGAACTGTGTTTGCCGTGTTTGTGTGTGAATTTACAGAAGCTAAAAGAGTCATGAACGATGATAGTAATAACACGATTAAGGATTCTTTTCCAGAACCGCGAAATAAGTTCTGGTTGGTGAGTATTTATGTACTGTCGAGAATATTTGAAATTGACACTTACAAATTTATACAGTTATTTTAACGAAATTATTTCTTAGCGTTCTTCGAATTTATCCGTTGAATTTATTACGATAACTCTTTATTTTAAATGATAGAGAATACCAGCAGCTACATTATTCTGTAATATGTTTAATTAGCGATCGAGGAAGCGTCCGAAAAGTGATGCTATCAGTATTAGCTCAATGGATATATCCATTGAATCGGAGTTGGGAAAAAAGAAGAAACGAAGGAGAATCACAGAAGTGGCCAATAGTATTTTCTCCTCTTCTGGTATAGGCAATAGACAAGGGAATACTCTTCATAGGTCTTTTACAATTCAACCAAGTGCAGATTTATCATTTGTGGATAACGAACTGGATACAGGAACATTAAGAAGAAGGTACAAAGAGAACATTCCGAAGTATACTTTTAGAGCCTTTATTTTCATTGAACTTAATATTTGTTTTCCTAGGCACCAAGAAAATAATGAAAGTACTAGCAACTTTGTGCTTAAAAGTTGGGTACTCGATGTAGCAAAGATGGGTACCAAAGACAGATTGAATAATGTTTTAAGTCGGAAAGAAGTTAAAAGACAAGAAGCAATTTATGAATTATATTGCGGAGAAAATGTACTCATAAGTGATCTGTGTATACTCAAAAATTATTATTACGAACCATTGATACCTACTGGTATTTTTAATTCAGATGAGTTACTTACAGTTTTCGGTAGTATAACTCATCTTATTGAAATACACACTAAACTGAGAGATGAACTGATGGATTTAAGAGATCAATATGGATTTACAGATAAAGTTGGTCCTACAATACTAAATTGGGTTAGTTACTATCAAATTTTAATAATTAAAATTGAATACATCTATTGGTTTTACAGACGTTACTTTCGTAATTCTTGTAGATTCCAATGTTAACAAAACCATATTTGGAAAGGTGTAGAACGCAAATATGGGCGAAACGTATATTAGATGAAAAAAGATTGACGAATAAACGTTTTCAATCTTTCTTAAAAAAACGCTTGGAATCTCCTCATTCTGTTGACTTGTGGACATATATAGACGTGGCCAGATCACGTATTGTTAAATATCCTTTATTAGTTAAAGAAATACTCAGGCATACTCCAGCCACGCATACAGATCAAACATCTTTAAAAGAAGCGTACGATATGCTGTCCAAATTACTTAACGATATAGACAAAACTATGGGGGCCGCGGAATGTCAATTAGCTAAATCAAAAATAAATATAAAGTCAGACTATGATTCTACCAATTGCATTGAAAATGCAACAGAATTGATTACCGAAGGACAGCTTAAAGATATACGAGGAGTGGTAAGAGGAATTCCTAAATAATTTTTCACTTTATTTTTTTAATTAAATTTATGATTGTACATTATTTTAGAAATTTCAGTGCTTCCTTTTCAACACTGGTTTTGCCATAACTCGAAGATCTAGATCTATGAGTAAAAAGTACAACCTATGTTTTCCCGTTATACGCAAAGAACAAATTTTTATAAGTACCGAGGACAAATCTGTTACATCTTGTGGGTTTAAAATTGGCGATCATTTTTTAATAACCGAAGATGAGCATGGAAAGAGACATTGGATCGATTCGTTTAACAAAGTTCGTCAGAATAAAATTGATTCATTAGAAAATATTATTGGCGATAATGAAAAAGAAAATCAGCAGGTTTTGACACCAGCAAAAGTAAAACAGTCTGCTGGATCATCTTTAAATAAGATGAACGAAAATAATTTTTCTATGACATTAAAGAAAAGTTTTTTAAGACAGAAACGTAACAGTATTAATTACGTTTGATATCCGGAACTTAATGTTCCATTTTAAATAATTTTCTACGCCCGTATATGTATTATATTCTATTAAAAAATGTCTGCAATGTATTCGTGAATTTATATATAGCATTTCGAACAAGTATAATTTTACATTAATGTATGTACTTATGTATGTAATATTTAAATGTTTCCAAGATGAACACTTGCTCATTAAAGCTTGTGGCTATTGGAAAGAATGTATCATGTACAAATATGTTCAATATTAATTGTAAGATAAAAAAAATCCTATCATATGCAATTATATCTAATACAATGTGTACATTTATATTATTATATTTCGAAAGGAAATTATTTTTTTAAAAATATCTTAAGATATGACACAGAAATAAGAACTGACAATTTTTATTCAACACGGTTTTATTCTTATAATTCTTGTAATAAAATAACAGTCCACTTATTTTACATTAATCTAAAATACTTATGGTTTCGCAGGTTTCATCGAATTTCCATCTGGATAACGTTTTTTAAAAGCCTTTATGAGTTGAGGATCAATCAAATGAACACCATCTACTTGATTACCTAATGTTATCCAATTAGGTTGAACATTATGTGGTCGACCAAATAATTCGATCTTTCTTGTCCCCGGGCTCATACGTTCGATAATTCCATAAATTTCGTCTGGCTTGTGACTAGTGGCGCGAACTTCGGCTACAATAACGTCGCTATCCAATCCCCGATTAATTCTTGGATTTCCTTTCATACCAACCAGACAATGTTCTTTACCATGATTCAGCCAATGACCCGTCCGACCAGTTCTTATAATTCTTTGTAACTGATTGGTTTTTACCCATATAATTTCGTCTACTCTCTCGTAACCCCATAACTGTAAGCATTCCCTGCCAAGCTCCATCGCTCTCCCTGTTACCCATAAAAATAAAAGACCTTCATCTTGAAGAGCCGGTATCCCTAATTGTCTCATTTCATCGTCCGACATGGTACCATACGGTAATTCCATGTGAATGTCCCATGGAGGATCTGCCATTATAACAGCAAATTTACCCAGTACAGTCATATCAAGATACCGTAAGTCACACTGTATCCATTGCGGTGGATGAAGAGTCAATGCGCTACCTAACGATCCACCGCTGGTAGGACAAGTAGCGTTGCTACCATTTTTACTATCTAATATTAAAGCTTTAGCCACCGTGACATTACTCGCGTTATCCGAGTCATTTGATTCCTTCTGTTGAATTGTTGGTCCATCTACTTCATAATGAACATACTTGCATGTATCCATATGAAAGCAAGTGTTGAGAAAACTACAGTCGCCTAAAGATTCATCTGTGTGACTTTGAATAATCTTTTTGAAATGAAGTTTCTTGCATTTCTCTGCAAATCCAGGTCCGCCATTTAATTTAACACAATCCACTCTTGTACCATGAGGACAAAATTCCATGACCTGAGCTCCTCCTTGAGACCGAAATCGTTCAGCCAATGATTTTTCTTTAGACGTTTGTTTAGACAACAAGTCTAGAATTTGCTCTCCAACCTTCTTATTTTCTTTTTCCCTAATTGTTGGCATTGAAATAAGTGACATTATATCCTCTGTGTTTTTTTTATCCAATTTGAGTTGCTTTTCTGCAGGTGCATAATCATTTAGTTCGGATGCAGATGTTTCTGCACTTTCTGGATTTTCTGTATCATCCGATTGAGACTGATACGAGGATTGTGATTCTATCACTGATAACACAGTATATCCAAAAATACCATTCTCTGTAACTTCTTTGATTCTGCAAAGGTATTTAGTCATTTCATTGAATATAGAATAAAAGCATACAATAAAGTGGAGACTTACTAACTTAACAATATCTTGTGCTGCAAACTTCTCTAAAATTTTATGAATATCAGTGGAAGATACATCTGCATTCAAATTTTTTCGAAGTTGATCTATTAATTCTGCAGATGTAATAGGTAAATTGGGTAATGATTCATGAAGAATGCACAGAATGTCCCTTTCATATTCGCTGTGGTCAGATCTGTGTGTATGCCCAGTTGCATCTACATCAAATCAGTTTAGCACTATTTTGTAAATACAAGTTTAAAATATGATAAATATCCGAAAAGCTTACTTACCGCCAGTAACAGATGAATCGCTCGTCAAGGTGGATGATACTGGTGTTGTAGAAGTAAGAGTAAATAATTCATGTCTCTCACGTTTTCTTTTCTGTAATTTTTCCCGTAGACTGTTTCTCTTTATTTTAATAGCTTGAATTTCCTCGAAAGCGTCTGACATGACTTATCGAAGAAAAATGTGCGAATACAAATATAAATGAGTGTATGAAAATTATATGCGTTCGATACTTAAAATTCGTAAAAGCGTAAACCCAAAAGTTCCATTTACGCTTGACATTACGAAAAAATTAAGATGTTTTATACCTGGTCACACCGATCGAAGTAGTTTAAACTATTTAGAAATACATACGTTTCCGTCAAAACAGTAACATACATAAGTCATTAACAACTCGATAATGACATACATACACATACCTAACCTTAATTCATCTAGCTTTAACTGAAGAGGTACAAACACATGGCGTGCATTCAGCGATTCAGCGGACACAAGAGTTATCGGTGATAAAACGCCCAAGTTTGTAGTGAAAATAGTTGCCACTATTTCTGCTAGATGGTGCGTGGTCTATTATCAGTGGCGCCATAGTTGGTAGGATGCCTAAATTCATAGTGAAAATAGTTCTTATTGTTTCTGTAGGATAGATTTACAGCGGGAAATGTGAATAGGACTTCATGGGACACATTCCCCATTAATTTCCCTTCATTTCTTGGCACATTTCCCTATAATTTCCCTTCATCACTTGGAACATTTCCCATTAACTTACCCCTATTTTCTTTCATTCGGTAACCATGCTAGCCGGTTTGTCGGTTCGTTAGCTATCTCGTAGGCGCAGGGGTGCCCCCAGTATGCGGCAACCTATACTGGTCGGTTTGTCGGTTCGGTTGCCATCTCGTAGGCGCAGGGGTGCCCTCACTACGCGGCAACCTCTTAGCATGATTGACAGTTCAGTTGTCATTGCACAACGCTATGTTGGATATTTAGGTATGAGAAACCGGCGAATGGGAGATGCGCGTTTAGCCATAGACTGTAGACTCTATACAGATGTCTAGCAGTCTCATGAATTCGCAATAGCAACGTAATGTGGCGGACAGGCTTCACTCCGAGTTCAGCTATGCCCGGTCTCTGTATTCCTATGTCCGTGACATTTACTAACACTTACTGTCGTAGTTAATTTATTACGCCACGAGCAGCCACGAGGAATTGTGAGGGATACTTGCGTAAAGAAGTATAAAGGGTGTAGAGCGATGCGGTTATTATGTTTAAATATTTTTATTACTATTGTTAGCGAATGTCAGTAAGGATTCCTAATTAAAAGTGAAATGTCGACCACAAAGGAATTCTTTCTTTCTGTTACTCAACGTATCTTTAGTAATTGGACCGCATTAAAAGTAAGTACACTATATTCCTTTGAAAAATTTACTTGAAAATATGTCTCAATTTCCATATCGTGCCCTACATTTTATTGAATTTTATTTTAGATGGCAGTGGAACATGGAATGGGATTAAAAGAAAGAGCGGTAGACTTGTGTCCGTATATGACGGAGGTTATGTACATGAATGGTTCGTTATTTCATTTCGATGAATTTCTATTGCAGTTATTTTATAATTACCATTTCTAATTCTTCAGAGAGTCTGAATAGCAACGAAGTTGCTAATGAACTGGAAGACTACTTGGATGAACATTTTAATACAGAACTGGAAGATGACAGTGCAGTGCAAGTTGCAGAGGAATTGCTGAGATTCTATCGGTATTGCTGTGAAAATAACGAGAGTATAGCAGTGGCAGAGTTTGAGAAGTTGCCACCATTGCAATCGTGGCTTACAGCAAATGAACCTCAGAGAAGAATCCAAAATTTATCCATTGTGGAGAATGATACTTCCAGTGGAGAAGAAGAGACGTCACAGGATACCGAGGTTGTAAGCCAGTGGACAGAAGTGAAATCTAGGCGGAAAAGATAACTAGGACTAGATATTTGAAATGACTTCTTTTATTTTTTTTTTTATAAATGAACATATAAACAACTGTTTTACAGTACAAGTGCATTATTTTTGCGAATGTAGTTTATATGCTAGGACTTTGTAACCAAAATACTTATCTAAGCAGTCTTTTAGATACAGCCAAATTTTATTTGGCAGTTTCAGTTTCTGTATCTAAAAGAAGGAAAGGAAAGAAATTGTTAAAATATGTAAAATCGTATTAATAAAACATTTTTTTGGATATTATTCTATTTTTGTTTGACCGTATTACCTTTTTTATTTTGAGATAAGGAAACAGTACAATATCCATTTTGTTCCCTTACAATATTCTCTTTTTTTGTCTTACTTAATCTCTCTTCAGGACCTAAAATGCTTAAAATTACGGGTAGGAATAACAATCCATGGAAGAGACCAAACATTACCACACACGTGAATAACTGAAACAATAAGGATTGGTATGCATTTTAAAAATTAATAGATAGCGCATAAAATTTTCTATGAGTACCTTAAAGAATGTACTAAATATGTAAGCTTCGCTGGACCCTAGCAAAACAAATGCTAGAAAGGTACTTAAACCTCCGTTAAACACAGCTGGACCGATAATAGAAAGTGTTGCGATCGCACGTTCTATAAGAATCGTTTGCGGTTAATGAATGTCATAATCTATGTTTGCATGTTTATAGTGTTAATAAATGATATCGAATCTTACCTTTTTTACTACCGTTTGTACGAGTAAATTCTAGCCCGACGTGAGCGGCATAATCGACCGCTAGCCCCGCGCACAATAAAATCATAATGCTCGAAGACATTTCAATGGTCAAATTTAGAAAGTACATAGTACCTAACAAGTCAACGAGCGTGAAGAAGACGCAACAAAGGACCCAGAATGTAGCGCGAAGGTTTCTAAGAAATATTATTATTACTACTCCGATAGTCACTATTTCTAGGCATAAGTTTCTGATCAATTCTTCTCCGATCACCTGCGTAAGAATTTACATTTAACAATACAGAAGGGAACTGTATTAATATATAACGTTAGTCTGTTGTACCTTGTTCGCTGTCCACGAAACGTAGTCTGGCGAAAATATGGCGATATAGTCGTGGCCCTGGGTAAAGTTCATACTTCGAACAATCTCTCTAACGGACTCCATAGCTTGTACTTGTTCCGACACCGTGTTGATAAGAACGTGCTGTATTGGAATCTGAGATGTCTAAGGGAACAACAAACAAAGAAGTATGTTTTAGGAAGCTTACATTAAAGATGGAAAAATAAAGTATCAGCGATAGACTTCCGTAAGTACCGTTATGTTGTACTCTCCAGCCGGTAGCTTGTTGAAATTAATGTCCTTGATGTACGCCTGGCCTTCTTTCGTTAACAGTAAATACTCCGTAAGGATGTTATAGTATTCTTCGCTGCTTTCGATGTCGTCTGAGATGAAAGGGTTGTTACCAATTCGTTTCTAGAGAGCTACCGATTATAAATTTATGCTTACGTTTGCCAGTAGCGTTCAGCCATTTCTCGTAGGCGATGAACCACGGTTCGAGGGTGCCGTTATTAACGAACTGATTGCTTTTAAGAGCTTCCACTAATCTGAAAAGGGAGTCGCGATCCTCGTAATAGTCTACGCCGGTCATGTAAATCGCTGCTCGTTTTCCGTACTTTGGGAAGTACTCCTTCAATTTATTGTTGTACTGGATCGGATAGGAGTCGTGATTCAAGTAACGAAGAGGATCGAAATTTTGCTCCAGCTGGAAAATTGCCCAGGCGTTGACGCAGAGTAGCCCACCTGTGATCAATAGTATAACCGTTCTCACGGAGGTTTTCACGACCCACGGACCAATGTAATTTTCGAAGATGATCCGCTGAGTGTTCCTCTGACTGCATTCGTTTGGCTTCCAGTTCAGTTTAGGGCGGCAGCAGCAGCCATCTTTTCTGGCCTCGAGTCTCATCTCGTCGTATACAAGACAGCTCATGAAGAACGTGATCTCGTATATGTAGAGGAAGAGAATACCTAACGTAGCGAACGCGTAGAAGGATCTAAGACAGGGCATCACCGTTGTAATACCGAAGGCAAACGCGATCACGTTCGTGAAAGAAGTTACCGTAACGGACATGCCTGAAACAGAGGTACAGTCGCAAATTGATCGTTGTAAGCGAACGAATTACGAGGCCCTGAGTTGGAGTGGCCTGGTTTAAGCAACGGGTCTACTTAGAAAGAGCATTCGTACCCGCTTGTTGAATCGCTTTGGCGATGCGAACGGGAAGCTCCAGAGCCTGATCGCTTTCCGACAAGTTCTCGATGCTCTGCATGATCACGAACATATTATCCACGCCTATGCCGAGCAAAAGAAACGGGAGAATGGAATGTATCGGTCCGTAAGTGTATCCCAAGTAGTAGCATAACCCGAAAGACGACACGATCGCCTGGCCAACCACGGACACTCCCAAAATCGACAGATAGATTCGTTGCTCCAGCGCGTTGCATTTGCCGATCATCGCCATCACGTAAACAGCGATCAGCGATATTCCGCAGCACAGTACCGTCAAGTTGCTGTTGAGTATCTGCTGTAGAGTGTCTATGTAACTTCGGGAGGCGATCGCGTAGATTTCCATTCCAGGCGGTAACGTGATGTTTGGACGGAGAACACGATTCACGAACTCCAACTCCCATTCAGGCGAGTTGGGGTTCGATTTCTTCAGCATCCACAGCAAGATCGTCGCTTTCGCGCCTTTCACGCGACCCTGCTTGTCGTACGTGAGGCCTGAGAGCAGGGGACCTATGTCCAGCAGTACGTTGTCGTTGATTCTAAAATAAATGGAGGATGAAACGATATGCTCGTTACGAAAGATATCATACGTATCGTTAAATACTTGTGTTTGAGAGCTCTGTTCACATCAGCGAGCGCCTCTTTCTTCGTCAAATTACGAACGTCCTTCGACAAGCTGGTCTCCCAGAGTTGTATTATCGACTGGTATATGCAACCGTTTCGCATCAGCGTGTCGTTCAGCTGCGTCAATATTTCTTCGGGGACTTCGAGGTCCTTGAAGATCCCCGACGTGTCTTCCTGGTTGAACCACGTCAGATATCTGTAACGCGCACAGCCGTTACCTGTAGCCGAACCGATCGAATCGTGATTCTAAAATATTATGGGATCGTTTTACCCGGCGCACACGTCTTCCCAAGTATTGTTGTTCACCACCACGTTCTTCACCCTATGCTCGAGCTGGTGGATCTGCGACAACGAAGACACAGTTTTTGGTATCTGTTACGTGACGCGTCATTCAGTTCACAGATTCCAGCGCAACCCAAATCTCGTGAATCTTTAATGAATATCAGCTAAGGATCGTGCGTTAAAGTGGAAAAGAACCTTCGTAGATACTCGTATAATTCATGATCGCCTATGTACCGAACGCAGCACTTCGGGCTCCAGAACGTTGGGGGCGGTCACTATGATACTTTCGTATCGGAAATCGTCGCGGAAGTGCGTCGCCACCCAGGCAGCGTCCGCGCGAATCACGGAGTTGTCGGGCACGAAGCTCTCGATGTCGTCGACTTCTTCTTTCCACAGAAGCATGCCGGGGGCGCAGACGCAGTTCAAGCAGAAAGACACCAGCAGCCACAGCCAGGGTCTTTTTCCTATGCTGAGCCCGATACTGAAACAAGAAAAGAAGAAGCGTTTGTATGCAGTTGATCACAGGAAGAATCGTACAACTTTATAGTAAACGTTATAGTAAAGTTGGCTTACGGTGGGTTCAGTGCTACCCCTCAATTACATTTATTAATACTTGTGAAATGAGACAGATTATCGTTTTTTTTGCGAGACTTAAGAGTATGTTTCACATATTAATTTGAGAAATAGAAGTATAAGTGGCACGAACTTTTAGGACGACCTAATATTTAACGCGGGTGAAGCGAACCACCCTGTATATGTACCATTATTTGTATTTTTAACGCACGGTAAATATAGTTTAAAAACAAGTACAGCGTTCTTTATTCTCGCGCGTTAAAGTTTCTATATTCTTCGATGCGCGAGACGAAATTTTTCGAAGCTGAACAAACGAAAGCTGTCACCCGAGACGAAATTAATCGCCGTTTCCTGTAGTAACGCTGCGGTAAGCATGAAAAGGTCTCAACCCGTGGCAACAAGTCTGCTTTAGCGTCGAACGAGACGTGCCTATACGCGTACTGTGACCTACAACCTTAAAAGAAACGAATGAAAGAAGAAGGAATTCTGTCGATTTAATTGGGTAATACGTAGGGCAGTGATCTCTGAATGGGATAATGAGAAAACGCGTGGCGCCTGAACCGACGGTCAATTATAATTCGTGGAACGAAAGAAGTATTCTTGATTCGGTTAATTCAGAGGGCTCCGATGATCCCACCTTAAGTGGATTAACCGAGACAAGGTTCACGCTTTGAAACTGACCGACGGTAATGTTATCAACCACCGCGGGATTTATCGCGTTTCTACGCTGTTGAAGATCGAGCCACGTGAAAATCAATCGATGCAAGTTGTAATTCGAGCTATCGGTCGTCGTCGCTGTTAGCTCATCGCGTTGGAACAATCGTCGCGTGTTCTTTATCGAAATGCACAACGACTAGTCTACGAAAAAATTCAACCTGAAACTACACGAAGGTGTCGATGAAGACGCGAATTAAAACACAGTTCGATCGAGCATTTCGCTTTGTATTAGGTTGTCCCGAAAGTTTCTTTCGCGAGTTGCACTCAATTATTTTATGTGGTCGTGTTTATATAAATGGACGATCTAATTTCATAGATATTCATGTTGTAACAGTAATGGAGCAAAATGAATCGTGCACAATTCAGTAATGTAACATAAAACATCAAATATTGTGCATGTATTACTTATTAATAAAGCGAAAGAAACTTTTTGGACAACCTAATAAAACATCGCCGAGGTCTAAAGTAGTTATTTCGATTGATCTTTGGTAAAGTAATTACTGCTCGTGATTTCCAAGGAAGTTACATACGCGAAACGTACAATTCGTTTAACGATTTCCAACCTTAATCGCTGTTTTTGAGATCGATACCTTGCAGCGTATGCGCTCGCTGTAAATGCAAGGCCTCGTCATAGTTTGTACCCTGGACAATTAACGTCTCCGTATGAGATTACCATCAATGGGCGTATATTTCAATGTCAATTCATACGACGGAACCTATTATTTAACCCAGACAGCGGCGTGTTCCGGCGACAATGCTGAACGCAGCAAAAACCGAGCTGATCACCGACAGAATCGTGATATTGTGCTTAATTTGTTCACGTCCGATCCATTTTTTGTTCTCCTCTCTACGTACACCAAAGACAATTCTCGCTAAAACAAAGACGAATCGTACAGATTATAGACCCGCTCGCAGGAAATAGAAAGGAGTATCTCGTAACGTCGATTGTTCAATGAAAAGTCTTCCCAGGAGCGAGCAAACTACTTTCTAATAATCTTAAACGATCCACAGAGTCCCTGGTGAAGACAGGCATCGGAGGATAGAGAACGGTTCCATCAAAGAAAGAAGTTTAGTCGAGTTTTTGATCCAGAATCTTCAGAGGATTGGAGATCCTGGTGGTCCACTCACCAATAGAACACTCGATCCGAGTTCAGGTGCAGGTCGAGCAGTATATCCTTGAGCCGTTTCCACGTGGTCACGGTGGCGGTCGCGTTTTCTCGTTGCGTCTCCATCCTCGCCGTGCGACGCTCAGGTCGTTCCGTCGCCGAATGTCCACCGAGAGCGTTTGTGAGCACACGAGCAAGCCGGCGTGCATGTGACCAACGATGGAAGTAATCTGCCACAATTATATAACACTCGCTGCGGAGGTTCGGTTGCACGACTATGGCCGATGCCATCGGGAGGACGAGGAGAAGCGCAGTAACCCCTCCTATTGTCTTCTTCCATCGCGTCATCGTTTCCAATCCTCCGCGACTCGAATTGGAGACCTTTGATCACCAGGACCAGCCAGTGAAATCTTATCGGGTATGCAATTTTGCTTTCGTTACGCGAGTCCTTGGAGTTTCTTGCCACAGTACTAAAAAAGAAACAAAGTAAATAGTCCTATTCGACTGTACGAAGTTTGCAAACGAAGCGTTACATCAAAGCAGCATTCTTACGATTAGAGGAAATGAAAGTTTCATGGTGAATCGGTAGAATCCTCGCGGCACAGAACCGTGCTAGTGCTTATGCCAGGCGTATCTCGATGTTTACATCACCTTGGGTTACAGATCTACATACGTTACAACTTGGTAATGTCCTCGAGTCAACTCGAGAACTTCCTGCAAGACGCCAAACAATTGTATATCATCTAGCTCGAGTATATCGTATCAAAGAATGAACGAAAATTCAATCGCGAACTTAGCCAAAGGGAACACGATCGTAATTACCATAGCGAAACTCTATTTTTTCCATTTTCTTGTTTACAGCGTTTCCAGGCTGAATTACAAGTCAAGCTTTCCGGCCCATATCTGATATCGCAAACGAAGGCGAAGTTACGTTTATACGGGACGGTCGGCATAATTCGACACCGTATTACAGTCGTGCACGTTGTTCATGGAAATTGAGGAACCAAGATGGGATATCTCGAACGTGTCTCTACGAATAAAAAATTTGTCTAGTCTTCTATGAACAATTCATGCGCACTGCCGTCTGATCTACTATTTTCCTATTTTCTTTACCGCGCTGTTAATGTCGTTAGCCTAAGTAAAGCTTATAAATAACCTCGGCGAATAACGAATGATTAAATTCGTGTCGCAGGTGAAACGAATCGCTAACAATGTCATCGCTGCGAGCTACGGCTCTTTGGAAAGGCAACGCAAACAAAATGTTTAAACTACCGTTCGATTCACTCTTGTTACTCCAACGGAAATCGCGCGATGACCATCGTATCGCGGTTACGTTATGCCCGATCTATGGAAGATCGGTGTCGGAACTAAACGCGTCGACCCACATATGTACCTATCTGTTTAAATCGACGTTACTCTTCGAAGCTTGGTGGACACTTGCGATACGAACTTTTCGCGACGCGAAAAGAGAAACTTCCTGCCGCGCGGCAACGCGAAGACGAAGCCTTCTTATCGGACGACAAGGCGATGGAATGAATTACGTGTAATAATTATAATGATACCGTAGACGCGAAAGATAATATTATAGTTACTATACGTCAGTTAGGTTTCTAGTTCACACGTTCATTGTCAAACTGAAAATTGGAATTTCGCGTGGTGGGCAGAATTTTTTTATTTCTGCTCACCTTCGTTTATGCCTTAATGCAATCAATGATTTACTTATTGTCCTCGAAATAAGTTAATATATTATTTATATACTTTTATTATTATGTACATAGGATTTATGTACGCTAAATATCTATCACGCGATATCGCGTGATTGGCAATGAACGTGTTGAAAGAAATACTAGGAGCCAGAGCCGTCTTATTCTATAGACGATCGAGAATTATGAGATAGACTCAGCACGTTTTTCTATTAGCCATCGATCTAGAAGTGGAAAGGTTAATTTCCATCAGCGCGAGAGAACCTCTTGCTCCTTGTTATTCCATCTTCCACGGTGTGTAGTTATTCGTGTTGCTCGAGTGACTCATTCACGGTCGAACGACCGCGGAAAAAGTGATTTACAGGACGGAATCGAGCTAGAGATTGATTATTAAGCTTTCTCTGGTGAATGAACGCGTAAGACGTTCGCGTTGGCCCTCGTGATTTTACGAACATTTTTGGTATTCCACCTAAAAATGAAAATTGTGATTAATAAAAAGGGTCAGATTGGATTAGAATACATTGAGTGATAAACCCACGTACGGTGACTGTCTTTGAAACGGCGTGAAACACTGGCTATCTTCTTGTGCTTCTTGCATCAAGGTAATCGGGTCATAACCGATTAACAGTATCGTCGCCTCTCTTTGTCGTATCGTAAGAATTCTACGATTGCCTGGAAAGGTTCATTATACAATGAACGTATTAGCTTTACTCATAAATTACTTCCGGTGTGTTCACTTAAAATTCAAATACATTACTATTACAATAAATCTTGATCAATTTTATAATCATCATCGTTGATTATCACGTATAGCAGGCAAATTATTGGGCTGTCTGGAAAGTCCATGCCGATTTTTAGTAGGCGGTACAGGTCTGAATATATCGGAATGGCTGAAAACAAATAATATGTGTACATTCCTTAACAGGTGGAAAGATTGTGGAACAAAATGGTACATATATGATTCGATAAATATACATGAAAATTCAAATATGCCTTTGAATTTTTCTTAAAAATAGGCACGAACTTTCCGGGCAACCCAATAGAAATTGTTATCTACAGCGGAAATTGTGACTCGATGTATAAAAGCTTAGGTAGAGTGAACATTACGAATGGATCGCGTTGCTTGTTTACGTTGGTCGAATAAAATGTTGCCCATTTCCGAAGGGAACATCGCGATCCACTGCTGCTTTGGGACGATCCAGGTCTGTTTAAGGAACGATTCGAGAAGAATGTGTCGCCATCGGTCCCCCGAGACCGTCGAACGAAGAACGTTGACGTTAGCCAAGCGATTTCGTACAGGTAGCACGCCACGGAAACCGGCTCGACGATCCAGAGGAAGGGAGCAGCCAAAGCGAACGCCTTTCCCATCATCCGTGGATCTTCAGTATTCCTGGTTCCAGTCGGACCGATGGACGGTCTTCGCTTGCGTATCGTTCGTTCGCATCGTGCAAATCGGTCAACCAGCGAATGTTGAACAGCGATTAAAGCGTGGGAAGTTGAACGATCGTGGTGGTGGACACGGTGCTGCGAAAACTCGCCGAAGATCGAGCCGGAGTGAGTAAAGCTGAACTCTTCTTCGAAACTGACCTGCGATTGAAAATGGATTCGTAATTAACACGACGTGTCAAACTTGTATCGTGATTCTTAACGGCGCTAGTAAAAGTAATTTTCTTTCTCGAGTTACTGGAATTATCGCTTGTGATATTCATGCTTGGTAACTCCGCACTGCCATTCGAGCCAGTAAATTGTTTTTAAAACATTAAATACCATTCGAAGGATACCCTGTAGAGGACTCGATCGGCGATTAAGTAGGCGACGACAATTCGATTTACGGTCTAGGTCGACTTCAGTTTTTCCTCGACATTGGTCTATCATTAAACGGGGCAACGATCCACGGACGGTGTTCGGTAATTACTCCGAAGAGTCTTTGCCTCTTTTAACGCCTCGTTCCTATGAGCGATCTCAGGGAGATCGTCTCACGAATAAAGATCGCTATCCTCGAGTTGAGGTCGTATCCACGTACTTGTGAGCGGGGGTGTACAATGAAGCATGGATACAGGTAAACCGTCGTTACATTCGCGATAAAATTTCGCCTAAGTTCGGTCGATCGGCGAACGGAAGGGGTTTTTCGAATTTCGGCCGATCGTTGAATCCGTAATGGATTAACGGTTTTTTAGAAAGTCCCGACGCGGCGGTTCGACGAGCTATTCGTGAAACTTTTACCGAGAACGGATAAGTTTTCGTATCCGGAACGGGGATGGACGTTGACGAGCGTTCGAGTCACCGATCAAGATCGTCCCAACGATTAGGATTCTGGGTTGTTGGCTTTCATTTTTTGGCAAATTAGCGAAACGAGATATGTATTAATGCCGATGGTCGAGATTTCCGTGTCGCTTCTGCGGGCAAAAATTAAAAGAATGTTCCATCGGTGACCCTGAACTATCATCGAAGAGCACCGTGCACGTGGTCTGAGTTTTAAACGGAGCCACTCTCTCCGGACGACTTTTTCCTGCGTTTCGGAGCGAACGCTTCCCATACATTTCTCCTCGATGATTCGTCGTTTCGCGTTTTCCGCTCGATTATACTCGCTCTTTCTATATTAAAGTGTAACAACGGATTTCGAACGACGTCATCACGCGAGAGTGTCGGCTATATTTCTGTTAATATTTATATATTTGTACAAAATTTTATATAGGTCAAATCTACACCTAAAACACTAATACGCATTTACCTAACAAGAGGTCCACTCTCCTTCATTAGCAATTATAGCTTGGCACCGTCTCGGCATATGCTCTCTACTAATTTTACGGCGTAACTCACTGGTAACGACCTCCGTATCTTTCGAATACGATGAACAAGTGTTTTTATTTTGATGATACGCCTTCCTCTAAGTTTATACTTCATCGTGGACCGCACATTTTCTATTGGGTTTATATCAGGGGACTGCGACGGCCAAGGTACTACGGTAATAGCGTTTTCCTCTTTCCATCTAGTACAGACGCGACTTCGATGTTAGAGTTTTATAGTCATTGCCTTCTTCCAATATCCACTGGTCTTTGGCTTGATTGAACCAACGTTTCAATCATTCGTTGTGCATTCAGATTGTCCGTGAAAATGCATAAAGTCAGCTTCAAACCGTTTCGCATATATGGCACTCATTTTACAAAGCTCTGTTCTGTACAATGTCTCAAACAAAACTGATCGATGTTCGAGCAACGCGTAATAGAGGAGTCTGTATTTGTTTATATTCTTACTCTCTCGCCCTCGTTCGATGTCAGGTTTCGTAGATATTGCTGACACGCTCTTGTAAGAGACAGATTGTACGCATGGATGTTTACACATATACGAATATATCCATTCCCTCTTCGAACGTAAATCCGGCACTGCCTCCAGAATTTTCGATAAGAATTTGTAAAGCATCGCATTCTTAGATTGAAATCAGTATATTCCCAAGGGTTTCGAAAATGATCCAGAGGCTCGAGTCGTTAGATATTCCGCGAGATTACGAGAAGAAAAGGATTGCACGTCCAGGAAGCAACGTCTTCGCTGTGATGCGGTCGCCGAAGGCGTTTCCGTGTAGTGTAACTGCGTTTACCTTGACCGAAGAAAGTGTTACGCGTGTCTTTAACCTACGCCACTCGGTTCATGAATGCACGACACTATTTATTGCTCATCGAGTTCGGAGGAACTTTCTTTTATTCCTCGTAACTTCTAATGGCCCTTCGAAAGTGGTCGATATTCGGCAATTTTGATCACGTACATCCTACAATGGCTCCTTCGAGATTTTAATTAGCGCGGTACAAACCGTATGTATTTTGTGCTGCTTTAATTCTCGAGGGTTTAATTTGATTCTCCAAGGTCACCTTAATTTTCCTCCTTCGCCGATTCCCTCGCTGAAAGAAAGAGTTGCAGTGCGACCTTGGAAGGACGTAATCTCCTACGATTCCCTCTTTTCTACAAGTGTAACGATGCACCTGCGCCGTGCTGTATTATTATTTTTTTTAATGGAATTACACCTTCGTCTCACGTACTTAAATATTACTTATCGTTGGTGTCCTAACCGGTGACGATGTATGTAAGTGGAACGACGCGAGAAAATGCTACCAACCGGCTCCTCTTGCTCGAGAGTCGTTCTAATTACGAAGATAAACTGAAATTCTCAATTAGCGACGTCCATTCTCGTTTCGCGTGAAATCCCGTGTCGGATTTTTCTCAGTTGGTAGCCTTCTGTGACTTACGACGAACAAAATAAATCATTCCCAATCGTACACAAGCGGCTCCGGTGTTTGGTGTCGTTGTCTGTATCTGCGCCTGTGTCTGTGTCTGTGTCCACGCTCTTGCGTTACGGACTGTATTAATTACAAGAATATTTTTGATCAATGATTCCAGGAACATGAACGCGTCAACGGTCCTCCTGGTTCTCGCGGTAGGCGTAGCAAACGCTCAATTGAACTTTGACGGTAATCCTCTGACGGAGAACACCGAGTACACCGCCGAGGAGTCGCAGCTCTCTCGAAGAACCGCGAGGCGGGAGGAAACCGCAGCGAACGCGACGAATGGTGTCGCGGAACGTTCCCAGAATTTCCATCTGGGGTTCGAGGCCGAGACAAGTGCGTCTTGGAATGTCGAGACGAAAAGTAAACCCGTGAACGATCTGTCCATCGACGAGGAAGATGTAGAACGACATAGTTCCTTCGCCGTTAAACCAGATGCCGTTCAAACGGGTCGACACTTGACCACGAGTCCCTACGTTCACGGAACAAACTCTATCAATCCATCCGAGCTGGCGTTGAGCACGTTTCTGAACTCGAAAACGCCAGAGGAGTCCCGGCAATCGTTGGACGATTACCTCCAGATCAGAGAATCGCCACAAAGCGTTGGCGATCAAGCCACCTCGAGTACGGGCCAGCAACAGCCTGCATCCCTGACGGGCCAACAATCGTTGACCTTGTCGTCGCCGGTCAATCAACATCTGACCGCGCAGCTTATGCAACAACGAGAAATGCTGCAAACTTTCCCTGTTAATCACAGACAGCAATTCAACGAACAGGTTTACAATGCGAATACGCAAGATCCACGCTCACCTGTGCCCAACACCGTGGGTACACCGCTGGCGCAGCAGGCGTTTACGTCTTACGCGCAGCCTGGGATACAGAGCAGAAACGATCTCTTTTATCCTGCCGGATGGCATCATCGCGTGAGAAGAATACGTGGGAGACCGCTCCCCTACGCTCAGTCCAGGGGGGGATTCTACAATGGGCCTGTTCCAGGTGAGACGATGCTCGGAATGTGCCTCCCTGTTTACAAAAGGATTCTTAACCCTTAAATCCCCTAAGTTTCAATCAATTTTCTGCAGATTATTTATTAAATATCGGCTCGGTTTGCAGCACGAACTTATGAGATGACCTAATATTTGGCTGCATGTATGTTACCGTTGCGTAATGTTCTTTAGAACAAAAGTTAAAGAAAATAAACGTCAGCTATAACAATTATTTGATATCTTCTTAAATTTAATTTGGAAAATCAGGCTTCGAAGGGTTAACGAACCGTGCTCGTTAACGACGGAGTTATGAGTAGTGATTAAAAGTTGCGTCACTCGTGGAGAGGTGACTCGATTAGAATCTTGAAGCGATGCCAACTAATTAGGGGGATTCTCTTGGTACAACGTTGCGCTGAACTTCTTAAGATGATCCAAAGAGCCAATTGAATTCTGAAAGCATGATTGGATCAGCAATTTTTTAAAAGGACTATACTTATTGAAAATACTTAGTAGGTAGGAACTTGGTTAACCAATTATCGTCCAAAGTTATTGGTTATTCCAGTTTGGAAAAATCCGTGATACTCGTAACAGAACATAATAGTGTTGGGGCCCCGGGGCGCAACGTGGACCATCTATACCTTAGAGCCGCGACATCTCTGTCGTCCTAAGGATCAGTTACCTGTGCCAATAAAGCAATAACTGCTGTTTCGGTCTACGACCTCACAAGACTGTCACTGGAAGAAATCTTGTGAGGTCGTAAACCGAAACAGTAGTTATTGGTTTATTGGCCCAGGTAACTGATCCGTACGCCCTGAACGAAAAGTCTAGCTCTGTCCTTGTCTAAAAAGATGTCAGATTACTAATTGCGGTGGACTTAAGTTGTAAAGGTCGATGTCCGACCGACTTTACGACCTCACAAGATCCCTACCAGCGACAGTACTTATCGTCTCATCTTTGGTCTCCTTAACGTCCTTCCAGGTCCTTTCAAGCCGAAGGCTCCCGTGGAGGTGATCTACACGAAACCACCGGGTTTCGGTCGCGGTCCTCCGGTCCTCGGCAACCCTCCAGTGCCGTACGAGGACGCCAGCGCCTGGTTCCCTGAAGCTGACCATCCGCCACCTGCGAAAGACGTTTATTACTCCCAGCTGTATGCTCAGTCCTACGACCCGTACTACTACAACTACATAGCGAAAACGGGCAAGGTGAAGCCTCACCTGTACGGAAAGCTGGGTAAGTATCACGAAGACGAAGGCGGCGACGGGATCTGGGGAGAGCTGTACCGTGGCTTCAAGAAGCACGGCCTGAAGAACATGATGACGCCGACGTTTCTTCTGGGGATGACGCTGCCGGTGGTCACTCTGATGCTCACGGCGCTCGTGCAGAAGAGATCGTTCGCTAGATCGGACTCCGGTGAATTCTCGCGAGAGGAGACGATTCAGGAGTACCTGGAACAGCTGCAGAGAGCCATAGAGTGCTACGAGAAGAAGAGAAGGAAGAGGGACGCGAACGCGGACGAGTGCTGGAAATTTAATTAACGCTTAACTTAATAATTTATTGAATAGCAGGTCGGAGCAGGCACTTGTATCGTTCTCGGTGCAAGTCGCTACGACCTTTCAGGTAGGGGGTTGTGAATGTCGAAGTGAATCTTGGACAAAACGTTCAAGAGTTTACGGGGAGTCTTGTATATAATGCGTGTAATATAATAATAATAGTAATAACGGTACGAAGCGACTCGTCTGAGAGAGTTAACGTGACAAACGAATCGTCGCGGGTCAATTACCTACGACCCTGTTCACGTCCACGTGCTCGTGAGTGAACGGTTCCATGGAATGCGGGTTTAATTATGGACGATATCAATGCAACACGACTCGACTTTCCTTTATGCAACTTTTACTTTTGTACCCGTAGTAGATGGCGAACTGGACTGGTAGCAACGGTCCGACTTTCGTCTGTCATTTCTTCTTCAGTTAGGCGTGCATCAAAAATTGGTAATCAAGGGATACTTTCTCCGTACCAGGAGCTCTTCTCTGGAACCTCTATCGGTCCGTCAGTTTTAGAAGGGGCACAAATCTGTAGGATTTAGTGAAATAAAGCAATCGTTTCTTGCAGCATTCTCTGTTCTCATTACCCACGCTTCATTGGGTCATTCCACGCCAAATCGATCGCTTGTTTTGGTCGATGTCTCGGATTTTCTTCCAAATGAGATATACATATTGTAGTTTACGTGAAATTAGGGGCAGTTTAAGTCATTATTTTGCTCGTTTCGAAACCGTTTGAGAAATACAAGCTCAAATATTGCGACACATTTTTCACAATAATGGGCAAAAATCGCAATATTTGAAGGGTTGTATTTCTCAAACGGTTTCGAAACGAGCAAAATAATGACTTAAACTGCCCTTAATTTCACGTAAACTACAATATGTATATCTCATTTGGAAGAAAATCCGAGACATCGACCAAAACAAGCGATCGATTTGGCGTAGGATGACTCCGTTTCATTTCATTCATTTATGAGGGTCCTGACATCCCTAATAGGAATGCCAATAATTTGTTGTGTTATAGTACACCTATAGCTCGGGTACCTCGGGATCGCTAAACCCGTACTGTAGCTACAATCAAACGTACCTACAGCCCCTGAGGGAATTACCTACACCTGCCGATAAGTTTACGTGGAAATGGTTTGAGCCGGCGACTGACTTGCAACAGAACGCTGTAATGTAACTGCTCGGCACGAATTTTACGGTTCGACAGCAACGTTACATTACAAGGTCCTTTTTGGAATCACGAATGCTCGCTTCGAACTCTCGGCTGAATTCTCTCTCGATGCTTACCTACTCGGTTCAGTGAAAAGTAGACGATCAAAGAGGTTCGTGGAAAAACCGACAGACCAGTGGAGCACGGTGGAGCGCGAACCGAGCCCAAGAACGGCTCGGTTCGTCGCTCGCTAGCCCGCCAAACTAAGCGAATGCTCGCGTTACATTACAATGTTCTGTGGCAAGTCATTCGCCGGCTTTACATGACTCTTCTTTCTGGCGATGACGATCAGGCGTGGAACGATAACTAAATTTTATCGTACAGGCCATTTTTCGCGGTGCACGAGAAGAATGAGATTCTCCAGCGAACAGCGATCTTCGGCCTAGATTTCGTGCGATTAGGACGAGCGCTGAATTCCAAATTAGAAACGACATCCGCGATTCGCTGCACTACGAGGCGTGCATCATGACACAGAAATGGATAACCGGTTGAAGGTTTGATTAACAATTCGAAAACCTGTTCGGTATACCGCTACCATTATGCGCGTCGTGCAACGCGTTTATTTTTCTCTAGATCTTCGGGTGCGATTATAGAAACGGAATTCCCTTGGCGCGCTGAGGTAATTCAGGTACGCGATGTTGATCATCAATGGCGACGATAAGGTCAATCACGATAACCTGGTCATTAATGAACAGTCGTGAATTAAGCGCGATGGTTAACACCGAACGAGATGCCGGCCCTTTTTGCTCGATAGCGACAGATGGTTTCTAAGTTTCAAATAATTCCTCTATCGAAATATTGATTTAAATAGGGGATTAAAAACGAGGTCGAGTCTTGTTCATCCCGTGGAGAAACCGGTTTCCTCGGAAACAACTTGCACTCCAGACACGGGAAGGATTCCTTGTCAGATTCCCCTTTCATCGGTAATCGAGCATCTCTGATTACGCTTCGTTAATCATCGACTACTTTCTGTCACATATGTATCCGTATGGTGACAGAAAACACTTTGCGCTCTAAAGATACAAACATAGAAAAGTACAGATTAAATCACTATTCCAAATATAAATAATTGCAACTGATTATCAAACATGAAGCAACGAACCCATCGTCTCGACTTGAAATAATAAATTTATTCCTCGCGTACGCCGACGAACCGATTATAATTGAATTATTTAATCGAACGATTGACGGCTTAATTCGCGGGTCATGAGACCCAGACGTTGCGCATACGTTCCACCGTAACAAGGGGCAATTATTAGTATCAACTGAACCTCTCGTGGGCCATTAAAAACTCTAATGTAACGTCTGTTAATCGCGTATTTTTTCTTCCGCTGGCGGATTTCACGCTGGAACAGGAACGAAGAAAGCGCGATAAACCCCGTTCAACGTAAATAAACACTTTCAACCGTGCGTTCCACTACGAATCGCGTTCTACATACATCATCCGTTGTCAGTTGCAATAACATCGCAGCAACATTAACGAAAAATATATAGTGTATTTCGTTGCTTTTATGCTCTGCAAATACAACTTGTCGAGATACATTTGAAATAGGCAAGGGAAGTCGAGAAATTGGAAATACTTTCAGGATTTCAAGAACGCAATAAAAGACTCCTGGTGTCGAAGACGTGTTAAACTCGACGTCAGTTCATTTAATGAAAAAAAAAAAAAGAATACAAAAAAAAAAAGAATAAATCACAGCTCGTAAAACGATGCTCCACTTTCCTTTTAAATTTATTCCTCTTAGTCTAGTTAAAAGTTAGCGATCGATGCTTGTTTTCAGGAGCGGCGTATACAGGAAATTACTAGATTGTCCCAAAAGTTTCTTTCGTGAGTTCCATTCAATTATTTTCTGTGACGGCGTTTATATAAATAGACAATCCAATTCCTTAGACATTGATGCTGTAACAGTAATGAATCAAAATGAATCATACACAGTTCAGTAATGTAACATAAAACATAAAATATTGTGTATATATTAATTATTAATAAAACGAAAGAAACTTTTGGGACAACCCAATATTTCGTGCTCCGTTTAAGCAGACTGGGTAGAATCAGAATTTGGAAAACGAATTTGCCAAAGGAAGTAATAAAATATGAAAACGAACAACGCCTTTGTCGTGTCCTGTGGCTTTCATAGAGGACGCAGGTGAAGGGACGAAGTATCGAATGAACGAACGGTGCGATTTACTAAAATAGATTCTAATTTTGCTCCATAAAAGTCACAGGTGTTCTACGAATAAAACTCCTACAAAATAATCTCTCGTAGCTAAAAAACAAAGTAATATACATATATATATATGTGTGTGTGTGAGCGTGTATGTATATGTATATAACATTACGTATTGCTTTCAATTTTGCAACACTTTATGTATACATAAGTAACTGCGTATAATTGCCCTTTGCTATCTACGGCATCGCTAGTTTCTCAGGGGCGCTTTTCTTTACAATGTTACGCTAGTGCCGTGATTCTGATTCGAGAAACGGTTCCCTTACCAATGACGTTCAATTACGGTCGAGTAACTCTTTGACACGGTTCCCGGTAAAAGCTGCCTTTAAGGAAATTGATTTCGGAATTTGCCAACGTCGTATCGGGCTCAATTTGTCGTTCGAGGCCATCTCTACATCCTGCACCATCACGCTACATCTTATCTGTAAGCAAACGTTCGTTCGAATCGAGCTTTACTTAGAAGTTCTAAGTTAGAACGCAATGTTGGAATCGACGCAGAGCCGAATTAAGACATTGGATTTAACGAATACAGTGGTCGTTCGCCAAATGGAAGGTCTCCAGACTTTAACGCTGAAAAGTATAAATAAATGATTCGATTAAAAAAGAAACGCTATACTGTACATGCTCCCAGTACCTGTAACCCAGAAGTCTACAAAGTCTTAATCCGGCGCTGAATAAACGTAGCATTTACTGTTTGTTTTTTTTTTCTACTTTAATTACTAGAATGGAACGTCACGCTCAATAAGGAACTAGGATGCTTGAACAAATCTGTGCGTACATTTGCCGATGCGCACGAACACTCGATAACTCCGTGCCTACGAGCAGCTACGAGTCCAATGAATTTGATCGGTTAAGAGTTTGTGGCCGATGGCCAACGATCCACGACACGTTGCAGATTTTTAATATCTTCTTAATATATGATAACCACAAAGATCACGAGGGTGGCAAATCGTCGAATCACTTTTCTAGGACGCAACTTGTACCTGGAAGCCTCAAACAATGGCACTAAGTCGCTAAAGTTGGAACAAGTAATGATTTGATTATTACTCGGATAGTCAGTCTTCGTCTCGGTGGAAGTTTTGATAATTTTCTGTGTACATTTATGGCTATGGCGTGCTTAACCTTGACGCCTGGCTCTACCGAGTACAATGTGCGCGTTCAATGTTTATTATAGCTCTCGATGCATTGCGAGAACAGTTTGTAATTAAATTACTTTCTCGCGAGATTATTTCTTTCTGTCCTTCGAATTCTTTTTATATGATTATTGGCACAAAGAAAGCTTCTGCAGCCGACCTTTTCAGACTGACGAGAATCGTGTGATCGCTAGTAGCGGCGAAACTGTTCCGTGGGACTAGAGATTTAGTATACAAAGCGGCATCCAGTGGTAAATACTAAACGATGAATTTTACATAAAGCGCTAACAGAGTGCCGAGTGTATCGCTACATAATTACAGTTTACATCAACTGAATAACAAAAACACTTTTTTTCTTTTTTAAAGCTATCTCCTTCTTAGCTGATCTACGAAATGTGCATGAATTAGGTTTCTGTACAATTAGGACGTTTTATGAAAAGAATCGGTATCTATCACATCGCGGATACAAGTTACGGTTACCATTGAAATGTAATGAAATCATTTATGCGCATATTTCGAATGAGTTGTTCAAATTCAATAATATAATTAGCTATAACGCAGGAAAAATCGAATTGAATATTATCTATACACACATATATGTATATACACATATAGACATAAATATGTATATGCCTATATGTTTGTGTGTGTGTGTGTTCACATATGTACACATCATCTCTGAATATTTTTCTAAATACAATGATCATAATATAAATTATAGAAACTTCAAATATATATAAAAATCTGAATATATGAAAGACCATTTTCATTTTATATTATGTCTCCGGTGTATGTGATTCCTGCACTGTTCGGAGTATCATCGATTCGCTTATGTTTAATTAATTGGTGCGACGCGCGACGTTATAATGGACATAACTTCGTTTAGTAAAAGAGCTGATAAAAGTGTCAAAAATGATTTAAAACGAAGCGAAATAAATAGCGTGCCTGTGTAAATTGTTTCTTTTCGATTAAGAAAAATTAGCGCAATACTTGTATCAGCGAACATCTAATTTCCTATCATTTTTTTGTTTTTGTTTCTTAATCGATATTAGAATGTGAACACTCCAAGGCTAAAAGTACATTCTGTGTATATCGGTTCAGTCGAATTTTTCTTCCTTAAACGCGAGATTGATAGCTTCGCCGACGTCTTTTACCACGAATGCAGGCTTGCATAGACCATCTTCGATTGGCAAGAAATCTCTAGGACAGTGTTCCGCTATAAAATCCGAATCTCGTCGATGGACTCCAGTTTCGACTAAAATACTGATACAAGCTTTCGCGCTAGGCGGCTCTATATCTCTGCCAAGCAATTTCTGCAGTTTTTGAGGCTTCAATGCTTCGTCTTTTGAGCAATACGACAAATACTTGTCATACAAATTTGCACCAAAAATGTCTGTGTTGATGTTATCCCTGAAAAATATACAGAAATGTTAGCGTTCGTTTTACTTTCTTTGCTGCATTTAAAACTTCGTTTTTTATTATGTTCGTAAGATTAATTACCCGATAGCGTATATCGTATCGACGTTATGATCTATTCCAATACTTTTAGCATGCTCACGGAGCACATGATTCGCGTGATAGTATGTGATTTGACTAGGTTTTCCGATTAAAGCGGTATACGTCAAGTCTTTTCCTGTAATTTTCTTATATAGAGCTTCTAGACAGACTAAGAAAGCACCGTGGCCGTATCTAGGGATCGGTGCTTCCGACACCCATAGTAAATCCATATTACATGCCAAGACTGGAATGTGAGGATAAGGAATATCGTTGGACAAACCAGCTGGCACCCCGTTAGTCATCAGTAAATCTACCATCAATTGCAACGGTGTTTCCCAAGAAATTGGTTCGCTAAATAGTACGATACCCTCGATCTTCGGAAAATTCGGATCTATCGGTCCGCATTGCGGATTTCGCTTTTTCATATTTACATAGTCCAGGGATGGGTAGTTTTTTACTAAATCTTCTATAACTACAGTTTTCTGGAAACCCAGTTCCTGAGCAATTTCTCTAATCGGACCTTGCCCGGATATCAGCACTTGTTTATTGGTAAATTGTTGGAACAATCTCAATGGTGAATGAGCCATCACAACCTGAGATTCCTTTATTTCGAATCCTATCCATTTGGACAAATCTGCAGCCTTCTGACTGCGTAAAGCATTTCCACTGTTGGTAACAAACACAGTTGGTACTCGAAATTTGCCATCTTTTCCTTGAAGGCGTTTGAAAGACTCAGGTACCGGTGGCAATACTTTCTTGCCACGCACTATTACTCCATCAATGTCAAAGAGCAAACCAAATTTTGGCTTGGAGCTTAGATGCTGAAAATAATGAAATTGTTAGTGTATAACTCGGAAAATTGAATTAACAATCAATTTTATTTTGTCATTAAAATATTTTCAAATATTTATTATTACAAGTATGTATATATGTTAAAAGTTTGTTTATCAGTTTTTGGAGTTATGCAGTTACTTCATATTTTTGGAGCACGACATTGAAACAGCCACAGGGACCTTGAAGCAGGATATAAAAATATCATTGCTATGTTGACTATGCTATGCGGTATATTTTTATACCAGCACTTGAACAAATATCACATAAACTTTGCATCATTCGTCTTCTTCAATTTCGTAATTAATTTTGCGTTAGAAAAAAATGTGTAAAATACATGTTCGATATTTCGAAGAAAAAATTTACGCGCCAAATTGATCGATGATTCATTAACAAATGACTGACTGCCATTTCGAATCTTGAATGAATTCTCTCTTGGAGGAAAACTCGTCGATCTACGACGAGAAAGTTGGCAAAAAATTGTATTTTTTAGTAACACGGAATGACAATGGAGATCTAAAAATATCTAACGATTAGATACGAATATTAATCCCTTTAATTCCTATAAATTTGTTGACAAGCCCGTACCAATTCGACGAAAGTAGGTCAACTGATTAGTGTCATAAACAAAAGAAGACATGCATGACGGGTCCACCTTAAAGTCCATAAACCAGAATCGAGCATAACAATGATGGCACATAATATAACTCACTCTGACACTCGCGAACCTTGCGATGTCCGGTCGTAATAATATCTTCATAATTGCCATTATGGCAGTTACAGGAGCGTACGAGGATTCAGTAACTTTATCTTAAAAATATACCCTACGTTCAAAGGCTACTTCTCACTGATTGATTATGCATAATGTTACGCTTTGAGGTTATAGTGACCTACAGATCGCACAGTACACTCGATCGTATTTTTCCCACGTGCCGTAAGAGGACACAGTATACGTCATATGATATCACTACATGCATTGCTGTCGCATATCGTACGTGCTATATCTAAACAAATTGCTTTTGTTTGGACTTGAAGGCCTTTTAACAGCCAGTACCGTAACTATACACGAAACCCAAGACCCCAAGAGAAACGACCAACCGTCTACGTGCGAATAAATTCGCATTTGAACGATGTTCGACTGGAATTAATTCGACTTTGTCCTTCAGCTACCAACTGTAAGGTTGGCAGTGTTTAAATGTATTTTTCACATTAGGTTTATCTAACGCGGATAAATGCCGCGCGAGGGAAAAGTAATCAAACGTTCGTCTTTGAACTTAAAAATTTAAAGCACATCGAGGGGTACTGATAAACGTCGAGTGCACTCAGAAATGCCATGCTCATTGAGCCGCTCATTGAGCGAATTTTAGTATCAGTGGCGCCATCGGTGGGGAAACGCCCAAGTTTGTAGCGAAAATAATAGCCACTGTTACTGCTAGATGGCGCTTCGTCTAGAACCAGTCGGTACTTAATGCCGCATTAAATAAATATTGAGATAAATGTTTAAACTATATATTGAAATATTATATTGTAGTGTTATGAAGCAAATAGTATTAATTTATGAAAATTAAGTAATAATTGTTTAAAGTATATCGGTGGCGTTATCTTATAGAAATAGTTGAAACTAGCTTCGCTACAAACTTGGCCATTTTCCCACCGATGGCGCCACTACGACTAAAATAATTCGTCATCTAGCGTCAAGAATAGAAACTAATCGCAAAGCAGACACTGCAGCTGGACTTTTCGTTGAGGATTTGTTTTACAACGAATAAGTTTGTTTCGATTATTCGTGAAGCTAAGATGTTTATCAAACCGTTTAAAGTTAAATCAAATAATCAACTGAAAGGAACGGAAAGGTTGGTACGATCTAGTCTCGCGTAAAACGTCATGGAAAATATTGTTTTACATGTCAGATTATCCTCTTCGCGGCTTTTCCAAATGTGTATTCAAAGCGCGAATTAATATTCGAGATTATTCGTTAAACGAACGAAGAGTACACGAATGTATCTTGTATTCTTTTGTTGGTGTTCATTAGGAAGAAATTATGCCAAGAAATTTTAGCGGCGTACCCAATGCTAACAGACGAAGAAACGCAACAGTTAGTTCCCAAAAAGGAGGCAATAAGTGTCATGAAAATCATAACTTATGGAGGGCAGTTGGGCAAAGTGTACTGTGCTGCAAAAATACCTGTGTTTTTCCAACTTGACTCTTTGCATTCTGCGTTATTGCCAACCATATATACCTTATGGCATCATCCAAACTTGTTAAGAGTTTTCACAACACGTCTTCCAGTTGTATCCAAATTAGCAAGTGGTGCTGATTTGATGTTGCCTGGAGTAGTTGTCAAAGAACCTGTTACATTATATTCCTTTGGCAAATTACCAAAAGGTACTCCTGTTTCGATAGATACAGAAGATAATAAGGTATGCATTCGTTGTTTATGTAATTTGGTATACAAAGATGTAAGTATATCCTTTTCTTTAAATAGGCAGCTGTTGCTGTTGGTCTCACTGCACGTTCTAGCGAAGATATGTATATGTCTGGAGGTCATGGGAAATGTGTAGAAATTTTACATGTAATAGGCGATATGCTTTGTCAACTGGGAAAACCACCTGTCAGACCAAATTTAGGACCATTAGATATGGAATCGAATAATGATAAATTAGAAAGTACAGAGCAAGTCAATGAAAACATTGATAAGCCAGTTGCAGATGCCATGAATGATTTAGAAATTTGTGATAATAGCACCCTAGAAACAGAATGTCCTTGCGAGGTAATTTACAATATAATTTATACAGATTCGTAAAACAGTTACCTTTAAACTGGTATTAATATTCTCCACAGGAAAATACGGATGTAACTAGAATAGACGAGACCGAAGAGATGGAAAGTGTGGTCGCGGAACAGCCAGAAATAGTCGTAGATCCTGTACAAGAAATGGATAATTTGTTAGAATATTGCTTTTTAAAAGCGTGTAAAAAGTCTGTGAAGTCTAGCGATTTACCAATGCTGGTATCAAATTTTTCTAAAAATCACTTGTTAGCGGCTTGTCCACCCGATAGAAATATAGACATAAAAAGGTCTCGTTATAAAAAGTTATCCGTATTCTTAGCGGAAATGAAAGCAAAGGGTGTTATCAACACTTCTGTTACGAAAGGCGTCGAAAGTTTGCTATCGATTAAGGTAATACTCGTAGTTTTTATCTAACAGGAACGCGTTACTCTAGATAGAAATATTAATAGATTCTTTGTTACAGTTCGATCACCCTCTTCTAAAAGAGTTGGTTATTTTAGAAGAACCAGCACCGCCGTCGGAACCGGTTGTTTCGAACACTGCAGTTGTCTCAGAGTGTTACAGAGTGACTGCAGACGTTGTGCCAGTGTTATCGAAATTCAGATACGAGTGAGTATGCGATACCACGCTCGGGTGACATCTTTTTACCGCGATACAATCATTGCAGAGAGAATGATTTTCTGTGCAGAGCAGAAGTCTACAACTGTTACATCATATACCATTATGCTCTATTATATGATACGTATTATGTACATTTTACTCCCATACGATGATTGCAGAAAAGGGGACGTAATGAAAAGAGCTGAGATCAGAAAATGTTTTACTGAATACGTGAAAGCGGAGAATCTACAAGACGGAAAGTACGCCATGCTTCGTAGACGTTCGGATCCATATTCTCGCGTAATCGTTTAACCTTATTTGTTTTCTAGGATGTTGAAATTAAATCCGCAACTCGCAGGTATTATGAAGACCAAAGCGGATCAGGAGACTATTACGATGGAGGACGGAATAAATAAATTTATAGGACGCATGACGCATATGCACGAAGTTACGTTAGCGGGGAATAAATTATTGCACACGGGCAAACTGGAACCCATCGATATGAGGGTTACTGTTCGATCCGGAGGCAAGAAGGTACGATGATCGATTCCGAAACTTGAATTTAAAAAAAAAATGTACGAATAATATATAATTTGATAAATTCGACACCAAAGGTAACGCTAGTGAATAACTTGGAAACCTTCGGTATAAATTCCAAGGAGTTCAGTAAGGAGTGCCAAATTATCGGCGCGAGTGCAACGATTACCGACGAACCTGGAAAGAAAACTCCTAGCGTTCTCGTTCAAGGAAACCAGATTTTATACGTGTATAAATTACTTACCGGTAAGCAATGAATTCCTATGCCACACAAATGTATATATATTTCACCTAAACGAGTATATTTTTTTTCCAGAAAAATACCAAATTAAAAAGACTTACATAAGAGGCTTAGAATTTGCTCCAAAGAAGCAAGGATCTCAGAAAAAATAAAGCATCACGCCTCGAGCACGTCTCGCGCTTGTATTTTGACTCACGAATAAATGGACTCTCAGTGAAATAAATAATTGTTATTTACTCGTGGCTTACCCTTTACCGTTTCCCCAAAATGCGCCGAGGTCCGTCGAGGACCTGGGTTTACTTTTCGGTTAGATTTAAATTCGGCGAAAGGTGGTACGAGCGTAAATGGGTAGAAACGCTCAGCTCGGAAGAGATTCGACGATCAAAGTTTGTTAATATAATTTATTGTATATCGAGGTTTCAACATGGAAAAGTACAAATATTGCAATATAGGGCCCGCGAGCTCTCCTCGGGTGGGAGGGAGGGAGGGAGGGAAGGGAGGAGGGTACAATTTCACAGGAAGGAGAGACAACGCATGTCAAGATATCTCGAGACTTTTTTGTTTTTCGTTTGTTTGTTTCATCTGACAGGAATGCGCTCGCTACAATTTCGAAACCGAGGGTACACGAGGTATTACAGATATTGAATGTATATTCCTCTGTTCGTTCTTTGTTTTTTTTTTTTCTTTTTTTTGTTCTTCTTTCGTTTGCCTGACGATGGGGAAAATGTCGAAGATCGACGAACGATCCGTCGAGATTTCACTTGAGTAAAGGAAGGTTCCCTCCTCTCCACGGCCCCCGCATATATTTAATACTCGTTTTGTTCTTTTTCTCTGCTACGGACACGCACGTGCGCGTCGCGTCGCAAATCAATGCGAGTACGCGCGACCCGCACTTGCGTGTCGTCGCAGTTATTACTTTTTTTTTTTTCTTTTTTTAATCATCGTCATCATTTTCATCATCATCATCATCACCATCATCATCATCGTCGTCGTCGTTATCATCTTCGCTTTCTGTTCCTTAACTAAACAGGCTGCCCCTGCAGTCGTGATCGCTCGACTTTGATATCCTACCCATCGCGCGATTCGTCGAACGAAGAAAACGACGCGCACGAAGGGTACCTGAACCGTTCCGACGCGAAAGGTTTAGGTACTCGTTTCCCCCGATATCTCGAGCATGTCTGACAAACACCAATCTCCTCGTTTGGCTCGACGTAATCTGTGGGCGGATATGACTCGACAATCCGCGGATCCGACGACACCCGCGCCACGGGGCGCGTTCGCGAATTCGCGGAATTGCTTCATTATATTATAATTAAATTTCTTTTTTTTTTCCTTTTTTTCTTTTTTTTTTTTTTTTTTTTTTAATATATTCCTTAGCGTCTGCTTTTCTGAAAACATCGACATCTCGTTCAACAGTCCTATGTCGTTTTCGTCGACGAATCGCGACGACGAACACAGTCGGACACGCGCGTCTACGAAAGCACCCTCAGTTTCATCTGATCCCTCCCCTCCCCACCCCCCCTCCCCGTACCCCAATTGCTCCTCCCCCGCACCCTTAAAATAAAGAATTCGCCGTATTATCGCCACACGATCGTTATATCTCGACAGACAAGCGCGCCACGGCTGCATCGGAGCGCCTCTATCTCACTCTCTCCATCTCTCGCTATATTCTAAATCGTATCTTTTCGTTTCTGTTTTCATTTTCTTCTTTTTTTTTTCTTTTCATTTTTTTTTCCCCCTCGCTTTTGGGAACATATATTCGCGCCTGCCGTTGTTGCCTGTCCATCATCCGGTTGTTTCATACACGACCGTAAAAGCGTCGCCCGCGATCGTCGCCGAACGTATATTTATTCGTCGTCATGTGTCGTCGTTCTTCGCAAAAAAAAAAGAAAAAAAAAAAAAAAAGATTTGATCGCCGAAATGTGTTTCGTTTACCGTCATATCGCCCAATTCCGCAACGTCACCTCGTTCTTTGCACTCGTATATCGGTCGACCTCTCGATTAGTTCACGTTTTCTCGATTCATTCTCTCATTCGTTTTACTCTCGCTACCCACGAATCTACTCGCTCTCCTCTCGTACACTCGGCTCATTCTCTCCTACTTCCGGTTAATTTATTACTTATTTTTTTTTTTCGCCTTCGGAATTTTCATAATTTTTTTTTTTTTGTTTCTTTATCTTTCTTTTATGCAACACATAATGCGACTAGGTAGTACAGGTTAATTAATAATTAATATCGTTAGTTATACAATAATAACGTATGACTAGACAATGCAAGATAATAATTATATCGTAAATAGTAATAATCATGGATCGCAATTTATATCAACAATTGTGATGGCGCGCACGTGTTCTCGAGAATGTTGTTGCTGTTGTTGTTGTTGTTGTTGTTGTTGTTGTTCTTGTAGTTTCAAATTTTTCGTTTTGGTTTTTTTAAAATTATCGTTATGTGTGTGCCTCTGTGTGCGTGAATGGTCACCCCTTTCTACCCCTCGTGTATGCATGTTTGTAACTCGTTGCGCGTGACTGTGAGACCCGACGCCGACGTCGATCAGAGTCTCTTTTTGTTACGTCGTGCGTTTCTCCGTCGTTTCTTATTTGTTTTTTTTTTTTTCTTTCTTTGTCGAGGCTAAAACGCGCGAGAGTATGCCTTAATTTGTATGCGCGTGCTGCGTATGTGTATGTGTCGCACCCGGGTGCGTGGGCGCAGAAAGAGTCATCGGCAAGATTCGCGACGCATTCTCTCGATTCGTTGCATCGAAATCGCGAACACGCGTTTCGACGGACGATTATTTCCTAACGTTCACGAAACATTTTTCGGGCAACGACGAGTAATGCTTCCGCGAAATCAACGTGAACGAAACGTTCCTATGTTGTTTAATGCGTGTAATAGCAACGAGAAGATTGTGTTCCCTTCCGTTAGCTCGTTTTGTTCGATTGATCTCTATTTAGTTCGAGTCGAACCTCGAGTATGGAGCACGTTGTACGATACTATAATTATAATACGATGTCACAATTTCGAAACGAACGCGGAATGTGGGGATGTGAGAAATTTCCAAACGTAGCGATTACCGTTCCACGAGTTGTTACGATATCGATGTATTTCGAGGTTTTCCTTGGAACTAACAAGACGGAATTCGCGTATGTATGCGTGTGGATGTATGTATGAACGTGTAGATGGACATGTGTCTACGTGTGTGCATGTAGAGGAAGCTTCTTGCTCTGAACTACATATTAAATCGGTATCCCGATTAACCTCTTAAAAAGCACGCCCATATATGGTATATATATGTGTATATATATATATATATATTTAATTGTTGTTGCACAACAATAGCCGTCGCGGTGTTTACGGGATGCTCGAAAATTTCACGTGAGAAATACATGCGTTCGTAATGTAATATAATGTAATACAATATAATGTAATATAATATAATATAATATAATATAATATAATATAAGATAAGATAATGTAATGTAATAATATAATGTAATATAATGTGTATATAGATATATCTAACTTCCACATAATACTTCAATGGATCCCCTATCTGTACTTGCATAAATAATACGCGTAAGTAATTAATAATTCATGCGATAAGTAGACAGTAATACGGATAAATGACGATAATTAAATAGAGATACACGTATATAGGTTTAGATTTAATCCGCGTTGCGCGCCTAAGACGTAAACAAAACCCGTGCCCCGATTGAGGGTACCCGAAGAAAGTATAACATACGCGAAACTACTCGAGAAAGAAATTAGCATTTCGACTCCATTCCGGGGAGCGCTAGTCGTTTGAGATTCTACTCTTTAAGAGGTTAAGTAATCTGCTGGCGCGACGTTTCCCACAGAATCGATCGATCGCTGGATCGACGCGTCGACGAACGGTTGCCGTGACGCGCCGACGGGCGATGGATCGACGATAACAGTGATTACACGGTATCCTTCGCGGCGATGGCTCCCCGCGAAATTGGCTCCTCGTTGAACAATTTCGTCAGGGGCTTGATGACCAGAGGTGCTCTAGCTAAAGGTCTAACGTTACGGTGAAAAAAAAAGAGAATTGTTTCTCCCTCGGCTATCGTTCACAAAAGCTCGAAAAGAAATGAACTTCCTCTTTGGTTTCTGGTTTTCGTCTTCGCCCTTGATCCCTCGTCTCTGTGTACCGCGATCGAAGCGCCAAAGATCAATGATCGCAACGAACGCGTTACACCGTGTCGTCGATAATCGTGTGACTCTTTCGATACTAACGAGATAAATAGAAAGAGGAAGAAAAGCTCGGTTGTTCCAAATTTTCTTGGTCGACGCGTGAACCATAAAGATCCCGCAGACTGGTCTGACGTGACGTGAGCTCAGTCTGCGGGACGCTTTAGGCCTGCGCACGGCAGCAGTGGTATGGCCCGTGCATGATCAGACGCAGGCAAAACCGCGAAGACAGCCTCCGCGTAAACAGACTCTTCTTCGTGTAAGTTTTCCCGGGGGTTTCTTTCCCCCGATTTTACCAAAGAATGTTGTCCCTTCGAGGGGTTTCTGCATTTTGGAAATATGTCTACTCGTCGACGCGAGTCGATCCGATTTACAGTTGCGCGCGGCGTCTGACTAGTCGCGATCCGAATCTACCGTCACCGTCGGGGCATCGCGAGGAGAACGAAAGGCCTTCCCGTGGAAACTCGCGTCTGACCGGACCGTCGCATTCTACTTACTCGTAGCACCGTACACGATCGTGCTAATCGAGTCGCGTTTCGATCACGTAATTTAATTACGTTGTACTTCGATTACGTTGAGTTACGTATATTCAAACCTCCCTATCGCTCCCTAACCCTTTCTCACGATCCAGAAACGGTTCCCTTTTTCTCCCCGCGATACGTATCGTTCCGACGGCGTAAAAAGAACGCTCGGAGTCGTTCTGGCTTCCCCGCCGCGAGTCAGTCTTACTTCGTCTACCCATTGTTATTTCTTTTCCCTCGACCCCTGCTCCTCCTCCCCCACCCTGAACTTTGTCGTTTAATAATAAATAATCGCTACACATGTTTACTTCTTTTATTTTCTTTTAGATCGTACGTCCCGTTCTTAATTTACCCGACCTATCACGATTCTCGCGTTCACCGAGGCCACGCTTCCAGCGAATCGTGGGAATTCTTTTTTCACTCGAAATTCTCGATAGTCTCTCTCTCTCTGGTCGCGACAATCGTATCGCTATACATATTATATTATATACGTCGTTATTATTATCACTTATGATTTGTGCAGTTCTTCCGTGCGGTTACGTCCGATGGTACGTTATTATACACACAGAATGATCGTTCGGCGGTGAACGTCCTTCGATATTCGACGGTTATCCGTGGAATCGGTCGCCCGAGTATTACTGGAAGCATCGAAAACTTTGGCGAGAATCGGCCGACACGACCCGTTCGATCTCGATCGCAACGGCGCGATCTCGAATACTGCTCCGTTCCCTTCTTCTTTGTTCTTAATTTTTTTTTTTTTTCCATCGTTACGGGATTGGTACAAGAGTTTCTCGCCGAAGTGATTCGGTTCCACGTACGCGTAATCGATCTGAGGACAAACCGAAAAAGGAAAACCGAGATTTCTACGCGTTTCCATTCGAATTCGAAAGAAAAGAGAGAAGAAACAAGAAAAAAAAAAAAAAGACAACTCCCCGCGTTTCCTTTGTTCCTCGTTTCGATATTTTCACCGTTGTTTTCCTCCGTATTCGTTTTTTATTCTTTTTTTTTTTTTTTTTTTTTTTTTTTTTAATAACTCCTATTCCCGTCCATTCTCTTTCCTGTCTCGACGTCGATCGCACGTCTAATCGCCTAGCGTAAATCGTTATCCTTATAGTAGCGTATAGTTTACCATTACCGTGTGACGTTCATACGTTTTTTTTCTTTTTTTCTTATTTCGTTTATTTCTCACGTTTAAATAGCGCCTTTATTTATCAGTTACAGTTAAATATCGCTATCAATACCGTATTAAAACCTGTCATAAAATACATTACTCTATTATAATCCGCGTTTTATTTTCTTTGTGTATTTTTCTCCGCTCACTCCGCCCCCAACCCCTCCTCATCCTCCTGCCCCTCCGCGTTTCGACACTCCCCCGTTATTCTTTCGTTTTCGTTTCGTTCGTAACACGCCTCTGTATATCAGACTTTTCTCTCGGTTCGTTACGATCAGCCTCAACGACGCAGGTATACGCGTGTCTCCCTCGATTAGAAGAAAAGAAAATGCTCGAAAGCGCGAGCCCACCGCGTCTCCGTTCCCGTCGTTGTTCTGATTCGTCGGCTTGATTAAAAATTACGAAAAAAATCTGTTCATCCCGAACGACGCGCGTCCTCCGGTTCGAATTCTTTTCCGCCGTTCTTTCGGGATCGAATTCCGTTTTTCGTCGGAAAAGATCTTTAGAAGAATCTCCGCTATTCTTTGCTTTTCTTTCCTTTTTTTTTTTAAATGCTTCGTGCATAATCGCTCGACGGACCCTCGGACACGAATATTCTTATTCGATTATTTTTTTTTCATTTTTTTTTCATTTTTTTTTTTTTTTCTGAAAAAACCGGAACACAACGATGGAACAACTCGGCTCGTTACCCGACGATAATTTTTTAATTTTTCTCCCTTCCTCCCTTTCGCTCGCCGGCGCTAAAACGCACCAATACTCAACTCGTTTTCATCCGAAGTCTAATTAAATAAGCAACACCGTCGGCAGTCGGCCGTCGAGAGAATACAGCGACGAAAAACAACGTGCCACCTCTTTACCCTCTAGAGAAAGTCGAGGTGCGCTTGATCGACGACGAGAGCGATATTTTGGAATTGATTGCCGTCGTGACGATCAAATTTAATTTAGGTGCAGGCACGTTCCTGTGAAACGGATAATCAAACGCGCGTTTTAACGCTCTCAATTCAAAAGCGACGCTCGCGAAAATATTTACGTGAAAATTTTGTTCTCGTACAATTGGAAAATGCGTAATAAATATCCGTACAGGAACCATTTTTTTTTAAATCGGTTGCTGTACGAATACTTCTTGCACTGACTGTATATAATTTAACGTTTACGATGGTATTTATTATTCGTACAAATCGATCGACATTCACGAATTTCATTCGGATTTCTTTTCTTCAGCTCGATCGTTGTCCGTGCAAGTGTTTCTCTCGACGACGAACGAGAGCCGGCGTCTACCAAAATTGGTTCCGATAGTTTCCGACTCGCTCATCGATCTATCAATATAATATCGCGTATCACATTCTTAATTTACATGACGAGATATATCGGACCACGCTAACACGAGTCGAACGAAACGGAAGATGAAAGCACCGATCGATCGGATCGTCGCGGTGCACGTTCGATCCCGCGACATGGCACAGACGTAAATGAATCGAGAAGTGCGCGAACGGAAGTGTTGTTTTCTTTTTTATGCGGGTGGAAAGAACGGCTTGCGTCAGATTCAAGAGCAACAGATTATATTTTCTTCAGTTACAACAGAAATCGTTCGCGAGCTCTTCTCGACGAACGGTGGTGGGTCGTCGACAGGGCGACAATCGAGAAGTATTATATTATTCGTTACATAAGATTCGGGGTGGAAACGAATGGATCGATATAATACATTTCTATACTTTTTCTCGCGTTATCGTTCGTTCTTCTTCCCTTTCATTACGCTCTTCCCTCGCTTTAATATTTTTTTTGTTCGTTTTTAGATTTTGTCTTTTATTATCAGTATTGTTAGTTTCTGTTTAATTAGTGCCCTCCGTTCGTTTACGTCTACGGTTGTTTCCCATTAAAGCTGTAAAACGTTTCTCTAAAGACGATTTGTAACAATCGGACAGATTGTTTCCGCGTGATTTCGATCGTGATCCCTTGGAAATCAACGAGAGCCTCGTCGCTTTCCTTTTTCTGTTTATTTTTTTGTTTCCCCTATTTTATTCTATTTGTATATTTTTACGGAACGTACCGTCGAAACTTGTCCCCGACTTTTTGTTCGTTTTGGCTCGACGAAACCGTCTCGTAACGGTTCTTCGATCGCAAAAAAAAAAAAAAGAAAAAAAAATGGAAAAAAGGAGCCGCGCGGTTTTTCGTTTCGTTTGTTTCTGTTTTTTTTTTTTTTTCGTTTTTCATCTCGTCCCTACGTCACCGTTTCCTTCGAACGACGAAAATGTATTGCTCTGCGTTTCATCCTGGGTGATAATAACTTCTCCTTCTTTTTTTCTTTTTTTTTTTATGAACACTTATAACACATACAACGTTATAATATCGTAATGGTAAAATCTCTGGTATTATAATAGTAATTACGGAATCACCGCGAGCGCGGAGATTGATCGTTACGGGGATCACCCGCGCTGATAATTGTCGATTTTGCCCGCGGGAATCGCTTCTCGAAACTCGACGCCGTTCGAACGATTCGAATTACTAAGAAACAATTGGCAACGAAGACGTTGGAAGATAAAAGAATGGAGGTGTCGCGTATATAGTTTGGAAACAAAAATACGAGAAACGTTCTACGCTTGAAATTCTCAGCTCTTGATTTAAGACGTTCACGCCGGCGTGTACCACGGGTTGCTCACGTTTGCGTGTCTATCAGATGGCGAGTACCACCGTGCCGTCCCATGGCGAGAAACGCAAATAGCAGCGCCGGCGCGAACGCGTTAATCTCGATCGAAGAGACAACGAAATATAGATGAGCTAATAAATGAACAGGCTATTCGTAATTTGTTGGATCGCAGGGAAAACGGCATCGCGTGTCGTGAAAGAATTCCGCGAGCGTGGTGCTCGTTCGGATAAACGTTTCCCCGTTCGGAAAAAAGGTTCCCTTATATCTTAATACTGTCGACGAATAAACTTTCATTCGATTTCCCTATAGAAATGCCCCGTCCTTTCAATAGGAAAGGATAAATTTGTCTTTTGGCGATGGCTCGCGGGATCGCGTCCGTTCGAGATCGATAATTAGATACGCGTATAAATATAATATACGATTTAACGCCAACGTTTTTTGTACCCCGAGGGCCTGGGCGTCGTGGAATGTCGAAAAATTCGTCGATTCTCGTCTACTCGGTCGAAGGTGTTCCTCAACCCGTACGGTACCGTTACCGAACATTCGACTGGAATTAATGGAACGTATTCGCATGGGCAGAAATTTTGTCCAGATACAAATTTTGAATAACGGGTTCAAAGTGAACAATTTCCAATGCGTTCTTCGCGGAGACGATCGAATTTAATTTAAGAACAGACATATTCCTGTGAAATGGATAAATAAATTGAACATTTCGCCTGATGAATGAATGTAAAACGTAAATAATGTGGTCGTGTTCTCCGTAGAACGAATTAAATTTATTCGTTTATAAAATATCGCCCATTCGCGATTGACGGTACCGCGAGGTATAAGAGAGAAAGCATTCTTTGACCGCGACAAATCGTCGTATTTAAAGGCTACAAGGAATAAAGAAACGGAAACGGCTTCGAAACGAACACAGTTCGGAATGGAGAGTCGTAGACGAGAAAAGGAAGTCTTTTATTCCGCGCGAGAGCCCTCGTACTCGGATGGAATGTATCTTCGATATTACGAGATCATCGAGATCTAACAAGCACCTCTCTTGAAACGCAATCTTTCCTACTTTCGCTTCGCGTCAATCGTCCTAATAACGCTTTAACACGTTCACGCCGGCTTGCACCACCGGTGGGTCATACATTGTGCTGAACAATGCGACCCGATGCCGCGCCGCCTCGCGGCTAAGACACTGAGAACCGCGCACAGGCGTCAACGTGTTAATCGCGATTCGGTGCGCGCTCTGCGCTCTCGACCCTCCGAATCGTCGTTGCAAGCCTGTGCATTTTCACGGAATGTATCGATAGAAGAAAGAGAGATCATTTCTTGAAAGGATCGAGCCCTGCATTGGGTCGGACGTTTCGGTTGGCCTTCGTAAGATCCACGAGGGCTCCATCTTCACCTTAATATCAAGTCACGGCATTCTCCTTAAATCGAAATCGATCTCTTCTTCCTTCGAAAGTTCCACTCGAGTAATCGAACTCTTCGAGTGCGGAGAGAAACGAAGGTCAGAGGGTCGAGAGGGTCGCGAAACACCGAGCTCGATATCTCAGAATCTAGATCGTGCACGACGGCGATAGCTTGCACCGCTATCTTTTAAATAATTTATACATCGCGTTTCGGTTATGAGCAATTGATTGCCGACAGTCTTTCCGTCTCTCGATCGCGTGAATTCGCTGAAAATATCGATTGAAAGAATCCCCATCCCCGCACCCCAACCCGTTCCCCGTTTAACCAAGCGTTTGTTCTCGGCAAAATATAAATTATTTAACCAGAGTGGGAAACTCTGAAGCGCAGCCGTTGCTCGAACGCGAATAAAAGGAAACCGGAGAATTCTCGAGTCTTTTCACGGATCGCGAAAGATTCGACGACTAGATAATTTTCTACCCGAAAGAAACGTCGATGAAATGAGTGTGTCGTGTCCGGGTTACGTTTCTCGCGTGAACCTCGCGGAATAAAACGCGCAACGACGAAAAGGAAACGAAACGGAAGAAGCCCCCAACCCCCACGAAGCACCGTGAAATTCACTTCGAGTGTCCAAATGTATGAAAATTCCCTGGACACCCGTTATAATTATCGGCCGTTTGACCAGCCCCCCCAAAATATTCGATTTTAAACATCCCCGCACAGGTTCTCACTCCTTCTTGTTTTCCCTCGTTTTCCCTTCCTCGTTTCATTTGTTTTTTTTTTTTTTTGAGTTGAAGAAATTTTACGTGTGCTCGTGTATCATCTCGATGCTGTGTGGTGTGTGTGTGTGTGTGTGTGTGTGTGTGTGTGTGTGTGTGTGTTCGTGTCGCGTATATCAAACATTCGCCTTCGCTTTTTCGCTCTTTGTCTCTCGTTCTCTCGCATTCAGCATCGCGCGTACTCTCTATCTTTCTCCCAAAAGCTCGTTCACGCACATTTACTTATTTTTTCCATTTTTTGTTGTATTCTGTATGTTTGTTTGTTGTTTGTTTGTCTTGTTTTTTTTTTTCTTTTAATATCACTATAGAATTATCGTAATTAAATATTTATACACCCATTGACAAACTAGCTACCACGTTTTTTTTTTTGTCGTTTAAATACAGTTCCATAGATATCAATTAATTTAATTAATTAATAGTTATTATAATAAGTTACGATAATTAATAATTAGAATAATCAAAACATGTACAGAAGATTATAGATTATCTCTTTCTTCCCCTCTGCCCCCGTCTTTCATCCCTCCCTTGTTTCATCATCTCGTCGCCTTCCGTCCGACTGTATCCCTCGCTCTCTGTCACCCCGCCCCCTCTTCTCTAACGTCGCGTTAACCCTCTGTATCCCCCCACCCGCGCATCTCCCCTATCATTACTTTTTTTTTTTAATTTTTTTCGTCTTTTGTTACAGAGTGGTTATCGGTTTCTTCATTTTTTTTTTTTTTTTTGTTGATCGTTGTGCTTTACTCGCCGCGGAGTAAAATTTCTCGAGTACTCGTTTAGTTATTTTCTATCCCCTCTCTCCTTTCGCCCTATCCCTCTCACACTCTCTCGTACTCACTCACGCGATCAGTCTCTCTCGTTCTCTTTAGTCTTTGTTTTCTTTTTTTTCGCTCGACAGGCATCTCTCTCTCTCTCTCTCTCTCTCTCTCTCTCTCTCACTTTCTCCACTTTTTCGCCCGTTTAATTAGTTAGCTTAGTATATAAATACTTTTCATCTTTTTCTTAGTTAGGCCTACGGTGAGCTAGATCTGCTTTTGTTTGCCGCGGTAGTGTCTCTCTCTCTCTCTCTCTTTCTTTCTTTCTTTTTCTCACTCTCATTTTTATCCTCACGTTCGCTGACTCGCATCATAAAATAATTTCAACCTTCCCTTCTCACGGACACCGCGTACTTCGTCGCCGTTTGTTTCTCTCACGCATACACATTTTCACGCTCCCTCTTGTTTCCTTTGGTTTACCGCTCGCATTAGAGTGCGCCGCCTTCGTCGTCGAAGAAACGGCTCCCTCTTTCGTTCCCTGCCTCGAGAAAGAAAAGACGGACAACCATTGCACGGAGCGGTTTCTTTCAACGTAGAAACGAAACTCTCGAGAAGGATCGAGGACATCGTCGAACCGATCGAATCGCGAGAACGGAGAAGAAACCGACGCGAAGAATACCAAAGAGATTCCTAAGGGCGGCAATACTATCGCGAGAAGTCGCGACGCTGAACGAGACGATCGAACCTGTTTTCACCAAATTACATACGATGTTTCGATGGCATCGATCAAGGACAGGGCTTCTTAAACTACGGGTCGCTCTCTTCGATATTTCTTTTTTCTTTATGTCATTGCAAAAAATGCAGTTTTGATGACAAATAGGGTACGTTACTTTCGTAACTGTAGTAAATAAAATTTCACAACCTTTCGTGCAATTTTTAGCTACATATTTTTGTATGTTTTTAAACGAATTCCGACACTATATTCTTTCGTATTTATATATATCGTTACCTAACCAAGAAATCGTCACAAAATATTTACACACCTTCGTTTTATATATTTTAGGTTGCGAAAAAAGTCGCAATCACGAACGGGATCGCGAATGAAAAAAGTTGAAGTAGCCCTTATCAAGGAGATCAATTATCGTCGAATGACAATTTTTGGGAATTCGATTGCGTAGGTAGCCGTTAGTTTTATAAAGATAAATACCGCCCGCGTTGTTACGCAAGGAGCGCGTCGATCATTGGGAATACGTTTGTCTTACTGAAACGAACAAAATTGTGCAAACGGTCGCGTTTCGTCACGGGCATCTAGCGACGAAAAAAAGAACGATCGATAGAGTCTCGTTGCAGCGCGGTAAACTTTCTGGCGAGGACGAGTCCTCTCGACCTCGAGGCTCGATCGATTTATCCTAACCGCGAGAGGGTGTCACGATTTAATCTCTAAACGCTAGGTGCTACGCTATCGTTCGTTTTCTCAAGTCCACCGAAAAGCGTAAACGATGGTCCCCGAGGAACTCTGGTTCCCTGGAAGGTACGGGAAAGAGTATCCCTGCACGGAGCTAATTAACTTCGCCTAAAATCTCAGTCTCTGCGGTATGCGTGTCGCTTCGGTACAAATTGGAAGAGGATTTCACCCTTTTACGTTCGTTTCTCGGTTCGCTCGCTCTGCTCGTCACCCCGAACTCGTGGGAAAGTACGAGCGCAGCCGCGGAATGCGATTGGTGCCGTTTCCTCCTGTCGTTGAAGACTGGAACCGCGACCGCGAAGGAATCGAACAGGAAGTGGCAAGTACGGCCTTACGGCAAGGTCGCCGAGACGACCGACCAAAGCAAGGTTCTTCTTCGCGAGATACGAATGCGAATGTCAAAGAAGCTACCGCTAAAAATCGGTCGCCTCGATTTAAGCGAAGATCGTGTATTTCCTATTCGTTCCTTCGCGCGTCCAAGTTCCGCGACTCCGAAACGTCGACGATCGCGTCGAAGACTGGTGACAATGAGACGGTGTTCGTCTTCCATCTAGCAACGGACCGCGAACGAAGACGAACCGATCGAATCGTACGTGTCTTAAGGATAAACTGTCTACGCGGACAGAGCGATTGTGCGTTGCTTGAACTCACAGCGACGTCTTTTCGTTTCTGGCGCGATCGTTTCCGAAGCTTAAAATGTACTTTGTGCTACCCTGTGCGACGAGGTTCGAGGTCGTTGGCCCCTTTAGCGTTGAAAAATTAGTGGCCGAAAAAGGGGCTCGGGCTGCCACGAATCGCGCAATTATCGTTCCGTCTCCTCGTCGAGGAGGGCCACGCGTCTTTTTCACCTTCTTCTCGATCCGACGTCGCGTTAACCTGACCCCCGTGTATAGCTACGTCTTTGATACGCGTGCACGCGTGCACGTATCCATGTACACGCGTCCGACCCGTGTTCCCCTACTCTATGAACGATAAGCACCCCCTATCGTCGTCGTCATCGCAGCGATACAACTAACAACGATTACTCGATACATGAATACAATGCGCATAATATCTAACCTAGTATGGTAATATAGTTCTATAGTTTAGCAGATTAGCGTGTTACCCTTCGCTCTCTCTCTCTCTCTGTTCTCCCTTTCTCTACTGCTCGCACTCGTCCGCCTCACAGATTCCTCTCGATCGTCTATCCCGATCCGCGAGAACGGATCAGTGCGCTAAAGCCGCGTTCCCACCTACGCGCCAGAGCACGCGTTACGTCACAGTCCCACGTCACGTAACGACGCCGATATAATCTCTTCAAGGACTCTAGGGATTCGTCGCATTCGCCCTTTCCACTCCGATAATTTCGTTTAATACGAGGGGCGCAAATACGCGGCACCGCTTCTGCAAATTAAAAAAAGTACCGTTGTTAGTAAAAAAAAAATGTATAAACGCTCGTACATCTTGCTCCTTTGTTTCGTTGATCCAGTTCGCGTTGGAACAGAGACACTAGCTAAGTCGTGGTGTACGCGGAGCGCAAAGGGTTCCTTGATCAAAGTGTTTGTGATTAAAATTCCTCGAAAGACATCCTTGAGAGATTATTCGCCTCTGGAGAGGTCTACAGGCCGTTTCCACTTACCGAACGCGTGGGAATGTGGCTTAAAAAGGCTCTCTGTCTCTATCCGTCGGTGCGTGATTCTCGTTGCGTTGTGCGTCTCTTTGGCTCGTCGAAGCCATTTGGCCTTACTATACTGTGCGCGAAATTGAGCAGCTTCAGGGGAGAGATGTCTCTCGTTTCGCGAAAGAAATGAGACGCAGCGCGGTGATCTTTAACAGGTGGAAGCTTTTTCGTTCGGGATATTAGCACGCGAATTTTCACGGACGTGACAGATGATAGTCCGTCTTCGAGATTGTTCGAGCTGCAGGTCTCGTCCCTTTCTGAATCCTCTGTTTACGGAGACGTTAGTTTCCACCATTCGACGACATTCGACGCGGTTCGAGGGACTACGTCCTCGTCTTGTCCTCCGAAGTATCGCGAACCTTCGTTCGTCTCGCTTCTAATCTCTGCGAACGTGGGCGACGATGGAACGGTCCCATCCGGCGTTGCTCCTCGATGGCAAATCGAAATTAACCCTTTGCACTTGAGGGACGACTTAGAAGCGACGGTCTTTGTTTTAGATCTTAGATTTCGTTGAATCTCGAACTGTTCGTAGCTATACTGGTTCACAAATAGGTTTCTAAGCTGCAAACTGGTACACTTTAGAGTAGTATGAAACTTTATTTCCACGACGCTCCGATCATGCTAGAAGAATGTTCAGTCGTCGAAATTTTTAGCTCTGTCTACTGTTGTCGAGTGCAAAGGGTTAAGGGAGCTTCGTTACTCGAAGAAAGCGTGCGTCCGATTGGAATTTAGGTAACGTCCTAATGCTCTTCTGATGTTCCATAGGCTCGCCCACGAGAAACGGCGACGCGACGATGACGCTTAATCACAGCTCGACGAATCGCTCGAATATCGCCACACACGCACTCGCCCAGCCACGCACACAAACACGTGTCATTGGGTCTCGGGCACGTCGGTCCGAGTAACGAGGAATGCCGGGAAGAAGTTTTACGGGGATGGATAAAAATGTAGATGCGCCCGTAGGGGTGGGTCGGACATGGCTGGCGGATTGGTGGCAACTGAAACAAGTAATCGAAATAAAACGAACGACGTATTCGAACCAAACACAAATCAGTTTAATCCTTAAATAAAACATAATTTCTGTTATGTTATATAATAATTAAATAAATAAATAAATAATCGGTAGTAATAGTAGTAGTAGTAGTAGTAGTAGTAGTAGTAGTAGTAGTAGTAGTAGTAGTAATAGTAGTAATAGCGGTAGTGGTGGTTGGTGGTAGTTATAGTAAGTATGTTATATAGCGGGTGGTAAGAATGTAGCTGATGTTAAAAGTGAAAGTAGTGTAAGACTTTTCTTTTCTCACTTTGTTGTGGTACGAAAGTAAGTAGTAATAAGGTGTTAAGGTTACACGTAGCTACTAGACGAGAGACACAAAAAATATATGCGACCATAATTAATAGCAATGATAATAATAGTAATAATAATAATAATAATAATAATAATAATAATAATAAAGATAATAATAATAATAATGGCGATGGCGATGGTAATAATAATAATAATAATAATAATAATAATAATAATAATAACCAGAATAATAAGTGTAATTAATATACTGATAATAATTATGAGAAGGAGAAGATTAATCGTTTATAATAATAAATGTAACCGGCGCGCGGTGTACGTAAACGCACGCCAGGTCACGGGGAAAATTTCTAAACGCGACACGCCCTTCGTTCTCCGTGCCTAGAATCTCGTGAATCGCGTACGAACAGCGTCCAGCTGGAAAAGCCCAACCCTCCAAGTAAAGCGTTTCGCATCGTCTTTATCGACGAAGGCGTCGAATAACGAAGGGTGGCTCGCGGTCAGTCGAATCCGTTCTCCTCGCTGCCTCTACACGCCAATGCACGCGACGACGGCACTGCGTCGTCACACGGTGTATAATAATTTGCACTAATCATCGAGATCCTCTTCGCCCCCGACGCGGACCGGGCGCGTCGTTCGCGCGGGAACCGTGCCAACGAACGATCCGACGTCGGGGTATTTCAAATAAATAAAATAAAATCTTAGCAGTTAGCATTTGTTGCTCGAGGTTCAAATTACGTTTACGGGAAAACGGGACGCAGACCCTCTAACCGCCCCCACGGAGCCGTTTCTTGCTCCGCTCGGCCGCGAGGATGCCTGCGCCGTGTTCCCAGGACTAGACACAAGAAGGTACACATAAATAGGACAACATATACACGCTACGCTTTCTTCTCTCTCCCGTTATACGCTAAATCTAAGAGCTTAAGAAATCGTCGCTTTATTCACGATTAAGTACTTACAAAACGCTCGCTCGCGCCTTCTCGCGGCGACGACGCATCGAGATCTCCCGTGTCCTGTGTGCAAGCCTGAGATCGGAGCTAGGTTCTCCTTCCGGAGCTTCCTATCCAACGCGAACGCCTCCCGTATCGTCGCGCGAGCAAAATTTTCGCCCGCTACACCGCCTCGGATCTCTGCGAATAGTCGCCAGACTTAGCGCGAGCGAAAAACGGTTCGCTTATCTTACGTATTCGTTATCGCCTAAATCGCGCCTTCCTATCGATCCTGTCTGATTACCTTTTGCTACGCTTAAAAAGTCTGCCCTGTTGTCTCGCGGGGACCGCCTCTTTGCACGTAGGACTAGACACGTGTTCCGACGATCGAATTGGATCTCGTTCGTTTCTCGATCGGTATCGATCGTGCGCACCGTTTCGAGCGTGTATACGATTCGTAAAATTCCACTTCGCGCGCGTTCGGTTTCCGTTGTCGGCGACGCACGCGTCTCGTTATTGAATATCGTTTTGTACGTTAGACGGTTTTTTTTTTTTTTTTTTATGTATTTTACGTTTTTAACAAAAGAAAGGAAAAGCGACGAACGAATCCACGTTCGGTAATTATAAAAATCGGAGTATTTCGGGGCGGCGTACCGTTTATCTCTGTCTTCGGAGTTTGCACGGTGCACACTCGATGGACTCTTTCAGAAGAAGCTCCGTAAACGCTCGGTAAAATCAGACTTGCGCGCTCGAGAAAGCACTTTGTACTATAGCTAACATCGTCTATACGTAAAGAACAAAAGAAAAAGAAAAATATATATATATATATATATGTATGTATATATATACTAAGAAAGAAGGTCCCCGTTGTTCGCGCGAACGAACGACCGTTGGGTCTCTTTGGACAGAACCGACAGAGAAGTACAAGAGTCTGACTAGCAACAAAAAGAAAAGTACAGCTGGTGGTTTACGTTACGAACGACGTAATCCTTCGGGTCGAGTGTCTCGATGTCCTCGTTAGTCTCGCGGATATCTCGAGATCCCTCGTATGCACGTGAGCCCCTAAATGTATCTTCTTAAATAGCTTACGATAATATAGATTCCGTCTCTCCGTTTACTCGTCGACGTCTTAATTCAACTACGGATTAGAAGTTAGATTTAAGTACGTTAGCTTCACAGGCTGAACCAAATCGTTCCCTCGTTCGGTTATTTCTTTGGTTTCGTAGTCGTTGGCGCGAGAGACCCGACCAGAGCCTCCTTCGCCGATCGATCGATCGATCCGTCCCCGTCCCGTCCTCGCTCACGGCCTGTGTCCATCCTTTCTCTCGCCACTCTTTTACCCGCTTTGCTCGCTACTCCTCGAACCTACGACCACCTGCTACTACCGGCTCTTCCCGTCAAGTTCTTTTTCCCTCTGCCACGCTCACGTCGATCAGGAAACGCGAGGTATCTCGCTCGGAATCATTCTCGAGCCGTGCTCCCGCCAAAGATCGGGCCGAATTCTTGTCGGGTTAAAAACAACGAACAGGAAGGCGAACGAGTCGGCACTCGTTAATGTTCGAATAAATATTGTGAACACGATCGGGTAAATCAGCGACTTTCTCCTCAAGTTTGACAACCCCACGAAGCGAGTTATTAATTCACTCGGACCGCGTATCGAGTACGAAAAGGTCGATTCGTAAATATAGTCGTTGGAATTTCAATTATGGAATGGTAATACAAGTAATTCGTATCGAATTTTGCCCGTCTTTGGCCTCCGGTGCAAGGATCATTCCCGAGACGTCGCTTCTTCGAGCGCGTTACGTCTAGAATCGTCGCTTTGATATTATAGATTATGAGATCACTGTGAAGAAATTTGGTTGGATGGCGCCGCGTTCCCGCGTACGCAACTACCCCTGTTTAAGGTGTCTTTTCGTGCATCGCTATGCGCGAGAAAATGGCCGTTAGCCATGCGTCGCTGTCGTCCTTCGAATATGGCCGATGCGAACTACATCGTTGCAAAAACACCTAGCCTTTGCCTATGTAGACCAACTATAATTAGAGATTAGAGTTTATTTTTCAATTACACTTTACGTGTAGTTTATCGATAATTTAAGGAACCTAGCGAAGATACTTCGGTAATATCCGAGTTAAAGTTCGAAGAGATCGCATTCGGAGTAGCGGCGAGTTATACATCCGTTCGGGGACCATCTACTCGGACGTTTTCGACCAAAGTGATTCGGCCCGAACCGATAGAATTCGCCCGTACCCTTGAATCCGAACTCTTCGAACGCGCGTCGTTACCTTACAGGTATATCAGCGACGTTCGATGAGAAAACTGGTCTCGACCGAACAGCTTGGTCGCTGGAAAACCGCTGGTACGTTCGTCTAGTCTTCTACTCCTCGAATTCCGTTTCAGTCTCACAGCCTGACGTCGGTGACTCTTTGGTGTCGTGCAGGGGTGAAAGGAAACGACCGCCGGAAGCTGCGATTCGAGGATCGCGTGTCGTGGACTGACCGGAGATCGTATCTTTCGCCCCCGTTCCCCGTCTCTACCCACCCCCACCCCACCCCCGCCCCGTGTGCAAAGTTCTTCATCGATCGTGCACATATACATAAACCAACGATACGTACGTGCAAGAGTCGAGAATCGTGCGACGAACGTCGCGTTTCGAACGACCTCGCGTTTCCCCTCGATCGCGCGGTGAGCTGGGAGAAAAGAAACCAGCGATAGTCGGAAAAAAAGAACAGAGGGCCAACGGTAAGAGGAACCGAAAGGTAACGACTCGTTCCTCCGTTATCCTTCCGTCGGCCTTCGGCTTTTCCCGCAGCCACGGTCTACGGATATCAAGATATCGCGACCTACCTTCAATCCTCTCGACGGTCTCCTCTTCGACCCTCTTGCTCCCTCACGCGCAGATACACGCATACACACACGCACGCAGCACGTACCATACTCTCACGCCTTCCTCTCTATCTCACCTCGTCCCGCCCCGTCGCACACATACACAGACACAGACAGACACACGCACGTGTACGTTTGCACCCTGAATCTCTCCCCTCCTCTCTCTTCCGTCGGCTCTACGGACTCGATCAGCATCTCGTTAGCAAGATTGTTCGATTCGTAATGGAATCGCACGGATATTTTTTTTTCTACGGATCGAGGGAGTATACCACGGGGCTCGCGAAAATTTTGTTCTCGAAATGCCATCGACAGCTGGTTCGAGAGCTAACGATACTTGGATGAATATGACGCGACTCTGGCCGCGGTTACGATGCTTGAAATATGTTTAATTAAGGGAATACGAACAGTTTTCCCTTGGAGATAACAACGTGTTTCGGATCTCTCGTTGGCAGTCGTTCTTGGAATACTGGGAGGATCGGGCCCCGCGATTGTCCTATAGCTTTTCGGAGCTTTCGGAACGACCGGGCACCTTTCCGCGAGTGTTAGCTCGTCTATGTTAAGTTTTCGTCCTTTCTTACGCGTTTCTTCGTTAATTCTAGTTGTTGATAGACCCCTCGTTTCGGGGGTAACGTCGATGGCATTTCTCAAGGAATAGTTTTCGTCACCCTTGCCGGGTATACTATCGAGCCGGGCGCGAAGATCCGTGCATTTTTCATAAGTTTAAATCTTCGAGTGCCTCCAACCAGGTAACCCTCTCCTCCTCGCCGATGTTTTCGACAAAGTCGAGCCACGTGCTTCTGTAAGGTTTGAGTTTCTTCGGATGATAGCCCGACTTCCTGTAGTTGGCCCGGTCACGGTCGTGGAGGTTCACGGTCGTGGTTGTATCCGAGGTCACGGTTACGGACGCGGAGGTATCCGAGGTCACGGTAACGGTCGCGGAGGTATCCGAGGTCACGGTAACGGTCGATGAAGCGGTCGATGATGCGATCATGACCGCTGGCACACCTACAGGGGCCGTTGCGCGATGGTGTTGCTCGTCCTACGTCGTCTTGCTCTTGTTCGTCTTGAAGCTGACTTGAAGCACCCGTGTACCGAGCGTGTAACCGTTCAGGCTCTGAATGGCGACCACCGCCTCGTCGTAGTTGGTCATCGTCACGAAACCGAATCCCTTGCACTTGTTCGTCTGCAGGTCGCGGATCACTTTGACCGACTGGACGGCGCCGAACGGACCGAACAACTGCCACAGCACGTTCTCCTCGGTCTCGGGGGCGAGATTGTAGACGAAGATGCACCAACCGGAACCGTTCATCGCGTTCCCGGGTAGCATCGAGTTCGCCAAGAGATCGCCTGCCAGCGGGCTGTACCTGAAACAGTCGCGTAAACCGTCAACATGTTCGCCCATCGACAATTCCGCGCCTCTGGGACTGGGGGAGCGACGTTGCGAAATTTCGGCTCGATAGCGCTGTCGTCCGCGGAAAGTAAAACGATGTTTCTTTTACGAAAAAAAAAAAAAACGACAGCGCTATTCGATTCTAAAACGTCTCGTGTATCGACGACTTTAGAACCGTCTCCACTTTCGCAACATCGTGCGCACGGTAACAAAGAACACCGAGATTCACGAGTTTACTTCAACAAGATATCGATCATCAGCGTCGAAAGAGAACAAAGACCGAACAAAATTCGTGCAAGTGTACCATTCAAACCGATTCGCATCTTGAATTCCCGTCGCGGCCAAAAAGCTCGACGAGTGAATAAAGGAATTCTGAAAAAGGAAAACGAAAGTGGTTCGACGGGCAGCTGTCGAATCAATTAACGCATATCTACCCATTAAGGGTGCGCAGTAGTTTCTTACCTTTAAACGTATTTTTATCGTGTTTCAAACGCGAAATTGCCATGTCGGGATACAACGCGCGCTGCGGAATTTTAAAAGGAAGAGTTTAAAAAATCAGTCGGAAAAAGTCAGTCGGAAAGTTCATAGGCTCAAAAAATGTTAACAACTGATTGTCTTTCGAGAGACGAGGATCTATCTATCAACCCTCAATCCTCGCTGAAGTCAGTTCGGAGTTTCGCTCGGACTCCTGCGCACCCTTAACAACAACGACAATAATAACGACGAAACTAAAGAAACGCTACTGCCTCGTTGAGAAATTAATTACGGAAAAAAAGAGAAGGCCACCGTGATCGTAGGAAGCGATCGCAAACAAGCCGGCAAGCAATTCTACGCGGAAGCGTAGTAAACGAACAACGCGCCGCTAGGGACTCGACGGAATGTATTTAATTATGAATAGGCGAGGAAACGTATAATAAAACTGAAAGGAGCATGCGACACGTCGGCGCTCGTTAATCGGCATGCAGTAATCACGAAACATTGAATACATCGGTGGACGTTGGTGAAGGTGAACGTATCGGGCTGTGGGGGTGTGAGGGGGGGAGTATATTTACAGATGTAAAAAAATGTATTCTGCGTACCTACTTGACGTCACAAGCCGCGTTAAAACAGGGCACATCTCAGTGAGTATTCGGTATAGTGCCGGGTGGTGACAGTAATTACGTACACATTCGTTACAAACTGCTCGTTAGGTACCGCGACTTTCATACAAACACACGCGTATGTACACGCGTATTCGTTTCGAGTGCTTTCCCTTAACGACGCGGTGACTCAATCCCTGACGAGCGTCGCCTCCGTTTCTTCTCGAGATTACTTTTCGTTCGGTTCGCCCGTATTTTCGATAAATCGACGGACAAGAAAACAGCCGTTACCGCTGGCAGATTTTACAGGAACGGTGGCGTCGAGTCAGGGTTCAAGTTCCGGGCGACGAAATACGAAGATTTTATTCGTTTCCCGTCAACTGGTGTCCCAGAGACTTCTAGAGTGTAATATGGGAACCGATCTCGCAATTATTCGAACACAGTCGTTTCCTCTGGCACGAAGACACGTCGGTGCATCGTTCTCGGACGGAATGATCGAGTGTCGAGTGCGATTCTCTTACGGCGGTGTGCGCCAACGAAACAAATATCTACGAGATTCGGTGAGTTTACGAGTTCGTTTCTCTACGTAGGTGGCACGATCTCGAATCGTACACAAACGATTCGGTGGAAAGAAAAGATACGACAAAAGATAGGCGAAGAATATCCGGAAAAAAGCCCGTCGAGGAACGTTCAATTCATTTCTCTTTCATTTGGCGACCCAACCGAGAGATCGATCGAAATCCGTCTGTACGGTTCGTACGTGTCGCTACGTCGACTCGTTTTGTGTACGAACGCCATCGGTTTGTGCAATTGTACGCTTTGAACTTAACGGATAAAAGCATGAATCTCTATGGTTGCTTTTTATTTGCATTTGTTAAAGGCGAACTTCAAAACGATACTTTACGCGCTAAATCGAGACACAAATCGATGCGAAACTCGATAGAAAGCGAAGGACGCTCGGATCGAACATTTCGTTAAAACTGAAGACCAAAGGGAGACAAACTGATTACGTTCAATTTTTTACCGAAAATGATACATGGATGCCATCTAGCAGAGAAAGGGCCAAGGAATCGATATAATCAACCGTTTTGACAGAAAAGGGATGGACAAAAAGTGGCTGTAAAGAGGAAAAACTAATTTTTTTGTTTCACGTGATTCTTAAACTGGATACATCAAACCTCGAAATACATATTTTTGGCGAATTTTGAAACCAATATTAATGCCCCCAGAGTTACGTAAACTGCAATCACGATTTTCACGATTCTTTAATTTTTGAACGTAATGAGTCCCCCCTCCCCCTCCCCCTGGTCTTTAATTGAAATTGTACAAATTTCTTCCGCGAGCGGTCCAACAGCGACTCCGGACCGCATTGGTACTTTACATAGCCGAATCGATTTGCAGTCTCGAGAAAACGACAAAATATGCTTTGCGACATTTTAGTAGGTAGAGAAGCGTTTCAAGGCTGACAACTCAAGAGACAGAAACGAAAAGTAACATGGGTGAGGGGTGTGGGGTGAGGGGTGAGTGGGGAGGGGGAGAAAGAAGAGAGACGAGAGAGAATAGAAAAGCGTGAGACAAAAAAAGTGAGAAAAGGGCCTTGAAAATTTCATACCGAACGATGAACGAGAAATCGAGACGATCATCGAGTACGAAATTTAAAATACTGCATTGTAGATTTTGACGATACAAATAATCGCGAAAAAAGAAGAAATATGGAAACGAAGGTACTCGACAAATCGATTAATTTCGAAATCAGTAAAGTAAATACGCTCGATAAAAGAAATGTAAGTAATCGTGAGCACGCAGTCAGGGACGTTTAATAAAGAACGATGATAAAAAAAAAAAATATATATATATGTCGGTTCGTGAACAGAAGTAAATTCGTACTCGTTCGTGCATGCAACGTGAGTGTAAACTAAACGTTCCTTTGTTTCCGATGCGATCAAGTTTGTCGCTGTATGAAATTTTGAAAGCGGAGCACGTGGGAGGAATACAGAACGAAGCCACACAACAAGAACGTAAAATCGATCCGAAACGAAAAACCGGGAGGGAACTGTAGTGGTAGTAACGAAAAAAATACTGACCTCTGTAAGCCTTTGTTAATGGCAAGCATGGCCTTGCCAGTGCTAAAACAAAACACAAAAAGAACAACGTAAGAAGAGAGATACTCCGGGAACGAGCCAGAAAAGGTCGGGATAAAAGTGTGTCGATCGCTTCTGATTCTTTCTTTCTTTCTTTCTTTCTTTTTTTTTTTTATTTATTTATTTTTTTCTCTCTCTCACCGAACTACCATCTATGGTGCCTCTCCGTTTGCTTTTCTCGTCGTTTGGGAATTGAACGCAGACAGACAGACAGAGAAGGAGAATACAGCGAGAGTGATAATCAACAGAAATTAGTAGAAAGTGGAGTAGAGTAAGTAGCGAGGCGTGAAAAACGGGAGAACCAGGGAAACGGAGCTTCGAACACCTCCAACTTCGCTCGGGGTGGCGGTGAAACGTAAAGAGGTAACGGGAAGCGCAAAAATCAAACTGCGGGGGCGATCGCGAAGTCGATAAGACGGGACAGGGTGGACATGGAAAATCAAATACGACAGAGGCAAGCGAAAGCCAAGCGCAACGGATTCTACACTTTTAGCCGAGTACACGATCGTTCTCGGACTCGTATCGTCGAATCTTCGTGATCGCGATACGACGAACGAATCGATCGATAATAAATCGTCTCCGGCCTTTCAACTTTTCCTTTACATATTTAGAAATAGAAATTTGTTCGTCTCGTTGAACCGATCGGACCTTACAGACGGACCCGAAGAAGCACACTCTCGACATTCCGGGAAGGTTTGTTTTCCATCGGATTAACGTGTATCCGGACCGTTGAATCGTCGTTTAAATAATGGCGAGAATCGTCAATTTTGCTCGTGTAAACACGTTGACCGCCACGTATGGGTGACAGGGATATTCACCGATGGGTTAAATAAATTAATTCCAAACGTGTGGTGGCAACAAGAACGAATCCGGATAAATTCTAAAGAGATCGCAGAAACAAGTACCATCGCAAATATCGGATCGCACCATTCCTAATGATACAGAAAGAGTAATTTAGCCTCGTAGGAGTTTTCGCGAGTTGCTTTGTCTGGCGGTTAACGCGATACACGCGTGCACGCGAAACGGAGGAGTAGCGAGAACCTTTTCCGATCGTTGTCGACGTTTCTCGACTCCATTTCCATCCAATTGTTTCCAAGTCAGCCTCGCGTTCCACGGTAACGTTCCGAAAAGAAAACGAGCCGTTGCTCGCGCCACGAAACGGGATCCACGTGTCAGGGACTCGAAACCGAAATCGCTTTGTCCATCGCTATCGTTACCGGGATCGTACATCGAAGTCAACACCGGTACTTTTCTGATTTCCGCTCGTACGACACGATCTTTACGTGACTTTCGCGCCGATAAACACGTTTATGAATACAATGTACACGAGGTATGCAAAAACCAATAGCATCGAGAGCGTGAGTCACGCAAACTTCGGGCCTTGGGCGAAACAGCAACGGGCTCTTTCGAGCAAGAAACTACGTACGTGCGTGTAGTATCAGGTACGTGTTGAAATCGAGAAATAAAAGTTGAAAACACGCGTTAGGCTTCGCGTTGTTAGTTTCGTAAAGAGATTTCGTGTAAAACGAGGAACAACGTGTTACATTTAATTCGCAATGGGGGAAAAACTTTGTGAATCGGTACAATTACCGGTACTGTAGTACGACGATATCGATATCGATATTCGCGCACCTTTCTTTCTAGAACGATTAAGAGTATCTCTGCAATATTGACAAATTGCGTTTCGGTGAAGGTCCCTGTTTTCGTCGAATGGTTGCTTGAATTGGTCGATGAGCCACCTTACCGTGGATCGCGAGGATAAAAACCAACAAAACTTACAGAAATAACAGAACGTTTGTGTGTGCCTTGCTCCTCCATGTTTCCAGAGTGGTCAAGGATCAGTCTTTCGCGCGACGGCTCGAACAACGTGACTGTTTTGCAAGCTTACAACTATGTTTTCTAACTATAATTAGTATCTAATTTAGAAGACCACCTTGTACCACTCGTCGTTGGTCGGGAAAGGGAGTATCTGGAACGGAGATAGATCTTCGGGGGGAGTTTTGCTTTTACAGGAATGGACTGGAGAAAATACTCAAGTAACGAAAGAAAAATACATGTCGCATTAAGGAGACGATCGCAGGTGTTGACGACGATAAAGAAAGGTCAGACGATGGTCCGTGATATCGACCGAAATGGTCGAGTAAAAATAAAAACGCATCCGACGCGGAACCGTTCGCAATTATCTGGCGCGTTACACGCTATCGAATTAAGCCTGGTACGCAACGTTTCGTCGTATCGGTGCTAAAATATTGACATCGAAGCATCGATCGTTCGCATTCGATTGGAAGGCCTTCCGTCGAATGCTCGACCGTTGCACCTGTTTAGACTCTATCTTTTCCCGTCGTGTTTTTATTCCGTGGGTTTCGTCGTCGTTATCGATCGCTCTCCTAAGAAGCGAGTCCGTCGAAGAAAAGAAAACGTAATTTCGGATTCCGCTCTACTGACTTGGATTTCTTGAACATCTACACGTCCTGGTGTCACCGTTCTCCGGCAACGGCGGTGAGAAAACAAGAAATCGGTCGGGGTTTAAGAAAATGGGGCACCCTCCGATCGAGGTGATTCTTTTTTATCATAGATAAGCCTTGACCTGGCGATTAGAATGGTGGTCGTCTTGGCTCTCGACTCCCCCTCATTTTTCCTCAAAATTGAAATTGTTCAAGAAGTGGTTTTTTGCACCGATCTCGGCGAATACATCATTTACAATTTGTTTGTTTTTTTTACGTGGAGAAACGTACTGTCCGAGTAGATTTTGGATAGTTTTTGCTACGAGCGACATTATTGAATACCGTTAATGTACATACTGTCCGAGCGTACATGTGTGTCCGAGTTTGGTGTAGTTTTTGGTGGAGCGGCAATAGTGAATACCGTTAATGTAAAAAACTGATGTTCCTCCACGGAAAAGAAAGTGGGAAACGATGTATTCACCGAGATCGGTGCAAAAAAAAAAAAAAAAACACTTTTCGAACCATTTCAGTTTTTGATCCATGGTAGGGGTTAATGGTTAGGATGACTACCATTGTAATCGCCAGGTCAAGGACTACCTACGATAAGTACCCAATTTCCTTAATCTCGACCCAAAAATCACGCGAAACAAAGCTTCTCGTGACGATGACGCGGTCGAAAGACGAACGAAACAGCGTCAGGGTAACGAAAATGTTTGATCGACGATAAAAATGGAACAAGAATAAAAAATATATATATATATATATATATATATATGTAATGAATTGTACGGTAGATGAGGTGCAGAAGGAGGAGCCTGCAGTGTACTCAGGTACTCAAACGGTGAGTGCGTTAAACGAGGAAAAAGATACGAACGATCGATCGATCGCTGAACGCTTAATTCGCGCGAGGAAGTAGAGAACGATTAATCCGTAATTCGTGTTTCGGTCGGGCGTTCTCGTCGCGACGAACGGAGTATCGGCGTCCGAGTTTGGCTTTCAACCGGGCATCGATCGATCGGTCGCGTGCTCGACAATGTGTTCAGAGTATCTACTGAACGATACGGAAGAGAACAAATCGAACGAAAGAACGAGAAAGTGAGAGACAGAGAAATAGAAACTGAAACGTAAGAGAGGAAAACGGAAAGCGTGATAGAATAGAAAAATAGAGAAAAAGAGACGAGAGAGATCTTTGGGTAGAGCGAGTAGAGGCGAGTAGGTACCTGGATAGTGGCGACAGTGGAATGTACCTGAAGCGGCCGGTTGGATGGTGGATCGGGCCGCCAAATCGTCGGGTCGCCTGCGGTGCCAGATAGGCGGCCAACGGCGGTATCGCCTTGTTGTTGTTGCTCGGATTGTTGGCGAACTTGACGGTGATCGGCTCGGTCGAGCCCTTCGGAATGGTACCGTTTAATTCTTGGATCGCCCTCTCGGCCTCGACCCGCTGGTCGAACCTTATGAAACCGACCCCCTTCGACAATCCTGTCGGAATCGGTTCAGGTTATTCGACGTGGTTCCTTTTTTATTTCGAGGTTCGTTCTTCGACGTCTTGCGCGGTTAATATTGCCCGACGCTTCCAGGCCAAAGTGGCGTGTCATTTTTCGAAAACTACCACCAACCCGTTCATCAACGTTCGAGCCAGCATTGCGGCTAGCATGATCGCTCGGCGTCCGCGGTATCCTCAGATCCGTTTACGAATATCAAATATTTTTGATGAAATTTATTTTACTTCCAAGTTTGCGCACCGGTTCATCTTAAGAAAATCGAGTTTAGACGGTAGACGACACTTTCGGTTCCCTTTAAACGATTATTAACCCTCTGTAACGCGTAACGTAACCAGTTCGAATAAAAGTGCATTCGTTTTGTCACTCTCTTTCGATGGAGAAAGTAGTATTCGACGCAGAGGGTTAACCCTTTGCACTCCGCTCGAGGCCTTTTTTCTGGTATCCACCAGCAACTCGAGATGTTTCTTAGCATTCTATTGCCGTGAATTCTAAGCTATCTAGATTTGAGAATAAGGTCACCTTTACCTCGCCGACAATCATTTTATCGACACTTGGAAATTATAATCCATAGAAATGAAACCTAAAGAAACATTAGGTATTGTAGATTTGCTGCGTGAAATCTAACGGTGACTGAGAGTCGCCCCTCTCGAGTGCAAAGGGTTAACACGGTTCGATTTTTAACGAACTACTGTTCCAAACCAGTGATCGTTACTTCAGGCACGACAACGAAATTAAATCGCAAACGTATAATTGGAACGTTTACCTTCTGGTAACGGTTTGGGGGCACCGGAATGTTTCCGAGAGTATCGCCGCGTCCTCGGACCCCGGAGCAGGCTGGCAATGCTGGCGAAACGTTGGAACCATTTTCCAAAAAGGACACGGACTCACCGGGAAGCCTCGTACAGTACAAACTCGGGGCAAACGAAAGCCTCGAGCTTCTTCCTCGACATCTTGATTTGCAACGATCTATTCGAACGCTAACGAACCTTTCTCCGTCGTTGTTTAAATCGTGGCGTACTATCCATTCCGCGATCAACGACGAATTTCGCTCACGAATCCGTCGTTGATGCGGCTATGTATCTTTTTTTTTATTTTTGTTTTTTTTTTTTTTTTTCTAGATCGAGTGGCTCGGTGCGCGCAGATTCGTTTCTTTACACCGACGTCGTGTTCTCGAGCGAGCGTCTTTTCGCCGTGTTTACCGATCGAGCGGTTTCCGTTTTCTTACTTTTCACGTTACTTTATATATATATTTATTTTCCCGCGAAAAGCTGAACGAGTCGATGGACGCGGCAAAAAGGGAACGAAAAGAACGATACGCTATAATCGAGAGCACGGTCGCAAAATAAATCATAAACGTCATAACGAACGACAAAAAGCGTAAAGAAACAAAAACGGCGCTTAGGAGGAACTTTTGGATCGTAACTATCGTAAAACGTGATCGCGCCAACAAAGCAGCCGAAACAAAAAAAAAAAAAAAAAAAAAAAAGAAAAAGAAACGTAAACGAAAGGAGAACAGAGGGTGAGATTAACGCCCCTCTGTTTCGTCGTCAACTGAGAAAAAGAAAAGCCAATCGCTCGAATCTTCGTGGAAATCAAAATTTCTTTTTTTCTTTTTTTCTTCTGTCGTTTCATTTCTAAAAATGTCGACGCGTTCGTTTTCTCTCGATGGAAACTTTGGCGAAGAAGCGCGAAATTCGTCGCGATCGTTTTCGCAGAACTAGTAACGCGGTAGAGAAAACGAATGATGTGCGCAAACGATGAGACGTGTACAAAGAACAAAATTAGTTGAAAACAAATGAAAGATGTAACGAACGGCTGCTTTTGTTTTAGCTTGAACGTAATAAGGGAAAAGAAAAAAGAGTTGTATGAGTTACGTACCGGGCAAATAGTCTCCGCCGCCGGTCACAAACTGTCGTACTAAACAGAAACGGAAAAAATCATATCACGTTAAAATTCAACTGGCAGCATACACGATTCGCTCGCCCCTGATTCGTCGACGGAAAGATGCGACAAATGATATCGAAGGAGAACAGAAGAGAACGTGACGATAAATGGAAGAGAGCTGAATAGTAAACGAATTATACAGAGATAAAAAAAAAAAAGAGAGACAGAGAGAGAGAGAGAAAAAGAGAGAGAGAGAAAAAGAGAGAGAGAGAGAGAAAGAGAAAAACGAATCGACGCTTTTTCCTCGCGTAGAGTTGAATCCCGTCGATTTCGTAATTTCGTAAGAATAACACGCCGGATGATCCGTCGATTGGATTCAACGCTACCGGAAAAAAGGAGAGAGACGCGTTCGAGGTCGGATTCGAAAATCGATAACCGTTCGATTTGTAGTTTCACGTGTCGCGGCGAGCAACCGTAGAAAGGAAAAGGAAAAAGAGACACTGATTCGCATGAGATGTATAAGGGGCGAGCGAGCCTTTGTGTTGATTAACGCTATTTCTCTCTTCATCCTTAAGTATGCAAGAATTCTCAAACATCGTGAAACGGTAGAAAACAAACATACTCGAGGCTGAACTGAAAAACAAACGAAAATAATAATAGTAATAAACTAAAATAGAGGCTAAAAAATTTGGATCGAGGACCGCGCTGTGGAAAATTTAGTGATAAGCAAACCAGCAACGAAAGGAGAAAATAAGAGGGGGGAATACGCTCCCGGAACGACGTGTGGTTCTAACAGTTAACGCCGGTGTCGAAACGTGACGAAATAAACATAGGAAGCTACGAAAAGTAAACGAGTAAACGCTGTAAATATATATATATATATATCGAAATTAAAAGGCAAACGAAAAATTTGTTAATCGCGTTACTAGCGAACAAATACATCGTGAGAGAACAAAAAAAAAAAAAAAAAGAACAAAGAAAAAGGAAAAAAAAAGCTAAAAATTAAACTAAAGTCACGGGACGAGAAAATAGAAGCTTCGAATATGGACGTAGAATAACGGTGTACCGTTATTCCCTGTAGGGTGGCTAGGCCATGAGGCTGTGCGTGTAACTGGGGATGCAAACAGAATGCACTGCTAAAAACGTAAGCTGAGAACGCAACGCAAAACAATAATGATCCGTAGAAGTAACGAAATCAGAAACGGAAGCAGAACCGGAGGCTTGCGATCGTGTTCCCTCTCGAGACATCTCGATTACAAAATATCCTCTCGTTGTTCTGCGCAAAAAAAAAAAAAAAAAAAAAAACAACAACCAAAAAAACGAAAAGTAAAAGCGGGAACGAACGAAAACGAAAACGAAGAAGAAAAAAAAAACAGGGGGTGAAACAATAGCAAAGAAATTCGAACGAATCGGCGAACGAAAAGTGACAAAAACGTTTTTCGTTCGCTGCTGGCTACAACGACTCGATTCTTTTTCACTCTCGACTCGTTCGAGAACGAGCATGTTCGTTCTCGCTCTGCTTGCAGGCGCACCGATCCACCCCACGTGAAACGACTAGAACCCCATGGCCTACTATCTTCGTCGATCCTCGATCGGACACGCACACGTTCGCAGAGAGCTTCGTCGCGAGCCCCCGCGATCAATTCTCCCGTGTATTTCGAGTCTGACTCGCAACGGTCCCAATCTACTTCGTATCGGCGTCCGTGTCACAGACTAGAGAACACATTATCGAACTCGACAATTGCTTTTCGGTCGCATTCACCCCCCAACTTTTCGGTGGGCCACGCCTTACCGCAGGGCATCTCGCTACTGGTCAACACGATCCTCGTTACTGCCAAGTGACAACGTACGATAACTCACCGGTGATGTTGTCGCAGAGTATCCGCGACGTGATGATTCTGCCGTAAGGGCTGAACAGATTCTCCAAGTCTTGCTGCGTCATGTTCTTCGGCAGACCGCTCACGTAAAGGTTCGCGCCTTTGATCGCCTCGCTGCTGGGTCTCGCGTACGATACCTGGACAAACCAACCGTTATTAATTTTAACACGAGCAATTCGATAGGCTTTCGAAAGAGAATCGTCGTTTAAAGGAGGACTTCGAGGCCGAAACTAGCTACCAGTAGTTACGGTGACAACATTTTCAAACTTTGTACTTTTATACAGCATTTCACGCTTAATTCAATTGATGCGAACGAGGACATGTTTAAACAATTTTGCATCTGTGAAAAGGAAACGTTTGAAAAAGAAGTCGGGTCGAAAAATCCATACTTAGCGGACGTGTAAATCTGAAAGTAACGATCCGTCAATGACTCTTACTTCCAAAGCGACTACATTCGAACTACGAAATCCAGATTATGTAATACAATTCGAAAGAAATCTTTATAAACAGACATTTTCTTTGATACAATTTGGAGAATCGCAATGTAACGAACCTTGATCGTTTTAGTTTGCAGACGAAGACCGTTGAGCGTGTTTATGGCCTTTTCAGCGTCCTCCGGCCGATGATAGTTAACAAAACCGTAACCCAAACTCTGACCTGCAACAGAATAGCGCGAGATTTCGGTGACGATTTTACTCGTGCTGGAAACGGTGAGACGCGACTGAGAGTCAGGCGCGGCTTCTTTTTATCGCGACGACGCGATAAAAATTCGCAATGGGCGAGCAACGCAACGAATTCACGTTAACGAATTCACACGTGACACTGAAACGTCCCGACCAGCGATGACGCGAAAAATCACCGTTAGTGATTCAGAAGCGGTTCATGTTAATTGTTATCGTTAGTGTCTCGCTGCCTGCCCTTAGCGGAAATTCAAGAAACTACAAATGAGTCAAGTTTGAATTGTATTAAAATTATATCAACGTTGCTTTTAGGCTATATTATAATACATATACGATCTAAGAAGAAAACATAATTCGTGAAAAGTGAAGAGAATATTTGTAAGTTTGTTGTCTATTGACTGAATGAGTCGTTACGGCTAACCGCTCGCACGCCTCGAGACTCGGGGCAGTTAGTTACGATCGCGCGAGAGATTCACAGCTACGATTTTGCTGTCTAGAATCTAAGATTCTAAATTGTAAATTGTTAGGCCTGGATCTTTAATCCCAATCCGACTTTGTTGTTGATTCAGGTAATGCACCGGGTGAAGATCAATTGTGTTATTCATGTAATTAATTAAGTAATAATTTATGTAATTATCTTTAATATAATATCGCAGTATTATTTTTGCTACACCAACACAAGTCGTCATTTTACTCTCTCGAATTCCGCATCCTTTATGTTATAAGCCCTAAGCTTACAACTTATATGTTCTCTACCAATCGGAAGCGATCACGAAGAATCGCGAGTCACTGTGAAAAATAATCTTGATTTGAAATGAACGTGACTGAATCGCTCTGTTGCGTGGACAATGTTCCGAAACGCGCGACGGACCGCGAACGGGATAGACGAGTTCATTGAGGAGGACGCGCGCGGTTCATGTTTTTCGAAAACAGGAAACAGTCGAGATGCGGTACGGCCCTGAGGATCGTACGGCGAGGTCGAATATAAAGCAGCAGAGCCTCAAACCAAACGACGCCCCCGCTACTTCGCCCGCTCGAAATAGCGTCGCGACGTTCGCGCGCACGTGCTTCTCCTCTCTCCACTAACGCGTGGAATTCAGCCGCGCGTACGCGCAGCGAAATTACGCTGGATTACGCGTACCACGGTGCACAGCGTTCGGCTTTGAAATTTCGGCGAAATTATTACGTCGGAATGATCGATAGGAACGTTCAACTTTCGAAATCTGGTCGTTCGAGAGGATTCTGTTCGTGAATCGATACACAGTGGACCAAATTTCTATAGGAACAACAAAAATTTCCGAACGAAATCCGAAATTTCTTTCCATAAATGGACTTTGTATACGATTGTAATACCTTACGTGGAAAGCAACATTGTTATCGTTCGAATGGTATAAGTAAGTCTTCTTACGAATCTAATATTCGTAAAGAAACATCTGAATGCCGGCCAAGGTAAGTGCGAGAAGTTTCTATAAGAACAGTGTTATTTACGTAGTTTAGTTTCACGATTCGCATCGCGTTTCATTATACAACGTGAATATTTAGGTTGAGGTAGAAACGATTGCAATATAAGATATCGTAGTTTCTACATACATAGTAGTATGCCGTTCGGGAAAGTTTTAAATCCGGAAGAAGGAGCAAAAATCGAAAGAAATTAGTAGATCTAGTACATGTACAGGGTGTCCACGGGTGACAGACGCATATTTCAATAACTATCGATGATGGTACGATAATAACGCACGACTCGACCATACGACTCGAGATAATAATTACACAGCGATTTATATAAACAGAGTCTTTGTATAATTTTATTTATAAATGAAACAAGCACGAAGGGGGTACGCAGCATTGCGCAATCGTTCGTGTCCCGACGTTATCGAAACTTCAGCTCGAGCTCGAACAATGGATACTTAGAAACAACCCATATTTATTTACCGGTAATCCGGTAAACGAGGAGCAACGAAATTCGACGTCTCGCGACAGGGACGACGACTGTTCGAGAGACCTCGCGTTGTTGACATTCCGCGTGAACGTGTAATTACGGTCGGATGGTAAGTGGTCGTAGAATCAAAAAGTAAACATACGAATAGATTCTCAATTTTCGACGCTTTAGCGTATCATCCTCGGTGGGTATTCGTTGATAGAAAAATTACGCATAAATAATGTCGAGGGTTTACGCCAGGGAATTTGTGGAGAGTTAGGCAGACTGCATTGCACTTGTAATAAACATATATTTAAAGGATAAAAGGATATAAAATAATATATATATATATATGCGTTACACACAAAACTGCACAACGGTGCATAGAGAGATCACATCGCAACAGGAAGTACATGGAAGGAGGCGCGGAATTCGAACGTTATTCTAACAAATAACGTACGCGAAGAGGAAAGAGTATTAAAAAAGAAGAAACCTTCGAAAATGTTCCGTTCTCCTAACTAAGAATAAACGTGTCGGATGAATCGACTGACGTAGAAATTTAAACGTGTAACTCCGGCTTGGTGGATAACCACCATACGCGAAATCGATGGAACGCGTCAACCCCGATGCGTTGTAAATCGCGAGATTCGTATCGGACAACACTCGACATCTGACATTGGCAGGTGTCCGTCGTCGATGATTTCCAATCGTCCCCTGTCCGTCCGACGATTTTTCCGAATACATCAACGTCGTCGCGCCGAAGAGATTCTATCCGAACCCTGAACGCTTTCGAGATAGAACGGACACCAAACAAACATCAATGGGGGAGACTAAACACTATTATTCGCCGTCAGCGTCCACTAATTGATAAACATACGAATGGCGTAGGAAGGCGTAGCCTATTCCCGATATCAAGGTTTTATTTATTTAGTAGTTCATTTAAATTGAATTTCAATTGGAAATGGAGCAAAGACCAACTGGGTTATCGGGAAATTAGAGAAAAGCAATTTTACGCGGTATTTTACGTATTCGTTGAGACGATTTACTTCGCGAAACATTGTAGCGAAGCGTTTGGAGAAAGGACGTGAATTTTCGTACCGAGCAGCTCGATTTTCTGCGATCGATCTTCGAGGGAATAGATGAGATTTGTAGTCGACTTACCGGTGAGTTTGTCGCGGATCAACTTGCAGCTCTCCACCTCGCCTATGCTCGCGAAGAGGGATCGAATCTCATCCTGGGTCATGCTCTGCGGCAGGTAGTTCACGATGAGATTCGTCTTCGACTCTTCCTGCGAGGTCTGCCCGTGGGTGGAACCACCATTTTGTTGCACAACCGTGTCCATTCCGTTCGCCATCATTGCACTCTTTTACCGGATTCTCTCTAACTACGTACGAAATCTGAAACGAGAAAGCAACGTTTTATTTTTATTTTTATTTATTTATATATATATATATATTTTTTTTTTTTGATCGTTGCGCGACGAAACGACTAGGTGGGTTCGATCTCGCGATCTCTCCGACTCGTCGATGGTCTTTCGTTTCTCTTTCTCTGTCAATGCTATTCCCCTGGACCTTCGACAACGCAACCCAAAGCCTCTTGATTATGCTGTGACGGATCGATCGCACCGATCGAATCTATCGCGAAGGAGACAGGGACGTCCCGAGAAGTCGCGACTCGATATACACGACACGATAAACGAAACGACAATCACTGCGCACTATCTTTTTCGATATTATGCACTGGAAACGATCGATTATGCATCAGGAGCGCACGGTGTCGTTCTAGTTTCTGATCGAGTGACTCCAACTGCCAGAGTTCGTCGAGACCCTTTCAATGAGATTTTCAAACGAGCCTGTCGACGTCGATTTATTAGGCGCGAACGGCTGTTAATAGACCCGACGAGCGGGAAAACCAAGCGAAGAAACAAACGGGCGTAAACACGCGCGCGACGAGAGGCCGCGTGCCGACGGAATACAGTTCGAAGGACGCTAAAATGTCCGTCAACCAAAACACTGTAAGTGATGCACAAGTATCCTTCGCGCGACACCAGGAACGTCGAGATTGGTTTCGCCTTTCGCGGAAACAAAATATTGTGAATGTCTACGCTCGATCGAGCGAACGAGGCCTGTTTCAATAAAGGAATTTCGGTCAAAGAGCCCGATATGCCCGCGTACCGCGCATCAATGATACCCTTTTCTTCGAAATTTAACACCGTAACTAGACATTTTCCTTTCGGCATCGATGGTACCCAAATACAAAATATAATACTTGGAAAATTGACGATAATATCAGGGTTATCGAAATGTAATCAAACTTTTATCGACATTAATTTATTAACGAAATCTTAAATACTAATCAACAAAATAATTTCCATCGTTTACTAACGCTTTTTTGCGAGAGTGAATTTCATTCTTAAAAGAGTCCTTCGATTTTTCATTGAAAAACTTTCATTTTGATCAGTTTTCGGTGTTAACAAAACCGAGACCTGATATAAACAAAAAGTTTCTTTGGCAGATATTACAGGTAACGTTCAGTTCTATTGTTATTTACTTCGAATGAGCGCATTTCCCAGCGCGTCAAACCGCGAAACTTGTGCAGAGTTTAGCAAAATTGTTTGGTTTCGAAAAGTCGGGCCGAGGCACGGTCGCCACGACTCGACTCGCGAAAATTCACGGTTCGCGGGGCTGGATACTGACGTAATCTGACAATGACTTTCAAAACACAGCGTGAAAAGAACAGGCGGCGGTGGCGGTTGGAAGGGCCGAGAGGGAAGGGTCCGATAGAAACGAGGATAATTTAAAGGGGCGACGACCCCCTTGGTTCTGGTTTAAAGGGCTCGCCTCCCTTACGTTTCCCCTTCCACTCTTCCGACCAACCACCGTGCTCGATACGCTCGAGAAATCTATAGGGTGTTTGATATCTCTTCGCGGCCTCGCCTTCGTGCTTTTCAGCTAGCTTTCACGTTGCGGTAGAATTTCATATGCAAGGGATCGTTTCAGTCGTGCTTCATCGTACGGCATCGAGTACCGAAAAGAATTCTGACTTGAAGCCTGATTGAAAGAGCTAGAGATCGTATTGGGTCGGTCCTCCCAAAGCTCCGAGACCTACACCTTTCTAGAGATGATACGTTCGGCACATCCTTTCCTTCTAACTCGGTTCCTTTTAACTCTGGATGCGCCAAAGTCCGAGCTAATTAAAAGGGAAGCACGGTCGCGAGTCAGCCGTCAGTTTCACGCAGCCGTGAAAGGGGAAAAGTAATTCCACTCTAGACACCCGGTACGCGGGTCGCAACCGAAGGGACGGAAAGCGAGCAAAATAGAGGGCGAGGGGGTCGGCGGGGAGGAATTATAGGCGCTGGCCGTGGGGTGCCGATGGTGTTCATGGTTAAGGCGAATACACACAGCTGCCGCGACGCATACGTATCATTCGAGGCACGAGCTACTGGTGTACATTTTAATTCTCTTTTTCCCTTCCGCCTCCAGACCTCTTCGTGTCTGTCGTTCGACGTGACGTATCAGCTGTCGTTACGGCCGCCCCACGCAGGGTGCAGTCTCTGTCTCGTGACTGTGGTCACCCCAATCGGACTGACCACGCTCTCTCCGAAGATAATAGATAGCTTTTATTATATGCATCGAACGTGCCGGGCCCACACCCCACCCTATGGGAAAGAAACTAGGACGGTAAAACCTACCAATTCGACTGCGAACGAACGCCACGAAATTCTACTCGAACATTTTTTACTATTCGATTGGTTGAGTTAACGTATCCTCTTCGGGAATATTGCCGCATATACGAATACCCTTTATCACGTTGACCGCCATGTCACCCATATGTGGGTGACAGTCAGAGACGGGCAAAAACCCTAGACTTCGAATAAATCTGAAGTTTGCCGATACGTTTGTCTCGTTTCCTTCTTTGAAACATTTTTAAAAAGATGAAACGAGACAAACGTATCGGCATACTTCAGATTTATTCGAAGCCTAGGGTTTTGCCGCCCATCACTGGTGACGGTGCTTTTCACCGAAGAACTAACAAAATTAATTCTGAAAGTTAAGCTTCAAAAGAAACGAATTTAAATGAAATTCGTGTATCTTGGATCAAGTTACAAAAATAAATACCACGAGGGATGTTTGATTATGTCGTTTTCAATAGTCTGAATAATATTTCATTCTAGCAGAAATTTTCAAGAATATTTCTCTGGCAGTCAGCGCGTTATATTAAAATAATTGTCATTTACGATCGCGATACCTTTTACAATTGCGACACGTTCAAGCGAGACAGCATATGAGTTAGAATCAAATCGATTTACAGATGAAAATTAATTTGGTTCGTGGGTATCCGGATTGGAGTAAAAACGAATCTATTCGAAACTCCATCCCTCGAGAGGATATAGAAAAAGATCCAATGGACGCAATTTTATAATATCTGAGAACTACGGCGATACTATCAACACGTTGATCGCCATGTCACCTATATATGGGTGACAGTGTTTTTCACTGAAGAACAAAGAAAATTAATTTGGAATATTCAGTAACAAAGAAAATAAATTTGAATGAAATTCTTAAACTTCAACGAAGTTATAAAAATAAATCCCACAATAAATGTTTGATTATGTATTAGGTCGTCCTAAGAGTTCGTGTCATTTATACTTCTATTTCTCGAATCAATATGTGAAACATACTCTTAAGTGTCACAAGAAAAAATAATCTGTCTCATTTCACAATAGTTTCTCACCTCTCTCAGAGATTATACCGTTTACCATTATACCGTTACTAGAAAATTTCTGTGGTTTTTTATTAAATTCCGACCCAGTCTTCGGCACGAACTTCTAGGACGACCTAATAACTTCCAATAGCCTAGAAACAAAACTTAATCACAATAGAAATTTTCAAGAGTATCGGTCTGCCAGTCAACGTGTTAAAGTGTTTTCGAAGTTTAGTTCGAAACTTGGCAGACTCGCTAAACGGAGTGCAATCTGTCTCGACTAAACGTATGTAGAAGTTTGGAGTGGTCAGGCTTTCTTAGCATACTCGGTGGCAATGTTCGCGAGCTTCGAAAGGAAAACAGCGCGTTCAGCAGTAGGAGAAAATGTCGGGAGTTATCGTAACCCCGCATCTTCGTCGTTATCGATCCGCCTTCGCTGCTCCAACATCGCGATATTTTAGGACGTCGCAATAAAAGCCGGGAGATATATATATATATATATATATATATATATATATCTGCGTTCGTGGCAATTAATACCCTGACTGCGGATTTTATGCATTTGTGATACCAAGATTGTGAAAATAGATCGAGGTAGCCAGAGCTATGGAACAACATTTCGAAATAAATGATATACATTTCCTAAGATAGAATACATCGCTATGGAAAAGCGAGCTTTCTATTTAAATCGCGATCTCTGAAACGCAACGCGAAATTTCAGTCGGTGGTAGCAGGTGGGTCGGTAGCCGGGGGGTTAAGGTTCGATTTTCGCGTATGTACGTTGGCAGATACGATCTTCGGCCGGTGGCCAGGTGGCCATGGCGACGGATCATGAAAATCGCGTGGCCGGGACCGATCAATACGAAGCGCGACTACTCCTCGGCCCCTGCCGCGCTCGTTTATCTCTCTCTCTCTTTCTCTCTCTCTCTCTCTCTCTCTCTCTCTCTCTCTCTCTCTCTCTCT